GTTAGCATATATCATTCATCCTAAGTTCTATAACAATTTCTGTGTGTTTTACTCTCATACATATGTGTTTCTCCAGATATGTTTCCTGGCCTATTTCTGGATCAGTTTCAGATATTGTACCTATGATCTCTTCATACATCAACATGTATCTGCTATAAACAAGGACATCCTCTTTCTGATAACAAGAGGATTTCCATTAAGATCAGGCAGTTGGATGAGAACCAGCATTCCCATCTGGTCCACAGACCTCATTCACTTTCTCTGATTGATCCAATAATGCCCTTTGCAGGTTAGGATCCAATCAAGGAGTATTGGATTTAGCATTATCATTTCTCTAACCTCAGGATGTAAATCTCCGACTACTTGTTTAGCGCCAAGAGCACTTGTTTTGGGGATTTTATCTATTTTTATGGATGCTTTTCACTGATTGCATCCCTAAAGTTCACAATTTTCTTAACATGTTCACTGCCCTTTCTTTCCCCTCTGGTATCTTTTATGAGTTTGATTGAGTTTCATTGTTTATGCTGTTTTTAATTTTTCTTTAACTATTTTGAGGTTATGTATTTTTATTCAATAATTACTCAATTTTTGCTGTAGGAAATGATCTTTTAGATAAAATTTATTTTTGGAAAATTAGATTTGAAAAAAATTAAAAAGCAGCAGAGAATTCCTATATTCCTCTGTCATTACCATTTACATTAGAACCCGTGCTAATCCTCTGTTATTAGCCAATATCCATATGGCATCAGCTTTTTCTAGTTTCTGTCTAGGAGCCCAGAGCTCATACTGTTTATCTGAAGTCATTGTCCACATAGGCTCCACAGGCAGGGCTGCTTTCTCAGCCTCTCCCTGATCGCCAGGATTCTTAACAGTTGAGAAGGGGGCCCAGTTGGATGTTTTGCACAATATCCCTGAATTGGGGTTTGTCTGTTGTTTTCTTTCTTTTTTTTTTTTTTTTTTTGGTTTTTCGAGACAGGGTTTCTCTGTAGCTTTGGTGCCTGTCCCGGAAATAGCTCTGTAGACCAGGCTGGCCTCGAACTCACAGAGATCCGCCTGTCTCTGCCTCCCGGGTGCTGGGATTAAAGGCGTGCGCCATCACCGCCCGGCTGTCTGTTGTTTTCTTATATTTATACCGAGAATATGAGGATATGTGAGTGTGAGAAGACCATTAGAAGTAAAGCACTGTTTTATTTCTGATGGTTTAGTTGCTTTTAAAGATGGTCTCACCATAGCAGGTATGGTGGCACACACCGTTTTAGGCCCAGCACTTAGGAAGCATAGGCAGGAAGTTCTGTATAAGTATCCATAATTATCCACAATTAGTACTAGGCCTAAGTAACTATCAGACTCATCAGGACACAGAGATGGATGTGTGGTCCATGTCGGAGGACAGCTTCTCTTAGGAATGTGAGCATGCAGATGCCTCTGACATGCTGGCTTCAGTTTCAGGCTGTAGTTGCTTAGATTCCTCCCAACCATATGCCCAGATTCCCTTTTCTCCATACCCTCTCCAATATATGCTGTCAGTCATCTCTCTGCCAACTGTTGTCAATTAGAATAAAGTTTACCTGGGGGAGTAACTTAGTAGTAGAGCCATGTTTGCCATACACAAGCCCTTCCTTTCCTTTTTGTGGGCAGTCTTGCTAGGTAGCATGGGCAACCTCAAGAGTGTGATCTTCATGTTGTATACCACCATGCCTGGCTTTGTTGCTCCTTTAACTTGTGTTTCCCCAAAGACTAGAGTGCTGTACATTATCTTTTTATTCATCTGTTAACCGAAAATATGATTTCTTTGGGGGAATGTCCCTTATCCAGTTTTAACTAGTTTACTCTCTTGCATTGGTTTTTGTGGTGCTGGGAATAGAGTTCTAATTCTGGTCTTCTGTGTTTTCCCACCAGCAGTTCCTGAAGACATTACCTTTAATGCCATGTACATTCTCAAAAAGCAACTGTCTGTTAGGGTTACACCTGGGCTTATATCTAGGTTGTCTATTTTATGCTACTATGTTCTACTTTTCTTTCTGACAGCTTTGTAGCATACAGATTGAGTATACCTTACACAGCTTTTAGATCATTTTGGATTTCTGATTTTATATTAGACTTACCCAACTGTGGTTTGAGGTCAGGGGCCTGATGCTTTTATGTTGTCAATGTCTGGCCCTCTCACTTTTCATACTGGCCTCCCTCACATGCCTTTCTCTTACTTTCAACTGTGTCCTGGGATCTGTGACTTGTGATTGTTTTCTGTTCTTCAGGTGTTTGTTTAAATCGAGACTCACACATGGGGAAATGGCTCAGTCATTAAGAATTGGTTCCCCGCATCCATGGTGGGCAGCTAGCAGCCAGCTGTAACCCATCTATCTCCAGGGGATCTGACACCAACTTCTGACCCCCAAGAGCATACATGCATACATTTTTTTTTTGAGATAGCGTTTCCCTGTGTAACAGTCCTGACTGTCCTGTCCTGGGACTCACTCTGTAGCCCAGACTGGCCTTGAATTCAGAGATCCATCTGCCTCTGCCTCCTAAGTGCTGGGATTAAAGGTGTGTACCACCACCGCCCATCTTAATTTTTAAGAATTAAGAACAAATGAAAAGTAAAATCTAGAATCTCCATTTGAGACAAAGTATGTGACATTCGTCTTTCTGAAGTAAGCTTTTTACATTTAATGTTATAGTCTTGAGTTTCGTCTATTTTCTTGCAAACTATATGACTTCATTCTTCATGTAACTGAATAGTATTCAGTTGTGTACATGTACCACATTTGAAAAATCCATTTATCCACTGATGGATATCCAGGTTGATTCTAAAACTGGCTGTATTCACTCGCGCTGTAAAAGCACATCATCTGTGATGTTAGCTGCGGCCTCTTCACTGTGATATGAGCATGAACAGATATTGAATTTTGTCAAATGCATTAGTGCATCTATTATGATAATCATGGATTTTTTGTTAGTATTCTACATATCGTATGTATTCCACATATTGATTTAGGATGATTTTTGTTGTTGTTGTTGTTTCGAGACTGCATTTCTCTATAGCTTTGGGGCCTGTCCTGGAACTAGCTCTTGTAGGCCAGACTGGCCTCAAACTCACAGAGATCCATCTGCCTCTGCCTCCCAAGTGCTGGGATTAAAGGCATGCGCCACCACTGCCCAGTTTAGGATGATTCTTTTATCTCTGCAATGAATCCTATTTGACAGTGGTGAAAGGTGTTTTTAATGTGTCACTTGATCTTATTTGATAGTATTTGGTTGAGGAGGAATTCTGTCTTTGTATTAATATTGTCCTGTGGTTTTCCTGTAGTGTTCTTGTCTCTCTTTGAAACAAGAAAAAATGAGTTTAGAAACAGTTCCCCCTACCCGGGGGTGGGGTCTGTGGAAAGATTTGTTATCTTTTCAGTTGTGGATAGAATTCCCTAATAGTGTAGTCTGGGAGACTTTTTATTGCTGACTTACTCTCTTTAGTTATTTTTTTGATCTATTCATATTTATTTCTCCCTCAGTTGGTCTTGGAAGGTTACATGTGTTTGTGAATTCAGGTATTTCTTCTGTGGGGCTGGAGAGACGGTGCAGCAGTTAAGAACACTACGTCTCTAGAGGATATGGGTTTGAATCCCAGTTCCCACATGGCAGATCACATTCATTCATAAGTCCAGTTCCAGGGGATCTGACACCCTTTGCTGGCCTCCGCAGGCACTGCATGCACACAGTGCACAGACATACATGCAAACAAATGTCAGTCATTTCTTCTAGATTACCCACCTTGCTAATGATTAGCTGTTCATAGCAGGCCTTTAAGATCATTTGTGTTTCTGCGATACCAGTTGCGATGCCTTCTCTTTTATTTCTGAGTGTGTTTGGGTCTTCTCTCATTTTTATTTGTTATTGTGGCTGAAAACTTATGTAAAGATAAAATGACAATGAAAACAAAACAAAACAAAAAAAGCCCAGGTGAATAAGGAGTTGAAGTCCAGCCTCAGCTACAGGAAATTGGAGGCCAGTCTGGACTCCTTGAGACTGTGGAACCTATCGGGTCAGCTGGTCTTACCCATGTCCCCAAGGCTGGAGCTACACAGCAGGCACTTCGTCCACTGAGCTGTCTTCCCAGCCAGCCTGATTTTCTGCATTCTGTTTTCTTTCTTTCCATTCGGAACTTATTTTCTTTTCCCCTTTGCTGTGTTTGGCTTTTCCTTTGTCTTACTTTCTAGCTGTCTGAGGAGTACGATGTGAGCATGTGAGACTTTCCCCGTTTGGATGGAGATTTCCTATCAGGACTACTTTCGGTTGGAGTGTATCATGCCTCCATTTCCCTTTGTCTCCAGTTACTGTTTGCTTTCCCTCCTGATTTTTTTTCTTTGACTTACTGATTATCAAGAAGAGTGATGTCTAATTTGTACATGTTTGTGAGATCCTCTAGCTTTCTCTCACTGTTTAGATTTAGTGGCCAGCATTTTGACTTCTTGATGAATTAGCCACTTTGCATTATTTAATGATCTGTTTCTTTGGACCATGTTGGAGTGCTTGACTTCCGTTTTATTTTTTTCTGATGTAAGTATAGATACTCTAGTTTTCCTTTGTTTTCCTTTGCATTTCCATCCCTTATTTTTTAAATGGCATAGATCATATTAAGAGTATATTTCAGAGTGCACCTCAATGGTAGAATGCATGCTCAGTACATTCTAGGTTCTGGATTCAGTTCTGAGAGACACAAATAATAATAGTAAGAACAAAGAAAATATTTCAGGCCAGGCAGTGGTGAAAAGAAGTCTTTAAAGAGACAGTAAGGGATGGTGCATGCCTTTAATCCCAGCACTTGGGAGGCAGAGGCAGGTGGATCTCTGTGAGTTTGAGGCCAGCCTGGTCTACAAGAGCTAGTTCCAGGACAGGCTCCAAAGCTACAAAGAAACCCTGTCTTGAACTCCCCTCCCCCAAAATTCAGTATTACTGTTTTACTTTAAAAACCACCTAAATTTAAAATTATTATTTTTTATTTGTAGGATATGGAGACTTGGATGATTTTAATCTGGAGGATGCACTGAAAGAAACTTCCTCAGTAAAGCGTGAGTCAAGCAAACAATCATGAAAAGCAGCTACCAGTGATCACCGAGGACTGCACTCACCATTTTCCCTTTAGGGAAGCAGGCACATTCAAGAAAATTAGCTACATCTTTTCCATCTGTTTTCTATTACACGTTCAGGGCTTTTGTCATAGAGACATACATATGTCACCATACTTTATTATTTAATGTATATTGCGTGCATGAGAGGATGTGTATGCCCATCTTAGCTTTTTCCATGCTCTACAAAAAGAGAACTTTGACCTGTTTCAGTGTTCTCACTTTTTTTTGTTTGAAACAGGATCTCTCTCTGGCTGTCCTGAAATTTACTGTGCAGACCAAGTCATCTTTGAACTCACAGAGATCCACCTGCCTCTGTCTCCTAAGTGCTGGGTTTAAAGGCATGCACCACAACAGCTTGAACCTACATCATCTGAAAAGTTATTTTCTTGTTTATTTTTATTTCATTTTAAGTGCTTACGTGTACTTGAGGGAGGTGTGATAAGAGCCCAGATACTGTGCAGCTGGAGTTACAGGTGCTTGGGAGCTGCCTGACAGGGATTCTGGGAAGCAAACTTGGGTCCCCTGCAGCAGCAACAGTGACTCTTAAGCACTGAGCGGTACTTCCAGCTCCAGAAGCCATGCCATTTTATCATTCCTCTTAGTGGGATTCCTTGGAGGCCCTCACCTGTGTACAGTGACCTCAGGAAATGATACCAAGGCTAGTCTCCTCCTGATATGATTTCTGCAAGCCATGAAGTGGCACACACACACATGCACGGGTACGCACACATGTGCATGCACACACATGCGCATGCACACACACATATATACAATACATATATTACTTAATTTGCTCCTCTTCTTGTTCTCCCTCCTCCCTTCAGAGAGATGGGACCACTTCAGCATCACAACTAGAAGGCCGGGAACGACCAGAGCCCCAGCAAATCCAGCAGGTAATAATGAAGTGAAAATGAATGAACTTTATGCCCTGGCAATGCTGAAGCATGCATGGGCAGCCCATATCTGGCCGTTCTGTTGAACTTGTCCATATTAGGTTTCATGGTCTAAGTTGATGAGGACGACTAACCAGGTCTCTTCCTCAAGAGGACACCGGATCTCTTTACAGATGGTTGTGAGCCACCATGTGGTTGCTGGGAAGACCTTTGGAGGTGCAGGCAGTGCTCTTAACTGCTGAACCATCTCTCTAGCAGGCAGCAAGACTTGCCTAAATGGGACTTGAGCAAGTCAAGGTTCTGCTGAGAAGGGAAGTGAGGCATCTTGGGCAGTATCCGAATGAGCTGTACAGAGGTTTTACACATATATGAAAGCCATCAAAGGCATCCATCTGAATATTAGACTTATTTCAGCAGAATACTGTCTGCTTGATTATTATGCCTTATGTTAAGATAGTAAATTTACTTCATTGATGCTTTGGGTGATTGAGATGTAGGCTGCCAGAAACCAGGTACGAAAGGAGGAGAATCACATCTGACTGAAGCCACAGGCTAGCCATTTAGTTTCCTGGTAGGGTCCGTTCTTACTAACTACAGTATAAATATGAGCTATTCTTGGTCTGGCAGAGGGGGACAGCCTCAAACCACAGAACTCTTGAATGGAGATGCTCAAACATTTTCTCTAAATTCTCTAAATTTTTGACGATCTCAAGAGAATTTGTTTATGTGGGCCACATCTATAAATATTTCTCATCTGAGAACTTAAAAATGAAAAACTGTTATTAATCTAAAGAAAATAAATTAACATATGCATCGACATATGTGGCAGATTTCTATGAGAAATAACATTGCTTATAAGATGAAAACACAATTTAGAGTACAGAGTAATGTCTGGCTTGATAGGATACACCTGGAGTCTGTGTGTGTGTGCACACGAGCGCACGCATGTGTGTTTGTGTGTGTGTGTGTGGTGCTTTGAGACAGGATCTTACTATGTAGCCCAGGATGGCCTGGGACTCACTAGATAGATCAGAACTCACTAGGTAGACCAGGCTGGCCTCAAACTCACAGAGATCTATCTGCTTGCCTCTGATCCCACACCCCATCCCCAGACACAAGCCTGGGTTTTCTTCCTGTATTACACTGGACCTCAGGAGCTTTCAGCAGCTCAGGATAGCAGCAGATAGAAGAATGGGGACCAGAGATGTGCGCCACCTCACCAGGCTCCTCCTGGATTCTTATATCCGGCAGAAAAAGGAAAGAGAACTTAAGGTGACTTTGAGACTAGTTGAGACGTCCTCCTCAGATAGAACACCAAAGCCCAAACAGTGTTTTTTTTTTGTTTTTGTTTTATTTCGTTTTGTTTTATCCCAGATTAAATGTGTGACGTGTAACTCAGCTCCATTGAGCCCCATTGGACTCTCCTGTTCTTGGAACTGGTCTTCTGCCCATTCATTGTTTACTAACACCATGCACTGGTCACTTGGAAACACTGGTGCGCTGACGAATGCATGTGACCATATTTCACTCTGTTGTATTTCAAAGTCCCACTGATTAGCATTGCCACCCACCTCACTGAAAAAAGCCCTCGGCAAGTTAAACACAGGACCCTTAAATAAACTTAGCAGTTTAAAACATTTAATTTTTTTCTAAGTTTACCTGTGATGACTCTCACATTTGTCTTTACTAAGTGTTTTTAAAAGTGTTTGAAATTTTATTTTGATTTGGCTTTGGATTGGAGAAAAATTTACTTATTTCCTTTTTTATAGTCTGACAATGTAGCCAAGGCTACTGTTTTTTTTTTTTTATTTGTACGTCATCTTAGAGTAAGCCCCATGTTTTCTTCATCCAGGCTTGGTTTGCGTATCTGCTGTTCTAGTCAGATGTGGATAGTTCTGTCACTGAAGCACCCTGTGACTCCCTGGACAATCACACCTGTCCTTCGCTTCCATCCTCCTTTCCCCTCTCCCCTAATTCCCAGCTGCCACTAATCTGTTTTCCATTTATAAAATGTCATTTCAAGAAGGTTATGTAAATGTGATGCAAAAGTAGACAACCTTTAGGAGTTGGCTTTTTTTGTGTAGCTTAATTCAGTTGGGGTGCATCCAACTTGTTGCGTGTATCAATAGTTTATTTTTATTGGGGAAGAGTTTTCATAGTATGGAGGTACCAAAGTTGGCATAGTGCTTTCTGTGTGGAAGGAGTTCTGAGTTGTGTCTAGTTTGGGACTACTTCTATGAGTAAAGTTGCTGTGGAATTTCTTGTGTGGCTGCATTTGTAAATGTAAGCTTTCCTTTCTCCAGGAATAATGCCCAAGAGTGTGATGGCTAGACCAGGTGGTATTCTCATACTTTAAAAAAAAAAACAAGAAGTGGTTGATTCTTCAAGGAAGGTTATATTAGTCTTCATTCCCTCTAGCATTCTGTGAAGGATCCAGTTTTTCTACAATTTAGCCACCTTTGTGTAGAAGGTTATGTATTGCTGTGAATATGTTTTATTGCTACTGGTTAATAAAGAGGCTGCTTTCGACAAATGGCTTAACAGAATATAGCCAGTCTGGAAGAGGTATATATAGAGAGAGTAGGCGAAATCAGAGAGCAGCCATGTAGCTGCCCGCAGGAGACAGATGCACCAGGACCTTGCCAGTAAGCCACAGCCACGTGGTGATACACAGATTAATAGAAATGGGTTGATTTAAGATATAAGAGTTAGCCAGAAATACGCTTAAACTATTGGCTAAGCAGTATTGCAATTAATACAGATTTCTGTGTGATTATTTTGGGAGTCTGGGTGGCTGGGAAACGAACAAGCAGCCTCCTCAACCCCTTGGGAGTTTTCGCTATTTGACATCCTAACCATTGTATCGGAGCTTTAACCTGTGATCCACATGCTTATTTGTCCAGTGTATTTCTTGTAAGTGGAATGTTTGTTTATGCATATTCCAGTTTTTAATTCACCTTAACTCATCATCTAAAATGAAAAAAAAATGAAACATGATTGTTGTTCCAACTTGTTTTTGACCTGGGACTGCTGACACTACCTTTAATCCCAGCACTGGTGAGGCAGAGGAAGGTGGATCTCTGTGATTTGGAGGATAGTCTGGTCTACTGAGTGAGTTTCAGGATGCAGTAAGAGCCTATTTCAAAAATAAATTATGTCTGGCTTGTCCTTTCATCTTCTGCCCAGTTATTAATCAGATTGCTGTTTCCTTTGTGTTTTGGGGCCCTCTGAAGGAAGTAATTTTGACTTGACTGATGCATTAGCTGATGGAGATGATGGGCGCCGAAAACCAGGTACAGGAGGAAGAGGTGAGTCATTACTGGCTGAACTACAGGCTAGCCCTAGCACTCTCTGCTGGCTCTGTTCACTTTTATTTTATTGGTCTGGTTATATTTGGGGGTATTTATTTTTCATGTGCATAGATATTTTTGCCTGCATGCATGTCTGTGCACTACATGCATGCAGTGCATGTAGAGGCCAGAAGAAGTCATTGAATCTTCTGGAATAGCAGTTACAGATGGTTTTGAGCCATCATGTGGCTGCTGGGAATCAAATCCAGGCCCCTGGAAGAGAAATCAATACTCCTTAACCATGGAATCACCTCTCCAGCCCTGAATCTGTCTTATTGACTTTAACAGCCCTGTGTACCACAGGAGAACCCTCAGACAGAGGCATTTAAGCATTTTGATCTTCATATTTCCCTAGTTATTGAGGATCTCAAAAGATTTTGTGTGTATTTTATCTATTGATGTTTATTATGTAAGAACTTAAAATGGAAAAGACTTCACTAATCAATTGAAACTTAGCATTAAAGACGTGCACATGCTGGCTGTGGTGGTGCACACACCTTTAATCCCAGCACTTGGGAAACAGAGGCAGGTGGATCTCTGAGTTTGAGACCAGCCTGGTGTACATAGTGAGTTCCAGAACAGATGGGTTACATAGTGGGACCCTGTCCCCAAAATGCATATTATCATACATACTTTAGACTTTCTTACTGTTGAGTTTTAAGAAGTCTTTACATATTCTAGACATTAACTCTTAGATATGTCTATTCTATATCTTACATTTTTGTTCTTTGTTAAAGAGACTTTAACAAAGTCTTCTCTGGAGTGAACAGTTTTAAGTTTGATTGATTATGCTTCTTCTGCAAGGTCTGAGAGCTAGAAACTCTGTATTCCTGGGCCCCATAGATTTTCCTATCTTTTTTCCTTAAAAGTCTTTTTATTTACTGTAAACATCAACTTGCTCAAAATTGCTCCTTTGTGCATAAGGCTACCTTTCTATTGAGTTGCTTTAGAAACTCTGAAAAAAAAATCAATTTTTGTTTGTTTAGTGTGTTTTGACACAGGGTCTTGCTGTGTAGCTCTGTCTGGCCTGGTACCCAGTTTGGCCTCAGAATCACAGGAATCTACTGTGGATCTACTGTTTCAGCATCTCCAGGGCTGGGATTATAAACCTTCTAGACCTTTTGTGTTTTATTGAGGATCTTGCATACATATTTTTTTTTTTTGGTTTTTTCGAGACAGGGTTTCTCTGTGGCTTTGGAGCCTGTCCTGGAACTAGCTCTGTAGACCAGGCTGGTCTCGAACTCACAGAGATCTGCCTGCCTCTGCCTCCCGAGTGCTGGGATTAAAGGCGTGTGCCACCATCACCCGGCTTTGCATACATATTTATAATAGATATAAGTCTGTATTTTTTGTCAGGTTTTGGCATAAAAGTAATGCTATAAGTATGATTTACTAATTTCCTAGGTATTTCCTGATCCCCTGAAGTTGACCATCAGGATAAAGCATCATAGGTCCTATTTAGCCACATTCTGATCTCAGTGTCTCCTACAAAGCAGCAATCCAGATGTCACTTGGTGCCAGGGTATCATTTGAAATCTGAGGTTCTGTGAGCTTCCTTTTGCTGCCCTTGTAGGGATGAATGACCACATACCTTGTTGCTTAAACAACAGGCATGCATCTTATAACCACTGAGGGGAAATGCAGAAGGAATATGATAGGCTTCAGTAAGCATCCTAGCAGGGCCGCATTCCTTTTGGAGACTGTATGGGGAAATTTGTTTCTTCACTTTTTGTCACCTACATTCTTTGGCTTATGGCTACTTCTTCCATCTTTAAAAACATGAACATGTTAGAGTTTTCTTTTTTTCCAGTTTGTCTGTTTTTGTGTATTTGTTTGTAGCCCAGGCTAGTTTTAAAACTCCTTATATAGTTCAGGCTGCCCGTGAACTCCTGGATGCTCCTGAGTCTGCCTCTCAAGTGTTGGGATTGAGGGTGTGCCCCACCACACTGGCTTTTTAGGATCTTCTTTGCTTACAGTCCTGTTACTTCCACACACAGTTGAGCATCCTTCACATTTGGATGTCTTTTCTTGTTCTTGCTGGTACAGCTGGTACTCTATTGAATAGAACTGGTAGAGTGGGCATCTTTGTCTTGTTCCTCATGTTAGAAGAAAAGCTTTCAGTGTTTGACCCTTCACTGTGATGATACCTGTTCCCTTATCCTATGTGGCCTTCATTTGATTCAATGGCACTACTTTGCCAAAGTTACTTTTCTAGGTGTTGTGAGGAAATACTCTGAGAAAAGCAGCTTAAGGGAGGGTTGTTTTTGTTCAGTTTGAGAGTGTACAGCCCATCATGGTGGAGAAGACACAGCATCAGCAGCATGAGTTGGTCACATTGCATCCATAGTCAAGAAGCAGAGAGAGAGAGAGAGAGAGAGAGAGAGAGAGAGAGAGAGAGATATGACAGCTTGTGCTGAGCTCACTTCATGCTTTTTGTACAGTCCAGAAGGTGCCATCCACTGTGGGTGGATCTTTTCAAGACAATTAGCCTAGTCAAGACAATCCCTTACCACATAGGTAGAAGCCTGCCTCCAAGATGGTTCTAGAACTTCTCAAGTTAACAACTGAGATTAACCACACCATAACTTCTATAGCTAATATGTTGAGAATTTTCATCAAAAAGCTGTTCAGTTTTATCAAAGTCTCTTCTTTGCCTACTGAGATGATTACATGATTTCTATTCTTCATACTTTTAATGTTTATTGATGTAAGTTCGGCTGAACAATCCTTGTATCCCAGGCATAAATCCAGTTTTGATCATGGTGTGTAATCTTCTAAGTGTGCTGTTGAATTCAGTTAATTCAATACAGTTAATTCTGCTAATGCTTTCCTGATGGTTTTTGTCTCTGTTCATGCAGTTTTGCTTGTTTGTGGCATTCTTGTCTGGCTTTGGCATGAGGGTCATGTTGGTTTCATGAAGTAAATTTGGAATTATTCCCTCCTCTTCAAATCTGCAAGAATTTGAGAAGGATTAGCTTTAATTTTTCTTTGAGTTCTTCAAAGAATTCATATTTATAGCCATCTGTTTCCCAGATATTTCTTTGTTGGGAGGTCTTTGATTATTCAAATTTTAAATGATTATTCATCTGTTTATATTTTTAGTTTTCATAATCAAGTCTTAAGTGTTTGTGTGCTTCCAGAACTCTGTCCAATTTGTTGGAATATATTGTCCATTGTATTTATTTAGTATTAGTTGCAACATCTCCTCTCTTATTTATAATTTTGAATGATTATAGTGAAAATAAAGATTTTTAAATTTTTTTTTACTTTTTTTAAAAAGCCAACTCCAGCTTTCCTTCCCTTCTTCTACCCATTTCTTTGTCTCCTTTTGTTTTGTGGAACAAATCTAAGACATCATTGTAAATAAATGTATGCTTACCTCTGAACTGCAACTCCAGCTCACCGAACTTGAACTCCATTAAAGCTTTCTATGGCTTTTCTTTTCTATAATCCTTTGTCCTTCTTGCTTTCTCCATATTCTCCTGCTCCTTCTGTGCCTCTTCTTCCTCGTCTTCCCTCTTTAGAGACTGGGTCTTACTCTCTTAGCAAGTAATCCTGGCCGGTCTCTAATGCAAGCTTCCTGAGTGCTGGGCATGTACCATTTTACCTGGGCTTTCCAGCTTTTTAACAGTTTTTTTCTCTTATGGGTCATGGTTCTGTTGTCAAACGTGTGAACTCTTTACCAAGCATTCAGTTCTGAAATGCTTCCCTCTGAATTTTTTATGATTTTATATTTAAGCAAATGTAATCCATCCATTAGCATTTAATTTTATATAAAGTGAAACCCATTGCTTTTTATTTTGGAAGTCTAATTATTCCAACACCTTTTGCTGAAAAGATTCGTTCCTCTGTTGAGTTGCTTTGCATATGTATACAAATGCCAAAGCAGATCTGAGGTCTTTTGAGCTCTTCATTCTACTCTGTTGCCCTGTGTATCTATCTATCTATCTGCCACATCTTGACAACTGTAACTATATAATGAGCCTTAATACTAGGTAGAGTGATTCATCCCACTTTATCCTTTTCAAGGTTTTGAAAAGCTAACCTAAGGTTTCTGCCTTTCCAGAAAAATTTTAAATCAAATTTGACTATTTCTAGAAAAAGAAATCAGTAGGACTTTTATAGGCTTTCGCTGAATGTGTGTGTGTGTGTGTGTGTGTGAGAGAGAGAGAGAGAGAGAGAGAGAGAGAGAGAGAAAGAGAGAGAGAGAGAGAGAGAGAGAGAGAGAGATATCAATGTGGGTGCTGACATTTCTCTCTGTTGAGTTCTCCATTCCATGAAATCAGTATGTATCTCTGTTTAGATTCTCTTTATTTATAACTTTCTACCTACAGGTTTACTTTATCTGAGTATAGTAGTTTTCACACTGTTTTAAAGGTATATATTTCATTATTTTGTTTTCTTTTACTTTATGAATGATGGGTTTTGGATTCCATATGTTCATCGCTATTACATGTTGCTGTCAGTGATTCCATTCCCAATGCTGCTGAGTTCTCTCACTAGTTCCCCTGTTTACATTCTTTGTGGTTTTCTGTGAAGATGATCCAGTCATCTGCAAATATGGACAGAGTGATTCCTTCTTTTACAATCTGCATGTTTTCTCTGCTTTTAGTTGTAGAACTTGTAGCGCTGTGTGACAGTGAGCTTGCTTTGCTCCTGATCTTACAGGAAGAGAAGTTAGTCTGAAAAACCCAGGGACTTCTCCTTTATTTCTAAATTGGTGCAGAAGGCCTTTTTCATAAAATGTCCTAGATGTTTTCATGTCAGTGATATGCCTATATGATGTTTCCTCTCTAGGTGGTGCATTGATTTATTTTCAGGTCTTATATAGCTGAAGTCTCACATTTCCATGGTCTAAACAGTTATTGAAACCCCAAGCTGTCTGTCTTGCCTGTCATTCATTGTGACATCATATATATATATATATATATATATGTAGTGATATATATATATATATATATCACTATACTTTGTTTTGATTTCCCACCTCTCTCTTACCTCTTACCTCCTCTTTTTTATTTGTTTGTTTTCTTCTGTGCATCTTGTGAATGTCTTGTGCCTAAGGAGGACAGAAGAAGGTGTCAGATTCCATGGACTGGAGTTACAGACAACTGTGAGCAGACATTTGGGTGCTGGGAATTGAACCTGGACCAAAGTCTCCAGTGCTCTTAACCATGGAGCCATCTCTCGAGCTCATGTCCATTATTTCTTTTGACACTTATGCTTTCCTCTCCACGAAATATCATCAAATATAGTGTCACAAATGTTTACCAAACTGTTTGAAAATAGCCTTTATCTTTAGATCTCTGATCTATTTGTGGCTGATTTTTATATATGGTATAACATGACGGGCAGCTTTGCTCCTTTGCTTCTATGGTTATGCTGTTTATTTCTGTGTATTGGCTGTAGCATTGTCATTACCTTTCCCTTTGAATGTCTTCAGTTAGAGAAATAATCATGGACAATTCTAAAGTTTAATAGAAGAAACTGTAGTGGCATTTCAATTGTATTTTAATAAATAAAGCTTGCCTGAAGATCAGAGAGTAAAACAGCCCCACTGGTCAACCTTACAGACCAGGCAGTGGTAACACACACATTTAATCCCAGTAGTCACACTAGTTTGTCATAGAAACCGGGCAGTGCATGCCTTTAATCCCAGTGGTGCACAACTTTAATCCCAGCCCTAGAGAGGAATATAAGGCAGGAGGAAATAGCTCTCAGCCACAGTCTCATTCTGAGATTCCTGGAGGCAGGATCACCATTTTTGGACTGAGGTAGAGGTAAGAGCCCGTGACTGGCTATTTTTCTTTTCTTTTCTTTTTTTTTCTTGGTTTTTCAAGACAGGGTTTCTCTGTGTAGCTTTGGAGCATGTCCTGGAACTAGCTCTTGTAGAGCAGGCTGGCCTCGAACTCACAGAGATCCGCCTGCCTCTGCCTCCCAAGTTCTGGGATTAAAGGCATGCACCACCACCGCTCAGCCTCTTTTGCTTTTCTAACCTTCAGGTTGAACCCCAATTTCTCTCTCGGAGTTTTGATTAATTGCGCTTCAAGAAACTATTGAAATCTTCATGAGTGCCATGTAACTGCTGTGAAAGGAAGCCATATTTCTAAAACAATCTGCTAGGTGTGTCTGTGTCTGTATCTTAACCTCTTTGAGTTTGTAAGAGTATTCTCTATACATCATAGAAAGTGCCAGTTCACTCATCTCCAGGCATTTTCTGTAGTTCAGTTTCTGGATTAATAGTGGAGGAAACCATGGTTGAAACTCTTGGGGTTCATGCTTATGCTCTAGAACTCCCTAGCCCATGTGCTCAGAATATCTGGGATCATGTTCTAGCTCTGCTAGTCAAGGGTGAGATGTGGAGTTGCATTCTTCTCTCAGTCCCCATCCTATGAAGAAGAGTGGTCAGAATCTCATTTAAAACCTTTTCTATCTGTTTTGCAGCTTTTCCCAAGTGGTTATGAGGTCATACAGGGCTTCAAGCCCTGAGACAATAATACGCTATTTTCATGGTGTGACTTCTTAAAACTACGATGTGAGTATACATTTTGTTATTAAATGTATGACTCTTGCTGTCTTCCCTCCCGTTTTCAGAGAGATGGGACCATGTCACCACTACCACAACTAGAAGGCCAGGAACAACTAGAGCACCATCAAATCCCATGGGTAAGACAAGCTCTCTGAGGAGAGAAGTAAGGAAGGATTTTCTCATCATCTGCTTGTTTAAGTGAGTGTTTTAGTCAGGGTTTCTATTGCTGTGATGGAACACTATGACCAAAACCAAGTTGGGGAGGAAAGGGTTTATTTTGCTTACACTTCCACATCATTGTTCATCACTGAAGGAAGTCAGGGCAGGAACTCAATCCTGAAGGCAGAAGCTGATGCAGATGCCATGGAGAGGAGCTGCTTACTGGCTTTCTCCCCATGGCTTGCTCAGCCTGCTTTCCTAGAGAACCGAGGACCACCAGCCCAGGGATGGCACCGCCCACAATGGGCTGGGCCCTCCCTCACCACTCACTAATTAAGAAAATGCCCTACAGGCTTGCCTACACCTTGATCTTATGGAGACAATTTCCTAAAAGGGGTTTCTCCTCTCAGATGACTCTAGCTTGTATCCAGCTGACAGAAAAACCCACCAGGACAGTGAGTGATTGTTTTATTTGCTTGTTTTGTTTTGTGGTCCCCAGAACCAGATGGTTTTAACTTGGAGGATGCCTTGGATGATCAAAATGATCTTGATGACCGCAAAAAACCAAGTGTAGGAGAAGGAGGAGGTAAGACCTAGCTGCTCGAATTTACGGACCAATGCCACAGTTCCTGGGAGGGTCTGCTTTGTTGTCTGTAATAGAATTCATGCCATCTAGATAACTGTAGATCAGGCCACTGCAAATTGCAGAACCCTACAGTAGTCATGCTGAAACTTTTTGATTTAAGGATTTCCCAAATTATGGGGACTCTCAATAACTTTGTCTATATAGGTCATATCCCTCAGTGTTTATCATCCATATATTTAAAACTTAGAAGAACAGTATTATCGGTCTAAAATGATTAATACTAAAGCCACACATATTAACATAAATAGCACAGTTTATGAGAAATTACTATGCATGGCATGATAAAAAGCAGTTTAGTGAGAAGAGTGGCATTAGTTTACATTTCTTAGAAATTTCTAGAATGCTCATCTTTCTAGGAGATACCTGGATTCTTATATTCAGATATGCACTTTGAAAGCTGTCTTCTGATCTGCACATGTGTCCTGTGGTACATGCATGCTTGTGCATGCACGTTTAGGTGTGCATGCATACATATATAGACACACAAATAATAAATGCAACTAAATTTAAAGGGATTTTAAAACAAATATGTAAAAGAACAACAAATAAAAGTGTTTTAGTAACTCTTCCTCACCCAGTCACCCTTTAGTTAATTTTCTAGCTGCCCTGACCAAATACCTGACAGCAAACAGAGGAGTTCATTCATTCATTCATTCGGCTGGCTTAAGGTTTCAGAATTGATTGGGTCCTAACAAAACTCAACTGGTCACGTTGGATCCACACTCAACATGCAAAGAGAAAGAGACAGGAAGTGGGCTAGTGAAACTCAAAGGTCACTTCCCAGTGAAATATTTCCAAAAGCTGAGGGTCAAGTGTCCCAACACATGAGCCTATATGGTCATTTCCCATTTGAACTGCAGCACCCATTCAATGGACTTGTGCCCATTTGTTGTTTTGAAACATTGCAGGTTAGTTTGGAAAATCTTGTTGTCTTGAGGTTTCTCAAACTTCAGTGTAATGCCACACTTTATTATGAAAACCCAAAAGCCACATCTACTACTAATACCACCAGTGTCACTGGAGAGTCTTCATGTCGTGGGATGCTATTAGACTCGCAGTAGCTGATAAGGGCCTCACTTAGAACCTCATTGACAAGTACCATCAGTGTCTGGCCTGAACTGATAAACCCATTTCATTCAGTTTTAAGAAATGCTTCCCAAATAATCAAGTTGGTACAGCATTCATTCTGCAACAAGAGTGGTCTCTTATGACACAAAGCAGATAAAAACAATTAGAACTGAAACAATCAGACAAGTGACTTTTGTGAATCACCTCTAGTACTTTAGAATACAGCAGAAAGGCTTTAAGCACACTTTGCATTTCAGCGATAGGACATTCAGGAAGATGTGCACTTAATAGTTGACTATAAATAACAATTCTGCTTCTTGTGTTAGATAGCTATGATTGTGTCACAAATTATAAGAAAGTTAGACTTTTTTTAAAAAAAGAAATTAGTTATGATTTCCTTTGTTTGGTTAAGAAGCTGAGTTTCCTATGTAGAGTCTCAGATAGCTGCAGTCCAGGTACTGGGATGGGATCTCATCTGGGCTAAGGTTTTCTTCATAACAAGGTCATGTAGTTTGTTGATGGAGTGTATTTCCCTTCAGCCATAGAGATAGTGGCCCCTTTAAGATCAGTAGGAGAAAGAGGACAGATTTCAGCTTCCCGTTTCTGAGCTCAGGGAAGCCCAAAACAAGCTTGGAAAGAGATCCCTTTGTTAAGTCAGGCTCTTAATTAATTTGACAAAAATCTCATCTTTGGCATATGATGCAACTTAATCACTAGGATTATGTTCATTTTCCTTGTGGTCACACAAATACTCGAGGTGACTGGAGGTTCTATAGAGTACTTGCATTGGCAGTGGCAATCTTAGGGCCTCCTGGAACTTAGCCTATCATATCCATTCTCTTTCTTCTCTCTCATCTTCCTTTTCTTCCTTCTTCTCCCCCATCTCTCTTGAGTTTTGGCACCAGGCATGGTTCTCAGGGCCTTAGGTGCTGTATCACAGAGCCATACTTCCAGTACCACAAAGAACATCCAAGTGTCATTGGCAACATTTATTAATCCGATTTCTTGATTCTGAAATAGTTTGGTCACTGAAATGTCTTTTTTTTTCTAGGTTTTTCAGACAGGGATCTTGAGGACATACTGGGAGGTGGAGGATACAAACCTGATAAGAATAAAGGTAGGAAGATTTCTTCATCCAACCTTACACACCTAATTCCCATTCAAATACTGACCAAGTAAAGCCTGCCATTCTTACTCAGCCTCTGGAAAATAAGCCTTAGACATTTCCACTTGTTACTTGGGGTGGCTTGTCACTCTTGGGGTTGGGGGCCCATTTGTAAGCCATCCTGGAGAAGCTGCCTTTTTCCTTCTGGATTTTTAAGCCAAGGCACTGCCTGAGGTAGTGTCCCCACCATGACAGAAGCATATTTATGGGACAGCACCAAAAGCCTGTGGTAGGACAGTCAGAGGCTTCATGGCATTAACAAGACAGCCTGCCCTACTTGGAGATCCAGTTTTCTGTGCAGTGGGAGGGTGCAAGCGTCACATGAGAATTATTTTAAAGAAGCACCTAGCAAATCATACTGTTTAGTAGTACCTTTGCATTAAAACTCGTTTAGCACTGGTAAAAGTTTTCAAATGGTTCCAAAAGGCTCCTGCATTCTCCTTACCCAGTTTCTCCCAAGGATCTTTGACTGCAGGTCCACAGTCGTAGATTATTTAAAATAGGCAGCTGACATCTGTACAATAAAGTCACCCACTTACCTTCTGGGGATTTTTGTCAGATCTCATCTTACATGCACTGGCATGTGTGTGTATGTGTGTGTGTGTGTGTGTGTGTGTGTGTGTAAAATTTAATCACACATGTAGATTTCAGTAGCCATCGCCACAGCTGGGGAGACATAATAAGTCCTCTTCTTCATGCTGCCCCCGAATAGCCACGTTCTTTCCAGAGTCACATGTTTGCAGTTCCTCCAGGTAGTAATAATTGAGAGCTTTCATCATTGCATAAGTCAAATTGTGTCTTAAGCATGGGGTGTGAGGTGTGAGCAGACTTGTGGTGTGTTGATGTTGGAACCTGTAGGTGTGGAACGCGACAGCTGCGACCTCTTGACTACCGTCGGCTGTGATAAGATGTTAGAATGATAAAGTGTGGTGTTTGAAACCCTTTCCTTATTAGTCCCTGCTGTGATGGGAAATCGTGGCAGTGTCTGAAGGCTGCAAGTTGTGAGTGTATCTGGATCGAACACTTTAAGGGTCCCTCCGCAAGTCCTGGCTGAAGTAGTAACATTTGCTTCTTTCTTGCAAGCACTGTGCCTTTCTTAGGGGAACAGTGTTCTCTTTTGCTTAAAGTGTACGGTAGTCACATTTGTCCCCAGCAACGCCTTTCCAGATGGTGTCATCTCTAGGAAAAAGCCCTCAAAACCTCTAAATGAAACTTCCAGGTGTCAGGAGAACATGGAGCATTTAAAGGGCAAACCCAGCAAATGAGCCAATTACTCCTGGGTGACAATTGCTATTTCCAGATGGGGAGACGAGAGCAGTGGTTGCGTGTTAGCTTGCACAGGATTGAAAGTCTGAGTGACATGCCAGGGGCTTTTCTTCATTAAAAGTACTTCTTTTAGCAAGGAAGAAGTGTTAGGAAATTCTTTAATTAGGCTCCTATTGGAGCTTGTCTTGTAAAGAATAATCAATTGTTGGCTTCAGTTATTGCCTCTGTCATCGTAGGTGTCAGGGACATGGATGAGATTCACAGACACCGTTCCTTACACCAAAACAAGATCTCGAAGGGGGGTGAAGGGAAAGCATCACATTTACATAAATTATAAACTCAATTAGTGCACTTCCCAGACTTGAGTCTTCAAGACATAGCTTCAGTTGTTGTTCTTGAGTGGATCTCTGAAGTAATATATTATCTCTTGTGTGGTTTCCTCAAGATAGCATTATGGCAGACTGTGTCTGGCTCAAAATGTGTTTGTTGCGGGGTCCTCTTGCATCTATTAAAGTGAGTCGCTTGTAAACCCCCCACTTCTTTCTTGCCCTTCCTGAACTCAGATTGTTGTCCTTGTTTGCCAACAGCCTCCTCCTTTTTCTAGCATGGATGGAAGAGGTTCCAGAAAGGTCTCTTTGGACTTGTTTCCGCAATCTTTCCAGCTGTAGCCTGAGGAAATAGGCTAGAGCGTCTGCTGCTCTACAGTGTAGAGATGGGGCAGACACTGCCGGGCCCACCACATGCGGGGAGTGTGGCATGAACGGAGGGGAATTCTGAGGAACTCCCCTCAATATGTGAACTGGGTGTTTTACTGTCCCCTATCAGATCGGGGCAAGAGAACGCCAGGGAATGGATGACTGGGGGAGTTTCTGCGGCAGTGAGGGTACCTTTCCTGGTGGTTAGCCCAGCCAGTCAGTATGTTTTGACATGGTTTTTTCATTCGATTTTATTTGTTAACTGAAAGTCTTTGCAGCAATGTCTTTCCCCTTTTTTGTTTATTCTTTTTTTTTTTCCTGGCAGGGTCTTATTTTGTAGCCCCAGCTTGCCTGGACATCATGAATTTCCTGCGTTAGCCTTCTAGATGCTAGGTTCAAGGGAGGCACCACCATTCACAGCATTATTCATTGATTTAAAACATTATACTTCTCTTTTGAGACAATAAAAGCACATTAAAAAATATCTAAAAGCTCTAGCTGTGTCTTATTGGAAGTCTGGGACACTCACAATGTCCTTAAACACTTGAATACCTCCCCAACAGTTGTAGACATTATCACTCTACTGTTCCACGGTTCTGTGTGTCCTTGACAACCGGATGCATCAGGCACTCCGTGTGAGCCATGAGCTGGGCTGCCGTCAGAGAGGGGCAAGCACATGTCTTGTGTCCCTGTCTCTCCTGGTAAGTGGCTCTGTAGGATTCAAGGCTGACATCCATCTGTGCATTGTTGTCTTTGTATCTGAGACTTCTCTGTGCACAGCAGAGCTTTTTTCGCAGCATCTTACTCCATTCTCTTTTGCTCTAATAGAATGCCCGAGGCAGAGTAATTAATAAAGGAAAGAAGTTTATTCTTTCTGGGATACAGTTCTGGGAGCTGGAAGGCCAAGAGTGGTGGCTATCTGCTTAATCTCATGTCGTACCCTAACATGGCAGGGAAGCAAAAGGGCGAATGAGTGCAGACCCACGAGACAAAACACAAGGGCAGGCTCTCTTTGTAAAAACCCAATCTTGTGGTAACTAACCCAGCCCGAGGACAAAAGCGGTACACTGCTGCAGTGGCAATCAGCTTTCCCCACGGTTTCCATGGGGACAAGATTTATTCAAACCACTGCACACAACTTCCTTGCTGACGTAATGCCTCTTATTCTGCAGGGTCCATCCAAGTGATGGTGCTTGCTCTACCTATGTGGTTCCTATCTCTATGGGACCTGCTGTAGCAGTGGTTACCATTGCAGCGGTGATCTCGGCAGCAATGCTAGTCACTGTAGTTACATTTAGGGTCCCTGGAGATAGCTATTCTCTCCAACTATCTGTGTGAATAGATATGTATCCTGAAAACAAATTTTAGTAGAATGTATACCGTAGAAGGGGATCTTGGGCTGTCCTCACACTCAGGGCAGTCCTCTTGCCCCAGCCTCCCAGGAAGTTTGACTGTGTGCTGGGATTACAGGTATGTGTTCCTATACCCAGCGCATGCTCCTTTTAAAACCAGTGTCTATTCAATAAACTCAGTGTGTTTTTCTCTGTTCTGGAGATGACTTTGAAATCCTGTCAGTGACTACTCAGTACTGTATTCCACCATCATTTATTTATGCTGTAGCCTAGCTTGTGTACCGGCTCCTCGGCTTTTCAGCTCTCCACAGTGTTGAATGCTGTGGGGCCAACTGAAAGGCCGCAGTTGTTTCTGTCAGACCAATTCCTGACACTAACATTGCTGGGTCATAAGATGCATACATTTAAAAAATGTTACTCTAAATGACATTACCAAATGATTTCCCATTAAGGTGGCACCAACCTCCAATTGCCCTGCTAGGAAGTAAGCAGGTATCCATTTTCTCCAATACTAACCTCAATCCACCAAGCATTATGGTTTTGTAATCTTTGTGAATTCAATCAGAACAAAGCATTTGTCCTAGTCATATTTTTCATTTCCTTGAGTCTGTGTGTTATTAGAAACTCAATATATTTTGTGATCTCCTCTTCATGTCCTTGGCCCATTTTTTCTCATTGTTTTGTAACAATTTATTTTATATTATAGAGCCCTTTTTCATATATTACCAAACATTTTATTTAGTTACTTGACAGTTGATGAACCACTGTACCAAAGGTCATAATGAACGAAGTATGTTGCTGTGAACATCTGTATACAAGTACATAGAAGTTTTGACATGGGCACAATTTTCAACTGTCTCGAGGATGCCTGGGCATGGGCATGTGCTCAGCATCTGCTGGAGCCTCTGTGCTGGGTGCAGACATGATGTGAAGGGTCGCCTGGAAGACAGAGCAAACATGCTGCCTTGTGTCTCTCATCCTTTTTTGATAAAGCCCCAGAGGTCAACCTGAGAGCTCCACCCTCATGACCTCGTTTAATCGTAATTGTTTCCCAAAGGCTTTCCTTTCAAATACCATTAACATATGACCCTAAAGATCAAGCTTTTGGCATCAGGAATTCTAGGAACATATTCAAACCGTGGAAGTGATATTGTTAGTGCATGCCATAACTTTCTTCCATGTTTCCAGGAGCTGCTAAGTGTTTCCACGGAAGCTGGGCAATTTCTTACCCTTACTGGCAATGTATGAGGCTTCGAGTTTCTCCACATCCTCCTTTTCATTTCCTCCCCTCCTAAAGTGTGGGGATGTTATGGCATGCTGAGATTCATTTGCATTTTTCTGCTAATTAAGTTTCCTTCTCTGATACGCATTTGTCAGTACTGGGGGAGTTATCATTTGACTTTTTTGTTTGAATATTTGTTAATTTGTTTTGAGAAGGGCCTCTGCTCCCAGTTCCTCTACTTCAGTCTGCTAAATGTAGAAATTACAGGCATGTGATTTCCCTTCATAGGTACCCCAGGTTTCTCTCTCCCTTTTCTCCCCACCTCACTCTTTTGTTTGGTCTCTGAGACTGTGGCATCCTATAGCCCAAGCTGCCCTTGAGTACATAATCCTTCTGTATTAGACTCCTTGTGCAGGGCTTTAAGTGTGTGCTACCACAAGCAATTTATTGCTCTTATTTATAATGCTTTTGAGGCACAAGTGTCTCTGCCTATCTTTCTCTGACTTTCTCGTCTGCTCACATTCACTTGCTCAATTTTGCTTATACGATGACTACTGAAGCTCTTACTTTTCATAGAATCTTTTCTATTTTGTATTTCGGACTTTATGATCATGTTTAAATGCTACCCTTTGTTCCTAAGGTGGTATAAATGCTGTCCTAAAATGTTTTGTGGTCTTATAATTTTATCCACTTTATTTCTGTTAGAAATTTATTTTCATGGACTATATTGAGTTGTTTAATGCCAGTTGGATTTGTCACTTGCCCTTATATTATCTTTATACACTGCATTTTGTAGAGAGCAGCTTGGGTCAGCCTATGCTCCAAGAAAATGAGTTTACCTCAGAGACCAAAGAGGGATGAAGACCATGACTTTGGCCTGAGCAATTCCAGTGATAGGCCAAGGTGGCTCACTTTGGTTCATGTTCATATGACAGAAAGATTTAAACTGAGACACACACACACACCCTCCCTCCCTCTTTGGTCTCTGAGCTCCACCCATTTTCTCCAAGCATAGGCTGACCCAAGCTGCTCTACAAAATGCAGTGTGTAAAAGATAGTATTAGGGCAAGTGACAGATTCACCTGGCATTAAGCCACTCAATGTATGTGTGCATGTGTGTGTCTGTGTGCATATTTTGCACATAACATGGAAGCTAGATGTCAATGTTGAATGTCTTTCTTAATTACTTTCTACCCTAGTTTTTGAAACAGGGTCTCTTCACTGAGCCAGAAGTTCAGCGATTTGGCTAGGCTTGCTCTCCATACTCTGTCTTGAGATGAAAGGAAGAAAAAGTCGAATCACTAAGTCCAAACTCCAGGAAGCTAGTGACGTGAACACATTCACAAAGGGCGCCTGTGTGGATGCTTAACTTTTACCCTTGGCAGTGAGCACTTGTAGGACAGCAGAGGGGACTGACAGGCCAGCACCCTTGGCCTCTGAGCACTGGCTTCTGGAATCTCAGTGCTCGTGGGTCTGTCCTCTAGCCTCTCTGCTTTCTCCTGCACCAGTGATGCTGTCATGTCGGTGCTTAGCTGCGTGTGGGGTGATGATGCGTGCCTGCAAGTCTGTCTAGAGCACTGGCTTTCAGCTTTTGGCTCATGACCCCCTGGGGTTGCATATCATATATCTTGCATATTGGATATTTACACTAAAATTCATGACAGTAGAAAAATTACAGTCATGAAGCAGCAACAAAAATAATGTTATTGTTGGGGTCCCCACAACATGAGGAACTGTAATAAAGGGTCGCAGCATTAGGAAGGTTCCAGGGTAAGGCAGGAAGATCTGGAGTTTCGGGTTGGCCTGGGCTATATACCCTGCCTCAAAAACAGAACAGAACAACAATGCTGGTGCTGTTTTCATATTTCATTTAACTATTTAATGTTTTATGTGTTTGGGTATTTTGTCTGCCTTTGTGTCTATGTACCGTTGCTTGCCTGATGCCTAAGGAGGCCAGAAGAGAGTGCTAGATCCCCTGGGGAACCCGAGTTATCCATGGTTGTAAGCCACCTTGTGGGTGCTGAAAATTGACTCAGGTTCTCTCCAAGAGCATCTGGTTCTCTTAAACCCCTCTTTTAGTAAGTAGGCAATCAGAGATGTTTATAAAATGCCTTTAACTAGAAGATTCAGCTCCACGTAGTAACATAACAAACTTCATTTTCCCTCCCAAGACTTGTTTTTACAGTAGTTTTAAGCTCATAGCAAACCAAGTGGAAGGTACAGAGTTCCCGCATCCCACCTGCTCACCCCATAACCTTCCTTTACTCCAGCGGAGTGTTTTAACACTTAGAAACCGAGACCCTTTGACTGGTGAGGGAAATGTCAGTGCTTGTCACTTCCACCGTCATAGAAGAGCTTGTTGTCTCCATGTCCTAAAAGAGTCTCTCCTAAAATAGTCCTCCCCCAATTTCCACCAATTTCCTGAGAACATCATCTTCTGTCAGTGAGCATGAGGCCCTAGGATGAACTCAAGACAAGTTGACATGGCAACCTGTTGCTTGTCAAGGAGTTGTTCAGCAGGAATGGGGGGTCTCTCTCTGGGGAAGTGTGCATGTGTTAGCCTAACAGTTTTATCATGTGATGATAATATATCACCATAATCAGAGAAATCATTCTATCACAAGGAACTCTCTCCTATGTCCTTCCGTCATTCTCCCTAACCTAAATTAGCATCAGTGCTAATCTGTTCTGCATCTCTATAATATTTGAGAACTTTTTGGATATGAAAATATTATGTGTGGCCTTATGTCTTTGTATGTGTTTATGCTTCAACTATTTTGGTCTAGATGTGCAGCAGATACTACTTGGTGTTGTAATTTGCACTCAGGTCTAATTGCTTTTTGGTCATCCTTCATCTGCCTGCAAGCCTTTGCTCTGTCCCTTGTAAGATGGGGATGCTAAGTGAACTGTCCCTATTGGATAATGAAGAACTAAGCTTGAAGCCAGAGCCTAGGGAGTATTGTATGTAACAAGAGCTCAGTGTATAGAAATAATCATTTCACTAGGCCTTCTGGAGGCCTGAACCTACTCATCTTGGGGCCTTAGGGGTTAAAGCAGATGCTAAATGCCTTTGTCCTTTCCCCAGGTGGTGGCGGTTATGGCAGCACTGATGACCCTGGATCTGGTGGGTATCTATGGCCCAAAGTTTCTCTTGGAACCACAAGGAAAAATAAGACTGGCCCACTCTGGTCTTAGAGATTCTCTTTCCTGGCCTTCCCCAAATGTTTCCGTTAGTCAGCTTTCCATCACCATGAGAAATAAAAGAAGATAAAGCATATGCTGCTCGTGGCTTTCGAGGTGCTAGTGCATGGTCTCTTGACCCGGATGCCTTTGGACCTGTGGGCAAGTGAACTATCATGGCTAATACCCATGGTGGAGAAGGTACTCAGCCCACCTCATGGGTTCTTAGCAATACATAGCTGGCTGTTATAACAAAGCTCTGAAATCCATTCCACTGCAACTCCATCCCTTATTGAGGGTGGAACCTCATGATCCAGTTACTTTTCAAAGCTAGTATTGCTCCTCATTCTGCATAAAGGAAGCCTTCACCTCATGATCCTGTGGAGGGATAGTTCACATCTCAATCACCAGTTATCAATAGAATCAGGAGGCAAATAGCAGAGAAGAGCACCCACTCAGTGGACGTAACATGAAGAGCTAAGCCCTGGCATAGGTGGCCCAGTGGAAACCTAATGAAACAGAGATAATTGGGTATGTCTCTGTAAGAGAGGACTGCAATCTGCCTCTCGTGTTTCTCAAGATGAAAGTCTTTATGGAAGACCAGAAGCACTTGGCAAATCCAAGGGGCACCATGTCATTGCTATGCCATGGGTATCTGTGGCATAGCTCTTCTGCCTGCACTTGGAAATTATGGACATCTGAGTCAGCATAACTAGGGACTCTCAGAGCAGCAGAATCCTGAATGAACTTTTGGCACTTGGAGTTGGGGTCTTGTCTACTCAGTTCTCTCCCTTCTTCCATGTCCAGGCATGTCGACAGAAACTGGCAGCATTGCGGGTGTGGCCAGTGCCCTGGCCATGGCCCTGATTGGAGCTGTATCCAGCTATATCTCCTACCAGCAGAAGAAGTTTTGCTTTAGCATTCAGCGTAAGTATGGATCCAAGCAGGGAAAAGGGGTCAGGCAGGTTCTCACCCTTTCCCCCACCTGCTCAATAGCAGCAGGCTTCCTAGCAGGCACATCTTGTACATTCTTAGAGGCAAAATCAGGCCAAGCTGAAGGTTATCCTTGTCTGGAAGAGTGCATGGAGCCAGAAATGAGAGATCCTTATGACCTCAGATCTCTCCTAGGGGATGTGTGGCCTTTAGAGGCCCAGGGTCATAGCCCCTGTACTGACAATCAGAATAGTATAGTGTCCTCGAGTCTCTTTGACATGTCAGTGGACATCTCCAGGCCTTTTGTGATTCTGGAGGTACCCTTTCTGCTCTTGATTTCTTGATATGTCACCACTCGGATGCCCTCTGCTCCTCTTCAAGTCAGATCATTTAAAAATGTATGAACTCCTAAGTTGTTTGAGGAGTAGTAATGGAAGATCTCTCATCGAGTGATTTTGACTTTCTATGAGTTGGAATTGTGGAGGCCAGATTGCTTTTGTTGTAGGCTGTAGCCACAAGTATGGCACCTGTGGCTGAATCACATAGTTACGGAGGCTCTTAGGCTATTTTTACACCATGGCGTGGAGCCTCTGAGGATGCTGTTGAGGGAGAACAGAAGGACCAGATTTGTTGGTTTTAGTACCACAGCATCACTATGTCAAGTAGAATGTCTCCAGTTTCGGGCTGGCAAGGTTTACTTCAGGGGAGGGTGCATGACTCGGCCATACTTTCTCCCTTTCCTTGTCTTTCTCAGATTTTTTTTTTAATTTCTGGGAAGCTTAGGACCATTTCCTTTGGTCTCTAAATGTCCTTGGCATGGGCTTCTGCTTTTGGTGGCCCCTGGACCAGAGATTCTCAGGAAATTAACCTGGCTTCTGGGATTCTTTGTGTGTGGGCCTGATGACTGTTTTATCATCTGACCACAATATTGCCTATTCCTTTAGCTCTCATAGAGCATTTTTGTCTGGGATGCTACATGCTTGGTGCTAGGGTGGGTAGGAACACGGAAATATTTGGGGACGAAGACTAGATTTTTCCTACCTAAGCATTCTCAAGATGGCCTTGTGAAGAGGTAAAAAGATAACGCTTTGAACCTGAGCTGTGGCAAAGTTAGGAATTAACTGAGGGAAACATGCTATTCTGTGTGACTGATCAAAGTCATTAATATCATTTAGCAAATAGTTTTTTATTAATTTCTAGCCAGTCTCCTGCTCAGTGATGCTCTTAGACAGTGATGGGTAGGCCTGGGACCAGCTGGAGGCCTGGATCTGTCTTCACAACTGCCGAACATCTAATTCTGTTGGAGGCACTGTAGCAGGTCCATTTGTGCCATGGTTTTCTCATCATTTCTCCTCCTATGTGGTTAGGGAAGCCAGTCCAGGATTCAGCTTTAGCAATGAAGAGGTTGCAAGTCCTTCAAACCCAAAGCCTCTTTCCCTGCCCCGATGTGGGAGCCATCAGGGCATACCAGAGCAGTTCACTAGTGAGCAATTCTTCCTTACTCAGCATTCTTAGCTTCTTGTGGTTTCTAGGACCGAGAACTGTTGTGATTGCAAACAACTGTATGTGATGGCCATGCCCATAAACCCAGCATTAGTAAGTCTGAGGCAGGGGGATTGGGATTCTATAGCAATCTGTGCGACAAAGTGAGTTTCAGTCTAGCCTGGTCTATAGTGTAAGGCATTGTCTCAAATCAGGTACCCATAGGACCACACTCCTTGCAGAGACCTTGGAGAAGATGCTGCACCACATCTTTTAGCTTTCCAGGTGATCCAGGTGCTCCTTGGCTTGTGACTACATTACTTTAATGCTGTCTCCAACTTAAATCCTGAATGCAGGCATTCTGAGATCCTTACTTGTGTTGGCAAGATCCCTATCCCAGATAAGGCAACATTTACAGGCTTAACAGTGGGGTCACAGGGACTGATGGGAGAGGCCTAGCATAGCTTCATGAGGTGGACAGGTTTCAGTGAGGCCAGAGAGGCACAAAGGGAGGGAGACTGCGAGGGTCTGGGTCCAGTCCTCATCTGTCCCACTTGCTCTGTTAAGGAGATGGCGGTTAGGAGCGCTCCCAAGCTAAACAAGCAGGCTAGGCAGGCTGACTTGCTTACATGGGGCTGGGACCTTAGACTTCATTGTCTCTCCCGCTCCTGCGTCTGTCCTCCCAAGCTGGAAGTCTGCCGTCCTGCGGTGCCTACTCTTGACAAGCCCCACATGTTTCCCTTTTCTGGTTGCCCGTCCGTTCCTCTTTGACTGTCTGCCTTGCACCTCGCCTTCTTCAGGGAGAACCGTTGAAATATACTGGACTTCCCCACGTTCCCTGATGATTGATTACAAGTCACAGCCCAGACCCTGAACTGAACCTGACATTTAAAGTCCTGGCTATTTGGCTTCTCCTTGTCCCCAGGAAGTCTTCCTTCTCCATAGCCATTTCCCCTTTCTATGTGCTTCGCCTTCTCCAGGATACAGCCTTACTGTTCCAGCCTGGGGTGTCCTCTCCCAGCCTTTGTCGTTTCCCCTCTGCATCCCTCCTTTCTGCTCTTACTGTGGCATGGGGTGGCCTCTCCCAAGGAGCCTTCTCTCTGGCCAGTCTGGGACTGCAGCAGCCATGCTGCATTGTGCTGCCACAGCGCCCCCTGCTGACCTTGTTCGAGCCTGGATTAGGCTGCAATTTCCATGTCTGACTAGACTCAGCTTGCACCTCTCTTGACTGTCCATTCTGGAGCTGTGTGAGGCAATGTCACTGCCGCTGTGATAGTGCACAATCAGGAAGTATTCCAAGGGTGCTTGTGTGGGGGGTTAGCTTTGTAAGAAACAGGTGTGTGCTTCTGATCTCCACTGTCTGACTGGATTGCTGATTAGAGTCAAGCGTGGCCTCCAGTGATTGGAAAGCCCCAGGGAGATGGATGTCAGGAGGACCTGCCCCTACCTCTTTGGCCTCCAACCTCTGTTGCTACCAAAGCGGTTCCCATTTTGGGAACACTCAGTTCCCCTGCCCACCCTCAGGGCCAAGTATCAGTTGAATCTCATGTAAATACCTGAAGGGTTTGTTGCCCGGAGCTGAGTTCTTACTCCAGAGTTCTAAGCTTCGTGTCTTGCCTTTGGATGCAGCAGAAGGGCAAGGTAACCATGCGTTTTGACTTCTCATGTTTCTTGTGCTTTGGCCCTGGAAGCCTCACTATTCCCTTCTCCCTGCTCTCTACCTAGCCTCTCTCCCCGGCATTCACCAATTTGCCTGTGACCATACCATCTGTAGCCTTTCCTGACATGTTGTAAGGCTGCCATCTGCCACCTCATCTATTCCCAGGCCCAAGATAACTGGAGTCAGGCATGTCCATGGGGTGGGGGGCACTCATACCCATGGGTGAACATACCCCAGAAGCCACTGGAGGAAAAAGGCTATCTCCTGCTTGCCAAATGGGAGTACGGGCAGTGGACTGGAAGCCCAGGGCACGTCTTCCAGCTCCTGCTCATTGGCACTGGGGCCATCGCCTGCCTGGCTTTGCATGATAGTTAACCACCCCTGCTGGAGAATACTACCTACATTTTTCACAGGCCCATCTGACTTTCCCTTTGAACCCAACAGCTATTATGTCCAGTAAAATCCAGGAAAATGACTTGTGTCCAGTGAGTTGGTCAGTTAGAATCAGAACCCATTTTCCCTGCAGGCCCTCAGTTAAGAGAGAAGACACAGAAGACTCTGGCACTTATACAAATAGGGGTATAGCGCTGCTCCAAGTCCTTGAGTGATGGGTGACCTTTGACTGAGTGAAAAGGATGCTTTGTTGAGTTGCTTCATTGTCCTTGAGGATAATGTGTGTGTGGGGGGGGGGAGACACTGATTACCAAGTAGACTGGAACAGCTGCTCGTACACCCTGGGTCCTCCAAGTATGAGGAAGGACAATAGTCATTCCTGGTGGCTTCCTTGTGCATGCAGTCGCTGGGAAGGTCACATGCTGGCGTTTCCAGAGAGAGCTTCTGTGCATCTATATCTGCCCCTCCTTACCCTGCATCCATCAATCATTCCCTTTAACTCTTGGCTCCCTCTTTACCTCCCTGGACTCTGGGCCTCATATGGTTTTATGGATGGTCTGGAGCCCGGTCATCTGGTACCTTCTTTGCCTTGACATGGTGGCAGTGGTCCTTTATGGAAAGGGGCAGGGGGATTGTTGGGTATTTGATGCATGATGCTGTTTGCGAGGATGGTGATGGTCCTGGGCAATGTGCTCCTTGGTGGCCAGTCTTTGATTCAAAGATGATGTGCTGGGATTCAGGGACGGGGCTGATTCTGGCAGGGTTACTGTCATAGCAGACACAGTCAGGAGTTCTCAGTCATGAGGGCTCCTTTGTTCCCTCCTTGACTTTGCTCTTGCTCTTTGCAGAGGGCCTCAATGCAGACTACGTGAAGGGGGAAAACCTGGAAGCCGTTGTGTGTGAGGAACCCCAAGGTGAGGACTTCTCCATCAGTGCCCCCCTCTGAAGGCTTTCCAAATTCAGTGGCTCCAACACTGAAGACACCTGGGTTAGGGAGGCCCATAAGAATCTGCTTCTGGAATGTCTGCTCATTACAAAACCTTCAGGGGCCCAGGTCTGCCTGTATCCTGTGACTGGTCAGCTGGCCTCCCTGTTTCTTAAGAATTGGGACACTGGCACCATGGTGATGACTTCTAGGTACTTTTGCTGCTCAGCCCAAACTGTGGAATCATCTGAATGTGAGCCCAGGACACCTTACCTCTTTGCCAACACACACATATGGCCTGGGCATGCTTATCCATGGGAAAGGTTTGCATCTAGACCTCTACTCTGTTTTCAACTTTTGTATGTTTGTGACAGAATCTCAGGTAGGCAAGTTAGCCTCAAATTCACTTTGTAGCTAGGAGTATCCTTGAATTTCTGATTCTTGTGACAGAATCTCAGGTAGGCAAGATAGCCTCAAATTCACTTTGTAGCTAGGAGTAGCCTTGAATTTCTGATTCTCTGCTTCTACCTCCTGAGTGCTGGGATTGCAGGTGTATGTTCACCTGTAATGGTCTCTAGAGCTTTCAGTTAGAAAATGGCTAATGACAAGGAGACACATAGTTCAAAGCCAGTTCTGTTATCCTCTGTGGGGTTATTGAGCACTTTTGGGGTTCAGTGGCTACCAGTAATTAGAGGCTACATATGGTAAGGCCAAAGGAGAGGGAGAGGACCATTCCTGTGGCCCGAGATTGCTCCTGGGGAGGCATGGTTTCATGAGGCAGTGAGGTAGCCTGCTCTCCCAAAGCTGAGCCTGTGCTGGCACTGACAAGGAGACAAAAAGAGCAGAGCTACAGGATGGCAGCTATGGAGGCTGGTGCTGAGGAGGGATGAGGCTCTACCTGGTCTGTAATGGAGAGTGAGGTCCCCAGGCCACTGCTTCTGCAAGTTTTTTGGTAGTGCAGCACCACAGATATGGAAATGGCCTGGGTGCAGTGCAGAGGTGTGGATTCTGTCGCAGCTGTAATTCTTCCACCAACCCTGATGAACACCCAAGGGCTGTGATGAATGCTTTAGAGCCACTAATCCAGAAGCGTGCCCATTTTCTAGATGAGGAAATGGAGGCAGGGCTCTTTGTGCAGCCTGACAGGCATCTGCCTTTACTCCCCTTGACCCAACCTGAACTTTGCATCCAGGACTCATGGCAGTCCCTACAGGGCTCGGTGAGCAGGCCTCGGCGGTGCTGACCTGCCCATGCAGCACAGAATTCAACTGCTAACGGGACTTGGGTAGAGCAGAGGTCGCAAACTCCCCTAACACATGTCTTCTCTTCCCAGTGACATACTCCAAACAAGAAACACAGTCTGCAGAGCCTCCACCACCTGAGGCACCCCGGATCTGAGGCCCTGTTCAGTGGCAGGTGCACAGGAAGGGTGCCACCGCTTGGGACCCAGCTCCAGATTTCATTTGCTGACCTTTTCCTCAAGTTTCTTCTCATGCCACTGGCTTCTTATTGTACTGAATTTTCTGTACAAACAAACCTTAGGTGTTTGTGAGTGTCGTTTCTGTGCCCTGTCCTGCAGAGTATGGTGACTCCGAAGAGACTTGGTGCTGAGACCTAAGACCTGCCTTGAGCAGATCACGAGCATTACAAGTTGCTGGGTCAAAGAGACAGCCTGTTCCAGCCTTAGCATGGGAAGAAGGAGGGAGACCAAGGTGAGGGTGTCCCAGAGGATGGTGGAGACAGTGCTGAAGGAGAACATTTCTGCGTAAGCAATCCCTAGGTCCTATGAGACTCTTCATCTAGAATGCCGGAGGCCTTGCTGGGACACTGGCCACTAAAAGCTGTGAGCAGGTTGCTCAGCTAGCGTCTGGTACAAGTGGAGCCTCTGCAAGAAGCAGATCGGCCAGCACCAAGTGCACCACACACACACACACACACACACACACACACACACACACACACCTAGGCGTTTAAAAACATTTTGTTGTTCTCTCCACAACTTCGGGTTCCTATTGCTCAGCTTCCAGAGAGCTTGTCCAGGTGGGGCACGAGCTCTTTATTTTAGTGCAAGCATGCATCTCACAGTCACCTCACCCTGAGTTTAGGAATCTGGAGAACGTGGGAGCTGTGACTTGCCGGCTTGATTCCCATTTGATTCCATAAGGGTCTCTGGCTGGCCTGGTAACTTCTGCATTGGAAACGCGTTTTCTACCAGGTTGGGGTAGGTGCTCACCCCTGCCTTGTACATTATCTTATTTCGGTAGCAAGAGTTACAGAGCCTGAGAATGAACATGGAAACCAGGAGCATGGTTGCTGCTTTACTAGGAGCAAATGGGGACGGGGGAGGGGGGGAGGGAAGCTGGTTTAGCCGAGTGGAATGTCACTGCTGCCTTTGTAGTCCTGTAGCTTGTCCTCATTGCTATAGTGAAGAGGGCTCTGGCCATGTTCACTGTGATAAATAACAGGAAACCAAGAACTAGGGCTTCACCAGGCCCAGAGATGCCTGCTACCACCTAGTTGGGGCCAGAGCTGGCTACTTCCTGGATTGTTCCTTTGACTTTTGGCTCTTGGCTTCTGTGAGCTCTGCAGTGAACCCTGCAATTGAAAGCTAAGCTAATTTAATGTGAACTAATAGTTTGTCCTGTCAAAAAGCACTTCAGAAAACAGTGTGTGTCACTGGGAAAGCAAGATCCTACTTACAAAACTCACAGTTCCTCTGGACGACATGATGGCCCCATATATTCCACAGACTGTGAATTGGCTCCTTTACATCCGCTGAGCTGGGATAAGGGACACCCACCTTAAGAAACCACTGAAACCTTGTGCTGTCTAATGCATGCCGTGAATGTGTTTGTTCTTTAAAGACTATTCATGGTGGAGGGCTGGTGGTGTCATGTCTCCAAGCAGCCTGAACACTCGTTCTCTGTGTGTACCTGTGGGCTATGAGATGCCCCTTTTGACTGGCCTTTGGTCCCAGGCAGACTAGGTCTGTGGATCTGATAGGGAGGCTGGAACACTGGGGAAATGGCACCAAGATGGAAAAAAAAAAAACCATGGCCTCAGGAAGCCCCCTTTGTTCTTCAGCAAGTTAATTAGCAAGGGATGCTTGCAAGATGTGTCGGTTTCCAGAACCTTCTAACTTGCTGGTCAGATTGCTGTCAGCTTCCTCAGAATTGTGCCTCACTGACACCAAGGACATCAAGAGACAGCGATGCCACCTTCTGGCCAGTGCTGAGCTAGAGGTGGCTTAAGGAAGACTTTAGTATCTGGCCTGTTGTCGTGTAGCTAAGGTAATCTCAGGGGGGTTGTCTACTTTACCTTTATGCTGAGGCCTGTCTGATGGCAAAAGCCCTTGAACCCCACAGCCATGATGTAAAATAAATGCCCTTTTGTGAAATTGTTTTCTCAATAGCACTGGTTCCAGTGAAAAAGAGCTCTACTTTGCTCTCCCTTAGCTACCTCGGTGCCTTCTGCATAAAGCCCTTCTGCATAAAACCCATCACTCAGCCCGCAGGCGCTAGCTAAGTGGCTGGACAGGCCTGGACGGGCCATCGGCCTCCTGTTCATACAGTCTCATCCCAGGGGCCGGGCTCCTTCTTCCCACTGGCATTTTATACTTGCTGGGGCATTGTGGCCTGCAGAAGTCATGGGACTGGTCTTCTATGTCCCCGCTGAAAGCTGAGCTGGCCAACTTGGGCTAGTCCCAGGTAATAGACGGGAGAAAGTGAATAAAGTGGAAGAGCCAATTGCCAAGATCAGATCTCTAGAGGTGTGACTTGACAGGAAGAACTTCAAAAAAGCTCCTCAACATTCTCAAGTGGCTTGATGCAGGGGACTGCCCACCCTGCTGTGGGACAGGCCTGCTGTCTCAGCCATTTGGGTTGTAGTTAGTACCAGTTCTCCGAGGAAAACGTGTTGGAGACTGCCAGAATCCCTGTACATCGTTTTATGTGCTTGTGTCCAAGTGTGAATTGTAAATGGTCTAGTGTTTGCATTAAACAAAATGGAATCCAACAGCCTTTTGTGTTCTGATGATATCCATCTTTTCCTACTGTCATTTGTGATATGACACTGACTTCATTCCCCTTTCCCCAGCCAAAGGTGTGTGTTGAGCAGGTTGGCCTTTTGCTATTAGTCCCCTCCAAAAGTGTCCAATTTCAGGGCTGGTAGGCTCACATGGCATAGGAACTGTCTGATGTACTGGGATGAGGGGAGGCCAGAGCAGAGCACCTTTGCCATAGCATCATTTCCTTCAAGAGGATGAGCATTGGCTCTACCATCCAGGTAACTCTGGAGCATCCTGCTCAGACCTCAAAGTGAGCCAGGAATGAGTGCGCTTTCTTCCATGGGGCGCTATTACAGGTGGCAGTCTGGGAGGCAGTCCAACCCTCTTGTGCCTAATATTGGGCTCTCTTGCTAACTCAGCCATGATTCACATGAAGAGGGTGAGTAATGCCCTTAAAGAATGGTGGCACACAGGAGGTGGTGTAATTTCACACTAGGTTTTAGAACCTTGAAAAAAGTACACAGTCCCATAGAGCCGACAAGGACTGAAGAGAACAGCGTATTTGCATAAGGAGAACCACTGCTTCTGCTTACTCCAGGTCTTTGTATCTTCAACATTTCTTCAAGGTTATGAACAAGGGGACTTTCAGATTTGAAAATCAGATCACCTACCTGTTCCAGCCCAAACACTCAAGACTCACACTAAATTACTGACAACTTAGTAAGTCAATCAAGTAGCATTGGGCATAGTGGACAGTGAGGACTACTGAGAACTCAAGAACAATGGCAATGGGTTTTTGATCCTACTGCACGTACTGGCTTTGGGGGAGCCTAGGCAGTTAGGCACCTTACTAAACCTGGATGGAGGTGGGCGGTCCTTGGACTTCCCACAGGTCAGGGAACCCTGATTGCTCTTCGAGCTGATGAGGGAGGGGGACTTGATCGGGGGAGGGGGAGGGAAATGGGAGGCGGTGGCGGGGAAGAGGCAGAAATCCTTAATAAATAAATAAATTTAAAAAAAGTAGGCCGGGCGGTGGTGGCGCACGCCTTTAATCCCAGCACTTGGGAGGCAGAGGCAGGCGGATCTCTGTGAGTTCGAGACCAGCCTGGTCTACAAGAGCTAGTTCCAGGACAGGCTTCAAAATCACAGAGAAACCCTGTCTCAAAAAAACCAAAAAAAATAAAAAATAAAAAAAGTAGCATTGGGCACTTTACATATATTAACTGTGGCAGGCGTATAGTAAGCATTCAACATGCTATTTTATTAGTACTCACTTTCCTCAGGTGGAAAGCTACTGGAATGGCCAAAAGAGACAACAAAAAGACCAGGGAGCAAACATATTATAATTTTAATTACACGTTGGGATACAGTGCATCAGATGAGGCAAATACAATATTATACTAGTTGTTTAAAAATCTGAACCTTAAAGGTTTTACATTCTAGTACTTAAATAAAACAAACATGAAATAATTGTTTCTATAAGAAAACTACACTTCAAGTTGTTTTAGAAACAGTTCTGTGCTAGAAACATACAAAGGGAAATACTCTGTTGTGCTTCTTTAAAATCCAATGGAGATTCCTTGGGGTGCTGCAGACACACAGCTGGGGGGAGGACGTGGCCTGACCAGGGGACAGATCCCAATCTGCCAGGGTGGCTGACCACCAAGCAGTGGTCCCTATCGCTTCTCTGGTTCTGTCAAAGCATCATCCAGCCCACCCTATGTTTAGTAGTCCTGTTGTTGCTGGGGAATTACACAGTATTTCTAAGGAAAATGTTCCCAGTTTTAAAAATTATATGAAGGAAAAATATTGTAGTTTGTGTTATTTTCTTTTTGGTATTGACTTTGAGAGAGGGTTCCACAATATAGCCCAGCTGGTCCAGAACTCAATATACAGTTAAAGCTGGCCCTGAACTCATGGCAGTCCTACTCAGGCATGGCAGTTTATCCATTTACAAATAAGGTGTTGTATATATGAGGAGAATAAATCAAAACTAATATGACAAACTATAGTTTAGAAACAAATCCCCTAGATGATAAAAATGGAGACTTGATCTTAGCTTATCAAACTTTGAATAAATGTCTCTAGTTATCTTATGGTTGGATAGTTTTCTGTAAGAATCAGAATGTTCCAAGTTGAAAAATCATCTACTTTCTATGTATTCAGCTGTAGAAAACCCTTTAGGAATATGTTTTGAAAACTGAGATCAACATGTAGAACTGCATGGCATCCAGTGAGTTGACGCTGACGAGAGGAAGATGTGATGCATCTCTGCTCAGGGGCCGACTCTGTCAGCTTCGAACGCATCTCCAACTCTGAAGGACCTAGTGACATGCAAAACTAGGCATGTCAGTGGGGGTGGGGATGCTGGCACTGCACACAGAGGAGCTGATGGGAAATTCATTCCTAGAAGGACTGCTGGAGTAGCAGAGCTCATTTGTTAACTGCGGAGTGAGGCCTGGATAGCCGAGGGTGGCTCCGAGAAAGGAAAAGCAAGGAAGGAAGAGCATGCTATGCTTTCCAAACCAAAGCTGCAACACATTGGTTGCTTTAAAGAATGGACAAGCAGCTATTAGGTAAACTGAGAAGGGACTGTGATAAATGAAGACATGGTGTCCCGATATATAGCAGGGAAAGCAGACTTGCTCTGACACGGCTGCTGGACATCTTAACAGGTGGTAGGATGCAGGGTTCAATGGCCAGAACAATTCCCAAAACTTGATCTTTTAGAGAGCCGTCAACACACACACAGAATTGCTGCTTGAGCCCTCAGTTTACCTGCAACAACCTAAGGACTGAGCATTCATAATTCTCTGTTACCTCTATCAGTGAATAAATGGGTTGTGCCGCCTCAAAAGGCAAGTCCCAGAGTTAGAACAATACTACATTGCCACTGAGATGACATATCTGAAATCTTAATTCAAATGTACCACACAAAAGTCAGCATAAACTCTGTTGGGCAAGAATTTCTCATACAGCACAGTTCAGCAGATGACTCCTGAGACAACTATTCTAAACATAAAAAAGGACATAGGAAAATAAAGGCATGTTTCTCTTTAAAAAATACCTGTATGTACACAACAGTACATATTGTACCAATTGTACAGGAGGACTTCTTGCATGAAGATAACTGTAGAACAAGTGGCAGTGGTCCATTTGCCACACTAGCATTTCATTTAGAACCAGTTTTCAAATTGTGCTGAAAGGCTGAGAGAAGCCACATGGCTTGTGATGTGTTCTATACGTGAACAGGTTGTTCCTAACAAAGGACTTAACTTGGAAAGAAGTAGTAGGAGATTCTCTTAAGCTGAAATACCACACTGTATTCAATCTAGTTTTTCCCAAGCTACCTGTACAAGACAAGGTAGCTCACAGGGTGGGTGTCACATCTTATGCCCCTGTGAGACTGCCCTCAAGAAAGTCACAGGCTGTTCACATAAAAGAACTCATTAATAGGAGCTGTCACCTAGCCACACAAATGGTCTCTGGACCTAATCCTAAGATGACAACTAGAACCATAAAATCATTGGCCAGGTCCCTGAGCTGCTGGAAGACAGTAGAGCAGAAGGATGGTTGGCCCAGGACACTGGCCTTGTTCATCAGACTGAGGTGTGGACAGGAGTGACCGAGTGGGTAGGCGAGGAGCCTCTCTCAGAAGCTGAGATGGCTCGTGTGGCCACCTCCCACTGCAGATCTTCCACACGCTTCTGCAGCTCAGCCTTGACAGCCAGCAGCTCCTTGAGATTCTGGTGAATTGGCATCTGGCAGTGAACAGAGATAAGGCTGTTAGCATAATGCTGCTGGAGCATGGTTTGTTCCAAACACAGCATTTCAGTATCTAGGCTCATAGCCTAATGGTTCTTTACCACCCAGACATCTATGTGCCTAGACTCCTGACCACTGACCAATGTTTCACCAAGTGTAAGTGACTGTCTTCTAAGGTCAGGGTTTCTATTTCTGTGATATTACACCAGAACCCAAAACAACTTGAGGAGGAAAGGGTTTGTTTCAGCTTACAGCTCTCAGGCCACACTCACCAAGGGAAGCCAGGGCAGGAGCTCAAAGCAGGAACCTGGAGGTAGGAGCTGAAGAAGAGGCCATGGAGGGGCGCTGCTTGCTGGCTTGTTTCTCATGGCTTGCCCATCCTGCTTTCTTATAGAACCCAGGGTCATCAGGCTAGGGGTGGCATTGCCCTCCCACATCAATCACCAATCAAGAAAATATACCACAGGCCAGTTTTATGGAGTCATTTTCTCAGTTCAGTGTCCTTCTTCCCAGATAACATTAGCCTGTGTCACACTGACATAAAACTAACCAGCACAGTGATTCTGTCTCCACAAGTTAGGAGCTTTTGATGGTTACCCAGGCTGTCCTGCAGCCCCTGGGACCAAGCTAGGCATGAAAAGGCACTGGGGTAGGCAGGCCATCCTCAATCTCCATTCTCTTTACTCTCAGGAAGGAGCAAACAGGTTCAGGTGTAGCCACAAGTCAACAAGGCAGCCTTTGGAAGAGTCGGAAGTGCAAGCAGCTTCTTCGCAGCTGCCAGACTAAGCAGTGTTCGTCAGCCCCCAGCTCCTTTAGCCCTGTACTCGTGTATTTTATAAACACTTCCAGGAAGTCAGCACTCTCTTCAGCACAGACCTCCGTGTTTCATCACCTGAAACAGGAGCTGGTAGAAAGCCCCTGGAGGGCATTGCCAGCACGCAGGTGCGCCAGGATCCCAGTCCTTTGTTTCCCAACTAGTGCATTTTCATTGCTTCACCCTGATTATCATTTAGACCCCCCGATGATGGTGGGGGGGCAGAACAAAGCGATGAGAAGGTCCTCATGTTTATGCTCATCACACCCAGCTTTCTAAGCTAACAGACACCCTCAGTACCTACTAGGAGCCCAGATTGGAGACCCAGCTTTTCCCTTATAGACAAAAGTGACCATATAGATTTCTTAGACTGGGGGTGATGTTGAGCAGCAAAGGTCACCAGCTGCGGACAAAGGAGGCATGGGCAGGGTCTGGAGAGCCCTGTTTCCTTTCCAGTTCATTGTACACACAGCAGCTACTGGATTTGGTCCTAAGCCTCAGGGAGACAATATGGCTCACCACATACCACTCCTCAGTGTCTACTTCCTCAGGACTAAGAGTAAGACCCTGAGCTTGGCCTCTAAGGCCAGCCTACTTCTCTGGCCCACCTCTCACCAGGTCCTGCTTCTACACCCTCAAATACTTGAAACTATCATTCTGGGTGTTATTGGCAATCATCCTTCTTAGTGGGATGGGAGAGACCCAGCAAGACTGACAGGAGGAGAACGAGCAAAGACAGCCAGGTGTCTCAAACAACAGAAATGTTAAAAAAAAAAAAAACCAAACCAAAACTCCATTTTGGCAGGCTCCAGAAAGAGAAAGTCAGAAACACCATTATTACATAGCAAAGGCTGGCTCTAGAGGCCATTGTGCTCTGGGGGAATGCTCCATTCCTCTCAAAATGTCTGTCTTATTTACCACAGGCATGAGATTATTTAGCCCAGTCACAGGTGGTAATAATACTTTGCAATCAAGTCTTTATCAGTAACCCACATGGGATCTTGGGAGCAAAACATGCAGGGTCTGAGACCCATGGTTGCTCAGTGAACTGCTATCGCTTTATATTTTCATGTAGCTTTTGGTATGTTTTCTCACATTTCAATTTCATTTTTAGGTATGCAGAGGCATGCCTGCAGGAATAGAAAACCCTGAGGCTTAGCTACAATGTGGTTATATTAGAGAAAATGCCCAGGAAAAGGCCAGTCATGTCTATCTCTTGGGCATGTATAAGATTCAAGCCAAGAGGGCGCTAAGAGGATACCCACTGCCATACACCATACTCATCCTTTGCTGGATGCTGATACGGAGGCCCTTAGTGGCCAATTTTACTACTTCTTTGTCTCAGAAACCTGATGTCTTGTGTCCTTACTTTCTTCTGCACACTTTTCTCTACTTAAGCTGGCTCAGTGTGCCACCATTTTCTATCCACACCATCTACCTGTATATTTCCAAGCCCCAGTCTTCAGTGCATCACCCTTTCCTCTATCTGAATGCTGGCAGTGGAGAAGCAATATTTTCTGAACACAACCTGACCTTGCCACACAAATGTCACCTACCCCTCTAGAATTGCTGTCACCAAAGTTCTGCATGGCCTCCCAAAACACTGTATGCTCAGCATACTTAGGAGGTATTTGGTATGCGTTTGCTACATTTAGGGGAAACTATGACTCATAGCTAGCCTTCTCAGTTCTCCCTTTTGCACAGCACTGTGTAGGGAAAACAGAGTGCTGCTTTCCCACGCCTGCCACTTGGCCAGTATGACAGCATGGTACTATGAACTACTTGGTACAGATCATGCTTACATGCCCCTATGAAGGCTCAGGACCTTGTTCTAGATCTGGCAGCAAATCACTGATAAAGATGGAGTTTGACCCTGGACAGGGGCATGTGCATGCCAACATGTACCAGGCAGCAAGGTGCTGGATGAGTTCTGGTTTCTTTCTGTCATTTTCTTTCACTCTTTGTGTGGGACTTTCATGAGTATTAAGTGAAGTTATATGCTCAGTGAAACACAGAGGTGCAAGATAGCAGCAATGCTATGGCTCCTCATTGCCCTCAACATGCTGAACCCTGATTTGCTTACCTTTATAGGAAACTGCAGTTTGCATTTAGAGACAGACTCTTGCAGGCTATAAGTTTTACGAATGACTTGGTCCCTGGCAGCCCTCCACTGCAGGAGTGTGCAATGAAGACGTGTTGCTAAGCACTAGCAGAAGGAATCTACTTAGCTATGAGGATGCTTTCTACCTAGCTTCACCACCCTTCAAGTTTTCAACCTGTACAGAGTATGGGTATGGGCAGATGGCAACTCCTGCAGTCCCTGAGAAGCCACTCAGTTCCCAGCGTGCACTGACTTGGTATTCCCCTAATGCTAAAGACATTCCACCCACTCTATATGCCTTGTCATGAGTCATCAAGACAACTCTTTAGTAGCCTTTTCTAAGTAATATAAAGTGGCCAGTTTGCAACATGGTATAATAGCCCAACTTTTCTGTTACTCAGTCAGGTGCCTAAGCATGACAAAAATATACAACAGTAGGAAGCTGCTCCAAGTGGAATACATGCTTTGTTTCCTAAGCCACATGAGAAATCTGGGCAAGGGAAACATGGTAAGTAAGGGAGAATTATGAGGGATATGGAAGGGGGAAAGGGTGAATAGGTAAATGGGCAATGGCAGCTTATTATAATCAAATAATATTATGTGTTATATATGGAAATGTCATAATGAAACCCCTGCATGTGCCATTGTACAACACACACTAATAAAATAGTAATATATTTTTGATAAATCTGATTCTACTTACTGAAAAAGAAGTGCTCATCGGACCCTGAAATAACCCAGTACAAAAATACTGATAAGGTCAGAAAGGCAAGTATTTCTGGATTGCAGTGAAGGACAGACATGCCCCTTGCACTTCCATCTCTGTGGGGCTCTGCTGAGTCACTAGCACTAAAAGAGAAGGGGCAGTAGAGGTATAGGCCATGGGGAGCATAGGGCCTGGACCTAGGGCCTGGCCTTGCAAGGAGGGCAAGTGCTGGGCTCAGTCTGATCACATAGTTTCAGAGAATATTCCCGAGGTCCAAGGGCGGCAGGGCTAACTCAGAATGTAGAGGAAGAAAGCTCTCGCCATGTGGAACATTTGGAATTTAACAGGAAAGCATCAGAAAATGAGGCAAGTGACCTCAGCCTGGGCTGCAATGTCACACAAAAGAAGATCAGGGGAGGAGATATGTACGTGTCAGCAGTGCAAAAGTGAGCGCGCTGTCTAGGTGAGGGAGGGTAAGCAAAGTGATGGGAGCACCTGGAGTTCCATTCTGGGCAAAGAAAACAGAAAGGAGTAGTTTCAACTTTCCCCTAGCTAGCGGGGCTTAAGGAAGAAATAGAGACTGTACAGACTTCAGGTGAGGGACAGATGAGGAGCAGGATGAGTTTCTGGTCCTTGGATGATGAAATTAGTGATGTTAAAGCAAAACCTAACAACATATTCCTGTTAGTTGTCCTTTAAACCACCAGAGCATTAAACTCAAGAAACAACAAAAATCGCAGCAGAAGGCTGCCTCTGTATGACATCTTTCTAGACCTAGACCCTGCCAGGCCTGGCTACCTATGTGGTACAGCGGCATTTCACTCGTACTTTAGTAAATAAATCTTGCCTGAGGATCAGAGAGTAAAATAGCCCCACTGGTCAGCCTTATAGTCCAGGCAAGTGGTGACACACACCTTTAATCCCATAGACACACTAGTTTGCCATAGAAACCAGGCAGTAGTGGTGCACACCCTTAATCCCAGCCCTAGAGAGCAATATAAGATGGGAGGGGGCAGCTCTCAGTCACAGTCTCATTGTGAGATTCCTGGAGGCAGGATCGCCATTTCGGACTGAAGTAGAGGTAAGAGCCAGTGGCTGGCTGCTTTGCTTTTCAGATCTTCAGGTTGAACCCCAATATCTATCTCTGAGCTTTTATTAACCGCACTTCAATGTGGAGAATACTAAGGGTGGAGAGCAAGGCTGGGTCAAAGCTCTGGTATATCTGATCAGGGAGCATCAAGAGCATCAAGAGCTCAGCCACTGAACAGAACAAGTGGAAGGGAGGCTTGCTTGACTGGCCTCTGTTGTGCACTGTACCTTTTTTAAAATGTCAAAACCTGTTTCTTTACTGTGAAATTATGTAGCAGGGTAGGGAAACTTTACTGTAGCTGCTCAACAACTCATCACAATCCTCTTCTATTACATCAGAAGTGAACCTCGGTGCATTTTCCTCCACTGCCTCCATAAGTACACTTGCAGGGGGAGGTGCCACCCACAATACCTCCCAGAAATTTATAAGATTCAGAAGCAAACACAGCAAGAGATGATACATTCATCTTTTCATACTTTTGTCAGAAGACATACATGTAAGAGTTGGAACTCTAACTCAGCAAGTGGTTCAGGGTTGGTATGTGGGTGGAACCTTCTGAAATGGGAACACAAAAGATGGAGCCTTGACTTCTAAGAACAATAGCCCTTCAATATGTCAGTATCTACTATACACACATTTTTATAATACCAACTTCATTTGAAAAGAAAGACTTATTCTTTTAAAAAGAAGAATACAAAATTACCTGTGGTCTCATCCGTGGATTCCATCGTACATAATAATTTACCCACAATTCCAAGTGACTCATACTAGCAACAGGATATAACACATGGTTCTCATAATTCACAAAGAAGGGATTTGAAAATTCATCTAGCTGGCTATTAATATAAGACCATAAAGATATAGTCTTTGTATATATATCCTGAAAAAGAAAAAAAGCACTACATTGAAATAAATTCTCCACAGCCTCAAGGATTAGTATTTCAGAAAGGGAAGAATTTGGATAATGAAGTGAATTCAAACACAGAAAAATCTATGCACATTAACTAAGGCCCACCCCTCTGGCTATGCATAGCCTCATGCCACATGTGTGCTGTTCCAGGAAAACATAGTGTTCAAGCTAGGCAATCTCTGGCAATTGTATCTGTAATGAGGTAGAATAAGAACTTTCTAGCATCTACAGGATAAGCAGGCTCATTAATAACAAATGCATACTGAAGTCTGGATTGATGTTTGTTTCTGTGACTCTTCATAATCATAAATGTGAGTTAAATTTGCATTTAGGATCCCCTGCAATGGCATGGCTATCTGCACAAAAACACCACTGTGGCAGGCTAGAAAAGTTTCTATTTCCATCACATTATATCTTCCTCTCAATTTTACAGTATACACTTTAGAAATAGTGTAACAATTAGATTTGTTCATCTGAATAAAACACCCTAATACCCAAATATGTGGTTATAGTGGCACAGATAACCATTAAACAATGGGACTTGGACATGAACACTTATAGCAACATTATTTAAAAGAGCCACAAAAGAAAAAAATGAAATATCTATTAACTGATAAATGGACACCCAAAATGTGCTCTGTTCACATAAAGAAATATTGCTTAACATAAAAAGGAATATGCTGTCATATGGATGAACCTTGAAATTGTTCCACTAGGTTAAGTACGTCACTCACAAATATGTGCCTACTGTATGAGTCCATTTATAGAAAATTTCCTGAGAAACCGCCACACTAATTTCCAAAGTGGTTGTACAAGTTTGCATTCCAACCAGCAATGGATGAGTGTTCCCGTTACTCCACATCCTCTCCAGAAAAGGCTATCATTGATGTTTTTGATTCTAGCCATTCTGACAGGTGTAAGATGGTATCTCAAAATTGTTTTGATTTGCATTTCCCTGGTCGCTAAGGAGGTTGAGCATGACCTTAAGTGTCTTTTGGCCATTTGAACTTCTTCTGTTGAGAATTCTCTGTTCAGATCACTGCCCCATTTTTTTAATTGGATTAATTAGCATTTTAAAGTCTAGTTTCTTGAGTTCTTTATATATTTTGGAAATCAGACCTTTAAAAGACAGGCAGGTTTCTAGATGTTGGGGATATGAGGATAACTGCTAATAGATATGGAATTTTCCAAGAGGGTTGCTAAAATATTTATGACATTAAATATCAGCTTGTACTGAACTGTATACTTCTGATGAGTAAATTTTGTATTATGTAATCTACGTTGAGCTTTTTTTTTAACATGAAGAATAAATCTTGTACTCTATTTTACAAGAATTGGTAAAGACACAGTTCATAGATTTCATCCTGCTGTTATGGGTTTCCTTTGTTTTGCTTTATGCATGTTTATTGACATTCGTTTTACACGCCATTATATTTACTATTTAATGCCCCCTTTTTTAAAATTAAGAAGTTAGCAGAAGGGCTAGAGAGACAGCTTGGCTCTTAAAGACACTCGCCACTCTTAGAGAGGACCTGGGTTTGGTTTCATGCACCCACATGGTGGTTCATGCTGCCAAGAACTCCAGCTCTCTTTTGGCTCCCTAGTGTGTGTGTGTGTGTGTGTATTAAAAACAAATTAAAATCTTTTAAAAAAAAAGTTAACAGGGTTCCATCAAACTGAACTGTGGAAGTATGGATTTTGTCCTACACTTTAGAGAGCTGTAGGCTTGTTGGGTTTCTGTTTCTAGAAGTTTTTAGGGTTATCTCTTCTACAACTCTGTACCATTTACAAGCAGCAGTAGGACCAGGAGCAAAATCCTTATTCCATTCAGGCCCCCTTCTGGTAGACCTTACTAGGAAAGGTGCCTGAACAATAGGGGAAGCAAATACACTTACCTCTTTGATGCGCTGTTGTTCACAGTTGCACAAAAAGGTTCCAAAAAGACAGCTATAGAGGTGATCCAAAATTGTAATCAAGAATAATTCATTAAATTCAAATGCTGAAGGAAACTTAAATAAAGAGAAAAAAATAAAGTTTAGTCTTAAAGTCTAATTTCTAAAACAAGTCATATTACTTATTTGTGACAGAAAGAAATGGACTACAATATGCAATATTGTCAGATTAAAAATCAACAGTACATGTAAAATTTAACTAATTGGGAATTTTAAGGTCAAGCCGATATAGCTGGTTAAGGAACAACAATAACCAACACAATTTGTTATGTTTTTCAATACCCAAAAAACCAGGTAGCTTCCAGTTTCTTACAGGGTAGAACAAAGCTCAGAGTTATCCTTCTGTCAGAAAGACCTAGAAAGCTCGATTAAACACAACATGAAACAAATGTCTTTAGATACTGGCAGTAGGCAACATGGAACTGTGGCCCTTGAGAAAAGACAAGTCAGTGAGGAAAGCACTATTATTGGATCTGCTTCCCATTTGGAGGCACACTGCAAGTCACAGAGTGGGGAGGAGCTCTCCAGATTCAATGCTTATCAAAAGTTATTCAAGAGGAATTGAATATGTAACTAGGTCTATATGTATTAGAGACTACTCATACTTAAGAATGCTCCCACAAATACAACCCCAAGAACTCATACTTCTAAATCATCACCAATGTGTAAACAAACTGAATCTAGTAGTATATAAAAAGGCCAGTATTACATGATAACATCTGGTTTATCCTAGGAATGCAAGGCTGGTTTAACAGAAAAAAAAATCACTGTTACAAAAAACATCAATTACTACAATTAATCATATTACCAGATTAAAGAAGAAAAACCACATGGTTTCACCTCAATTGTTTTAAGCAATGCATAATGTGGTTATTAAGAATTTCAGTGGGATTGTTAGCACTGCCAACAGGTGCCAGCCATTTAACAGCCATGAGACATCTGGAAATAATAATGATCTCAGCAGCAGGCTTGTACTGAGTGCCTACCATGTGCCAGAGTTCTAATTTAAAGCACTGAAACATACTCTGTTGAATGAAACAAAGGAAGCTGGAACAAAAGCAAATAAACAGAAGTCATATTATCATCAAGTCAATTTATACTAAAGACCTATTCTTGGGCAGAGTGCAGGTATTTCAGTAATGAAACACTTGTCTAAAATGTGCAAGACTCCAGACTCAATCCCTAGCATTTCAAAAACAATTTCTATTATGCACTCAGAGTGATGCATACTAGTATGTCTAATATGTCTAATCTTGACATCTCTTGAGTGACAACCAGGATCACTGACACACAGGTTTCCTAACTGTTGTTAGGTTAGTAGTATGTAGCCTGAGACAACTGGAACACTGAATATTTATACCTATTCTAGAAGTCTATATTCTGGATTTGGAAGCTTGGGTGGTATGTTCTAGTGGCAGTATCTACAAGCTTTAGTATGACCAACTATTGTAGTAATAAGAGGCGGCAGGGCTGCGTCCCCCACACCCGGCCGCCCACATGGCTAGCTTATGCCCCAAAATAATTACACAGACACTGTATTCTTTTAAGCACTACTTGGCCCTTTAGTTCTAGCACTTACAGGCTAATTCTCACATCCCGATCAACCCATCTCTAATAATCTGTGAGAACCGGTCTTACCGGGAAGATTCTAGACTAGTCCATCCTGGGTCGGAGCTTCATCCCAGGAGCGGGGCATGGCGTCTCTCTCTGAGGCGTCTGCTCCCGAGAGAGCAGAGCTGTGTAGTCTCTGACCTCACTTCCTCTTCCTCCCAGCGTTCTGTCCTGTTTTCTCCTCCCACCTATCCTCTAACCAATTAAACGGGCCAGGGCAGTGCCTTTATTAGCCAATGACCTTCCTACATCATTTCCCCTTTTTCGGTTTAAACAAAAAAAAAAAAAAAGGCTTTAACTTTAACATAGCAAAATTACATATAACAAAACAGTTATCAAGTAAAAGTTACAATAATCTTTATCATAACTAAGGAAAACTATAACTATAACTAACTATTCTTAACTCCATCAAAGACTCCAGAAAGATATAATATTACCTAAGTAAACAAGAACTAAGAAACTTCAAACTCTAGAAATGACAAAGACATCTCGCTGCCTGGACAGTCACCCAAAGTTCTTTTGTACCGTTGGGACATCCATCTTCAGCCTTCAGGCCCATGGTATCCAGCAGACATTTCCATAAAGCAGGAAAATTCAAAGTCAGTTCAGTCACTATCTGTTGTGTCCTGCAGAATGTCTCACAGACTCTTTCAAAATGAATCAGGAACCCCGAAAGATCATCTCACCTTAGGCAAGTTCAGTAGTCCTCTCTCTGCGGGTTCTCTGTGTCCAGTTTATGCAATAGTCCAGGCAAGAGCAGTTTCTTGCCCAAATGGCTATCAAACTCCATAACGAGCCTCTTCGATGCCCATCTTCCTCTTGAAGTAGATTGGTGCTGCCAGGAGCAGAGTGTCTCATTGTCATGAAAAGTCCTCAGTTATTAAAACATTAAATGTCCTATTCTGTAATCTTTGAAAGACATGAAGAATGTCTATCTAAAATATATCTCTATATATCTAGAAAATCTAACATGACTACAAGCTTTACTATTATCAATGATTATCCATTAACAACCTATATTTCTTAATTATACAGTACATTTTTAAATGAACTACACAATCACAATACCTTAATCAAAATCAGAAACACTTATACATATAACAAAATTGACCTTAAATCTCTATCAATAAAGCAAAATCTATACTAATGTAAATTATTCATATCTATATCATATCCCCCTTAAAATGTAAAAGAACGTTTATAAACCATATTTGGGAACATGGGCGCAGTTATTTCTCTCCAAACTGCTTCCTGCTGAATGGGGGCGTCGTTAATTAGGTCTTTCATGGTATAACCTGTGTGCTAGTTTCATCTCAGTTGGCAGTTGAGCGAAGCAATTTTTTGAAGGCGTTCACACCAACCCTTCAGGAGGGCGTGGTCCATCATACCAAATCGGAATAGAAGAAATGAACAGTGTCTCATCCTCTGTGAAAACAAAATAAGAAACTCCTTTCCAAAGTATCATATCCTTAGATGCAAATTCAAAATATCTATGTTGGATTAGTTCAGCAGCATTTATAAACAAATATCTTGTAGCAGCTGTTGCTCCTTCCTCAGCATTCAAACAATTCAAAGAGAGCATAATAGCATACAGTATCAAGATTCTCTGTGTATTTTCCATCTTTGTTTTAACCTCTATTTCGTTTATTTTTACTTTTTGTTTTTTGAGACAGGTTCTCTGTATCTTTGACCTGAAGTAACTCTGTAGACCAGGCTGTCTTTGAACTCTCAGAGATCCGCCTGTCTCTGCCTCCCAGGCATTCGGGATTAAAGGTGTATGCTACTACACCTTGAACTCACAGAGATCTGTTTGCCTCTGCCTTCTAGGCACTGGGATTAAAGGCGTGTGCTACCACACACAACAACTCTCTTCCTTTTTTTTTTTTGTTACTTTAAGAACTTCAACTTTTAGTCTGCATACATTTTTAACACACTGTAAACCATTTAAAATTTTTCTTTGTCTTTGAATCTCTCTTTACTCTATATCTCTCTTTTTTCTGACCACATGAATCTTTAATTTACCAAGCAATATCAGTAGGATTAAAGGCGTGGCTTTGCCAGCTGGATCCAGTCCATTCCTTAGCTTTCCAGCCTCATGGCTGAGGTACTGGCTGTAGCCAGCAAGCGAGCTTCAACAGCCTGTGCTTGCAAACTGCACAAACCGCCTGCGTAAAAGAGTCAGAGTTTGTCCTGGCAGGACAGCCCAGAAAGCCGGCATTTTTAAATGGCGCAGCTTTTTTCCTGCTATGGCTGAAAACCGAAAAGCATGCGTTCAGCTTTAACCGTTTAAGTGTTTTGTGGCAGGACCTCTTAATGAGCTGCAGGCTTTTGCAGCTAAAGCTGAGTCAGGAAGCCTCTCTTAGATGACGCGCCCGCTTGCCTCTAGCAAGCAGAGCAGACCCGAGAACACAGCGAGTCAAGTTGCCATCAAACAAATCTTAGCACTTTACTCCAAATGCTCTATTCAAAAGCTCTGTCTCCCGCAGGAGCCAGACAGAGATCACAATGGCGGCACAGCCCCAGGAAGTCGCGCTTTAAAATGACACAGCGTTTTTTTTCTGCTACTGTTGCCGAATCAGGAAATCTCTCTACAGCACGCCACCAACAAACAGCAAAAATCTGTGTTAAACTCTCTTTCCCTTATTTTTAAGCCTTCTCAGGTTTTTTAAGTGGGTTTAGTTGTTCACACGTCTGGGCGCCAAATGTAGTAATAAGAGGCGGCAGGGCTGCGTCCCCCACACCCGGCCGCCCACATGGCTAGCTTATGCCCCAAAATAATTACACAGACACTGTATTCTTTTAAGCACTACTTGGCCCTTTAGTTCTAGCACTTACAGGCTAATTCTCACATCCCGATCAACCCATCTCTAATAATCTGTGAGAACCGGTCTTACCGGGAAGATTCTAGACTAGTCCATCCTGGGTCGGAGCTTCATCCCAGGAGCGGGGCATGGCGTCTCTCTCTGAGGCGTCTGCTCCCGAGAGAGCAGAGCTGTGTAGTCTCTGACCTCACTTCCTCTTCCTCCCAGCGTTCTGTCCTGTTTTCTCCTCCCACCTATCCTCTAACCAATTAAACGGGCCAGGGCAGTGCCTTTATTAGCCAATGACCTTCCTACATCATTGGGCGCCATCTGAAGTAATAAGGGCGGCGGGGCTGCATTCCCAGAACCCCAGCCGCCTGCCCGGCTAGCTTATGCCCCGAAATAATTACACAGACACTGTATTCTTTTATACACTGCCTGGCCCATTCTCTTCTAGGCTAATTCTCACATATTAATTTAGCCCATTTATAATCATCTGTGTGTAGCACCCCAAGGTGCGCTTACCAAGGAGATTCTAGCCTAGTCCATCCTGGGTCGGAGCTTCATCCCGGGAGCGGGGCATGGCGTCTCTCTCTGAGGTGTCTGCTCCCGAGAGAGCTGTGGAGTCTCTGACCTCACTTCCTCTTCCTCCCAGCGTTCTGTCCTGTTTTCTCCTCCCACCTATCCTCTAACCAATTAAACGGGCCAGGGCAGTGCCTTTATTAGCCAATGACCTTCCTACATCAAACTATGTGCCAGGTGAGGGAAGACAATGTAGACAAGGGTAAATTCAAGCCTGACAGCACTCATGAAAAGCAGAAACCCATATACACCTACTGGGTGGCTGGGTCAAGATGGCAATTGCTCAAAGAGCAGTGTTGCAGTAAATAATTCAGAATATAGTACAGTAGGGACAGTGGTAGTGCCAGGGAATTGCAAACAGAAGATTAAAATTTCTACAAGCTGTAGTTTGTTTTCTTGTCATCATCCAGAGACTATATTAAAAATTTATCTACAATGTAGTCTCAAAAAATCCATCATAATGTACACTGAAATTCTATACTTTTTGAGGAACAAAATAATCAAGGGTTATCCCAAAGGGCAAATGTTCCTTTAAACTACAGATGCTATAGAAAGTTTCTGAGATGCTATAGAATCCCCCAAGCATTTCTCTAGTTCCTTTTGTAATAGTCTACATACAAAACAGCTCCTTGTATTTTGCAATTTTTTTTCTGACTTTATACTGATTGAACTCAATTTGCAGTAGGCAAATGAAAAATAAGCAAATCTTATTACATGGCTACATATTTTACTAGCTTGTTTATGTAAAAATTATTTATTGACTTATAGCTAAAGACTTACCACTTATCTCTTCTCCTCAGGTACTAATGTTACTTTAAGAAAAATTATACACACATTTAATAACCAGAATCAGAGAGTTTTGGGAGGCCCCTATTGCATCTAAACCCCCTATATACTTTCTTAAAAACCAATAAAGCAGCACAAAAGAACAGCTTAGAAGTAAAAATAAGCACTAATCAGTATGAGGAATAGATCAGTTTGGAAGGACAGAAACAAATGTGCATACCAATGTGCATGCTCAGAAGTATTTGGGGAAAATGAGCTAGTTCAGATCAACATTATCACATTTTTTTGCATTTAACTTTTAAGGTATTTTTTTTCTAAAACGTGTTTCATGCTTTCTTTTCTTGAATGTAAGAACCATCAAGTTTTGTCACTAGTACCACAAACAGAAGGACTTCCAGCCAGACTCTAGTCCTTCTCAGCCTCTTTTCTGTTACCTTTCACTTGGGCATGATCCCCTCAGACCTACTATTGACATGAAACTCAGTTAACACAAGAACCCTGTCAGTTTGCGGATGCTAAGTCTAAAGGTAAGAGAGCCTGCTCCAAGTGATGGCCTGTAAAATCTATTCCAAATCCTCTCCCCTTGTTTCTCATTTTGAGAGGGAGGTCTGTATCTTAGACTCTTGCCACAGTCTGTGAACTCATATCATCAAAAAGGCAGCTCTGCAAACTTTAGCATACATACACGAATGCACACTCTGGCATTTTAATAAGAACCCCAGGGGATTCATGTGCTGGTTCAAGTTCCAGTTGGTCTGGTATAGCACTGTGCCCTCAAACATCAGAAGAGCCTGAGGGGCTTGGGAGCCCAGAGTGTTGGCTCTAGCTTTTGAGCATCAGCAGGTATGTAGAGAGTCTAGAGCTGGTATGGCCACTAAGATCCCAGGGGATGCTGCTGGGAAACAGTCCACATTGGGATGGGGAGGACAGCAGAGGCGATGTACTTGTTCCTAACATTTTCTCATCCCAACACACTTCTACCAGTAATAGCAGGCCACAGTGAGCAAACAAGGATGGTAATTCATAGCTTTCCATGGTGAGAAGGAGATAAATGTCCTCTGAAAAGGCTTTCAGGAGCATCAAACATGCACCTCAAGGCATTGGAACCTGAAGATGGCTAGGGTTTTCTCACAGATGCACAGGAAGGACAGCATCCAGGCCCTGGTTCTGTCTCCAACTTACATCCACTCAAGCCAGACTGAGTAGTACACACTGGGAAAAACTGCTCTGCTTTTTCTCTCCTTCTTTCTGGGTCCAAATTCATGTCTCTGGCACAGTCTCCTATCCCAAGGCTAATACTCCAAACTCAGACTTGGATGTTAGAGATCAGGGAATATCTGAGTGGGTCTTAATTAAAGTGAAGCTGTAGGACCTGACTAATTTAGGGAAGGAGGATCCCCATGTGTTTCCTTACTTACCAGAACCCTGTTCGATGGAGTTAAGAAACTAAAATAACAACTTAGGACAAAAAGTTCCCGAGCTTCCTGTCTGTTATTGGCGCTTAGACACTTATTACTCTCATTGACTGTGGTATGTGGAGGGCTATGGCCTGGAGCAGAGTGTGAGGATTCTCAGATACCCTGGACTGACTCTTTAACTAGCAGTTCTAAGGTGGGATGAAATCTTGGAGTAAGTGCCATGCAGTTAGTGGGTAGGAGGATTAGCCAAAACTGCTAGCGGAAGAAAATTCTACTTTTCTACTCACATTTGTAAGTGAATAAGAGCAAAACTGCATTGAGTAATAGAAGGAGTCATTGTTTTTTTGAGACAGGGTTTCTTTGTAGCTTTGGAGCCTGTATTGGAACTTGCTCTGTAGACCAGCCTGGCCTGGAACTCAGGAAGATATGCCTTTATCTGCTTACTGAGTGCTGGGATTAAAGGCGTGTGCCACCACCATCTGGCTAAAAGGGGCCATTTTTAATATGCACACACCCTCATTTTGAAATTTAATGAAATGGAAATTTAATTTTCAACTATGAAGTATATTTGAACCAAAGACTATAACAGGTTGGAAATGTACTCAAAATCTCTTACCTGTCTTGTCATCTGCCAAACACAATCAATAAACTGAAGAAATATAGGTGATCGGTCAGCATCTGCATGGTTGTCATCACCATGGCCCACTCTCTGGAAAGAAGCAAAAGATTGCGATTGTGTTATAGTCCTCTCAAAAGTCAATTAATTTGTCTAGTCATGTCTCATTATGCCTATGATAACTCCTGCTCATTATGGACACTCAAAATTGTAAGAAGGAGGAACTAGACATTAGAGCATAATGATACATAGCATGAAAATGCCACAACAAAAAGTGCTACTTTGTATGATTTAAAAAATAAATGACTACATAATTAAAAATAAGAGTTCATTAAACTAAATGGATTTTCATTTCTTTTAGGAAACACTATTTCAGTTTACTCCATGTTTATATGGTGATGGTTTTATAATTTCACTTTAATATAGTTGATACTAAGATAGATAGAGAACTGGCTAGCAAACCTTTTAGTTCAAATGATGGGATCAAGGGCCACTACTATAGCAATGTATGAGGCCTAATGAGGAGTGAACAAAGTAGGACATAGTTCAGAAATGTCACGAACAGGGCAAAGGAGATGGCTCAATGTAGAAAGTGCTTGCTGTCCAAGCAGAGGAGCTGAGCTTAGGCCATGTAAAAGCTGGGTATGGTGGCACAGAGAGAAGACCCTGGAGTCTTGATGGCCAATCTAGGCTAATGGTGAGGTCCAGGTTCCGTGAGAAAACTGTCTCAAAGGTAGAAAGTGAGAGACAAAGAAATCTAGATGTTAACCTCTGGCCTCTACATATCCATATACATGAACACTTCATAAACATATACAAAAATAATAAGAAATATCAGTAAAGTCTGAGAATGAGTATATAAGTGCTATCCATTTTTATATTATTTGAAGAACCCAAGATCTCATTCTTGAAATGGTATTGGGGCAGAGTCCTTCCTCAAGCAAGTTCAGGATCACACTTCACACCTTTGATATTTTCTATCAATGCATTCATACTTAAAGCTAAGATTCCTGATCACACAAAGAGATTTGCCAGAAGCACCGAAAGTTCAATGAATAATAAGATATTCACAGAGTGAGCATTCTAAAAGAAGCTTCAAATAAGCAAAAGGATAAGAAAGGAATGATTATGAAGCAGGTTATTCAATCACCACATAGAGAACTTGAAAAATAATGAAACCACCACCTGGAAAGACATTAAAACAAGGAAATGACCAAGTAATGTCAGCATCTAACAACCAGGGTGGTAGGTCCAAAGAGGAGTTGGAGGGAGATAGGGAAGAATGGACAAAATGAAAACACATGGTGTACATGTAAAAACACATGGTGTACATGTATAAACATTTGAAAGAATAAATTGCAAAATTATTTTCATAAAATCTCAGAGATGCCATACATGGTGGCATACTCCTTTAATCAGAGCACTCAGGAGGAAGAGGCAGGTGAATCTCTGAGTTTGAAGCCAGCCTGGTCTACATACTTGATTATTATTCTTTATCAATAAAAACTTGGGATTCAGATATCAGGATAAGAACCTGAATGAGTAAAGAAGCAGTGGCAAAGTGACCAGTGAAGGGCCAGGCCCTCTCTAAGACCCGTCCTACCATTTCCTGTCTCTCTATCTGTCCTCAGTCCTCTAAAACTTCTATTGTTAACTTTGGTTAGCTAGTAGCTAGCTCCACCCTCTGATTCAAAGCAAATTTTATTGGAAGTCTTGGGAGCATCAGAATGCAGTCAAAATATTACACAACACATAGTGAGTTTCAGGCCAGACAGGGCTGCCATCGTAAGACACTATCTCAAAGGATCCCACACACCAAAAATCCCCTTAAAATATATTACCTTATTTTCATTTGGTAGGGTAGGTGTTTTGTTTCGTTGTGGTGGTGATTGTTTTGGGAGGCTGTTTCTATTTTATTTTAAAGGTTTAATTTTTTATGTGCATTATGTGTGTAAGGCCAGAGTACGATTCTAGCTACTTGGTGTAAATGGAAAACACAGTATTTATCATTTTGTGTCTGGCTTATTCCAGTCAACATAATGTCTTGAAGGTTTATCTATGTTGTAGCATATGCCAGAATTTCCCTCCTGTTTTAAGGCAAAATACCTTTACCCTTTGAGCCAACTCTCCAGTCCTCTCATTCTTTTCTTTTTAACATCTACTAACCTCCTCTGGTATAAGGGATCCTGCTTGGCCTTCAGAATTCTAGGCAATTCAATAGTATGTGGATGAGGCACAATTCTTGGTAAGGTACCTAGGATACAAAGACAACTGCGGCAGAGTGCCTGGGTTTGAGGAGTAATTAATTTGTGGTGTGGTCAAGTGGGTAAAGACCTGTAAATAATAAGGGTAATACACTATTGCAAGGGCTTTTGCATGTGCATTGGGTATAGTGAAGACAGAAAGGAAGGCGTGAACAACCTTAGGAAGGGGCTGAAGAGTATAAGGCAGTAAAGTCACATAAGATGCAGTCATTATGGAAGTCTCATTTAGATAAACTATGAATGCCAGGGAGACACCTGCCCCCTGATATATCAATGAATGTACTGTAATCAGTGAGAAGTGGTGAGGCTAGCCAGGCGGCTGGGAGCTGGGCAGCAAGAACACTGACCGCAGCTCCTTCGACAAATAGCACCCAGACGTGGATAACTGAATCTACAGAAAGCCTGAGAAAGCTAGGGAAAGAATAGAGTAAAGCATGTTTTCTTGGTAGCAGCAATTTCTCGGGTCTGCTCTGCTTGCCAGAGGCAAGCAGAGTGCTCTCATCTAAGAGAGGCTTCCCGATTCAGCTTTAGCTGCAAAACCCTGCAGCTCTTTTAAGAGGTCCTACCACAAACACTTAAAACGGTGTTGATGAAAAGCTGAATGCATGCTTTTTGGTTTTCAGCTGTAGCAGGAAAAAAGCTAAGCCATTTTAAAATGCCGGCTTTCTGGGCTGTCCTGCCAGGGCAAACTCTGACTCTTTCAGACAGGCAGGCCAACTGAGTGTGGTCTGTGAGCAGAAGGCTGCAGCTTTCTTGCTGGCAGGGACCTTGAAATGCCATAGAGTTGTGGCAATAAAAATGGCTACAGCCGTTACCTCCGCCATGAGGCTGAAAAGCTAAGGAATGGGCTGGATCTAGGCGGCAAAGCCACGGCTTTAATCCTACCCATATTGCTCAGTAATTTAAAGGCTCATGTGGTCAGAAAAAAGAGACATATATGACAAAGAGAGATTCAAAGGCAAAAAAATCTCTAAATGGTTTACAGTTTGTTAAAATATATGTAAACTAAAGGTCAAAGTTCTTAAAGTTAAAAAAGAAAGAAAGAAAGAAAGAAAGAAAGAAAGAAAGAAAGTAAGTAGTTGGGTGTGGTAGTACACACGTTTAATCTCAACACTTGGGAGGCAGAGGTAGATTGACTTCTGTGACTTCATGGGGCAGAGGTAGATTGACCTCTGTGACTTCTGGGTGTGGCAGGACACACCTTTAATCCCAATGCCTGGGAGGCAGAGACAGACAGATCTCTGTGTGTTCAAGGTGTGGTAGCATAACCTTTAATCCCAGCACTTGGGAAGCAGAGGCAAGTGGATCTCTGTGAGTGCAAGGACAGCCTGGTCTATAGAGTTATTCCAGGACAAAGATATACAGAGAACGCGTCTCAAAAAATAAAAGTAAAAACAAACAAAATAGAAGTTAAAATAAAGCTGCACAAAGATGGAAAATACAATGAGAATCTTGATACTGTATGCTATTATGCTCTCTTTGAATTGTTTGAATGCTGAGGAAGGAGCAACTGATACTAAAAGATATTTGTTTATAAATGATGCTGAACTAATCCAACATAGATATTTTGAAAATACCTTGACTTCAGAATTTGGATCTAAGGATATGATACTTTGGAAAAGAGATTCTTTTGTTTTCATAGAGGATGAGACCCTGTGGATTGCTTCTATCCCAATATGGTATGATAGACCACGCCCTCCTGAAAGGTGGCTGTGAACACCCTCAAAAAATTACTTTGCTCAACTGCCGACTGATAGGAACCTAGCACATAGGTTACACCATGAAAGATCTGATTAACAGCGCCCCCAATCAGCAGGAAGCAGCTTGGAAAGAAAAAACTGCGCCCATGTTCCCAAATATTGTTTATAAATGTTCTTTTACATTTAAAGGGGGTATGATATAGATATGGATAATTTATATTGGTATGTTTTGCTTTGTTGATATAAATTTAAGGCCAATTTTGTTATATATATGCATATTTCTGATCTTGATTAAGGTATTGTGATTATATAGTTCATTTAAAAATGTAAATGTATATAGGCTGTTAATAGATAATCATCTATAATAGTCAAGTTTGTAGTCATGTTAGTTAGACTTTCTAGGTGTGCATGAATATATTTCAGATAGGCATTCTTCATATCTTTCAAAGACTACAAAATATGGCATTTAATGTTTTAATAACTTAAGGATTTTCATGACAATGAGACATGTCTGCTCCTGGCAGCACCAATCTACTTCGAGAGGAAGATGGGAATCGAAGAGGCTCCTTACAGAGTTTGATAGCCATTTGGGCAAGAAACTGCTCTTGCCTGAACTGTTGCATAAACTGGACAAAAAGAACCTGCAGAGAGAGGACTGCTGAACTTGCCCAAAGGTGAGATGATTCTTTGGGGTTCCTGACTCATGAGCGAGTCTACAAGACATTCTGCAGGACACAGCAGATAGTGACTGAACTGTTTTTGAAATTTCCTGCTTCATGGAAAAAGTCTACTGGATACTATGGGCCTGTAGGCCGAAGATGGATGCCCCAACCGTATAGAGGAACTTTGGGTGACTGTCCAGGAAGCAAAATGTCTCTCTCATTTCTAGAGTTTGGAAGTTGCTTATTTCTTGTTTGCTTAGGTAATATTATATCCTTCGGGAGTCTTTGATGGAGTTGAAGAATAGGTAGATAGTTATTGTTTTCCTTAGTTATGATATAAGATAAAGTAGATAAAAATATTGTAATTCTTGCTTGATAACTGTTTTGTTATATGTGATTTTACTATGTTAAAGTTAAAGCCTTTCTTTTTTGTTTAAACAGAAAAAGGGGAAATGATGGAGGAGTTACTTTCATTGGTTAATAAAGAAACTGCCTTGGCCCATTTGATAGGCCAGCCCTTAGGCAGGTGGAGTAGACAGAACAGAATGCTGGGAAGGAAGTGAGCCAGACGCCATGCCTCTCCTCTCTGGTCAGATGCAATGAAGCTCAGGCCCAAGATGGACACAGGTCAGATATGCTGAATCTTTCCTGGTAAGCCATCACTTTGTGGTGCTACACATATTATTAGAAATGGGTTAAGCAAGATAAGAGAATTAGCCAAGAAGAGACTAGATATAATGGGCCAGGCTGTGTTTATATGAATACAGTTTGTGTGTTGTTATTTCGGGGCATAAGCTAGCCAGGCGGTCCGGAGCTGGGTGGCAGGAACACTGCCCGCAGCTCCTTCTACAGACGGGTGCATGGAGAACTCTAAGTGGGTGGTCAGGGCTCACACTCAGGGAATGAGTGAAGAGGGGAATCTTGGGTGTGAGATTAGGGAGTTGAACTAGGGACACATTGAGTGTCACACTGAGTTCATATTGGGCAGTGACTACATTAATGCTCCATTTGATTACAGGAGAATGACAGGAAGCAAGGGGACAGGCTTCACAAAATCTACTTAGGATACTCCCTGAAAGAAATGAATAGACCAAAATTAAGGGAGAAGTGGTGGCAATGTGAAGGGGAATGCCAGATCTGAAGCTAGGTTCAAATATTCGGCACTGGCTGAAATCATTAAGAGATTAAGCATACATAGAAGAGAAGTAGTACCAGGGCTGAGCCCTAAGACACCACAAGGAGGTTGGAGAGATGGAGGGTCCAAACCAGAAAAAATGCAAATGATTGTAGAGTCACAGCCTAGTGAAAAAAAGCACTTCTTAAGGAAATAACAACACAAATGCTCAGGCCAAGTAATGGAAGGGTTTGGCAAAGTGGCTATGGTAAGACCAGTTGCAATGGATGAGTGTGAGAAGGAAGCCCAGTTAAGGTGGGGTCAAGACAGACAAGAAGGAGAAATGCAGTGGTAAGTAGATATGCATAAAATAGTTCTGATGAGTGTTCTAATATAAAGGAAGGCAGATAATTGCAATAATAGCTGGAGGAGATCATAAAGTCAAAAGGGTTGTATTTTAGGGTTATAACAGCATATTTATACAGCAATGGGAACAGAGGCAGGACAGAAAGAAGTTAGCTATAAAGTTATGTGATAATGTGCAAGAAATATATGACAGAAGCAGGCAAGAGCAGGTACTAGTTTAAGGAACTCAGAAGCTCATTCATGGAAACAAGGGAAGTAGAGAACAGAGACTCAGCCAATTGTGGCTGCAGACTGAAGCCCTCTCCCTTACCACCTCAGCTGCGTGGCCGTAGGTAGACAACTCACACCCTAGAATAGAAACCTGGTTCACCATTTGTCAACTGCAGGACTGCCTACATCAGGTGACTCACAGCTGCCTTTAACTCCAGCTCTAGGCTATCTTAAACTCCAGATCCAGGAGATCTAACACCCTCTTGTGGCCTCCATAGGTACATGTACAGATGCAGCATACATGCACATGGCCACACATATACATAAGTAAAAATAAATCTTTAAAAATTAACAAAAAAGAACACAGCACTCTGTGTTCATCCTGACACCCTAGCTTCTGTTAGTTCTGGTACTACCATTGCTGATATGTCTATAGAGAGCTCTTAGCACTTCCTTTCTGGTTAAAGCACCTTAAGAGCCTTCTTTCCCTCAGGACAAACATTTTGGGGATGAAACATGAAAGAAAGTAGCTTCTGAGACTTCAGAGAAAATCAGCTGTAAACACCTGGAAACCATATACTCTCTTCCCCATGGAGCTCAGATTTTGCTGAAGGGGAACAAGCATTTAAGTTACTGTTTTAACAAGGATAACCCCAACTAAGACTTCTAGCAATAGTAGAGAAGGTGCCTGAACTGGCCTTCCCCTATAATTAGATTAGTGACTACCTTAACTGTCATCATAGAACCTACACCAGTAACTGATGGAAGCTGATGCAGTGATCCACAGCCAAGCACTAGGTGGAGCTCCTGGAGTTCAATTGAAGAGAGGGAGTAAGAATGGGGAATGTCAAGATTATGATCAGAAAAACCACAGAGACAGCTGACCTGAACTAGTAGGAGCTCACGGACTATGGACTGACAGCCAGCAAACCTGCATAGGACTGAATTAGACCCTTTGAATGTGGGTAACAGTTGTGTGGCTTGGGCAGTTTGTGGAGACACTGGCAGTGGGATCAGGATTTATCCCTGGCACATGAACTGGCTCTTTGGAGCCCATTCCCTATGATAGGATACCGTGTTCAGCCTTGATACAGGGTGGAGGGCGCTTGGTCTTGCCTCAACTTGGTGGTATACTAGACTTTGTTGACTTCCCAAAAGAGGCCTTACTTCCTCTGAGGAGCACATGTGGGGGTGAGATGAGGGAGGTGGGAGTGGGAGAAGGGGAGGGAGGGGGAACTGGGGTTAGTATGTAAAATTTAAAAGCTTTCAAATAAAAAATGTTAATAAAATGGAAATTGTGTCAATGAAGTCTGAATATCTTACCCACATTTATGTATAAATATAAAGATCCTACTTAAAAACTGAAAAAAGATAGTGTTTTTAAAATAGACACAACATCTCTGAATATGGGCCAGGTTCAGCAGCAAGCACTTAATAAATCCAAATTCCTCCCCCTTTAACACCTAACTGCAGAACGAAGGAAACCGAGGCAGAAGCAATTTCTAAATAAATATCTGACAACAGCTTCCCAGGCCATGAAGCTCAGAGGCTGTGGAGCTACCCCTCCTTCTAGAAGGGCTTCTCCCTAGCCCTCCTCCTTGAAGTGTATTCACAGCAGGTAAACTTGGATCCCCACACCTATGGTACTCCAAGTCCTTGCACCCTGCAATTCACACTGAGCCTCACTCTGACTTTGGGAGTATTCCAATTCAATGGATGATCCCCAACAGCTCAAGAGGTTTTGCACAGTAGAATTCACTGCCAGTTTCAGTCACACACAAATGGCTGCCCCAAATGCCCACCAAAGGCCCAACAATTCACTTAGGAATATACTCTGCAAATTGAAAGCAAGAGTTTCCAGGCTGAATTACACGCCCAAAGCCCCAGTACTTTATAATGTTACTGTATTTAAAGGCAGGACCTTTAAAGAGGTCACTAAAGTTAAGTTCTGACCCAATATGACTGCTGTCCTTAAAGATACCAAGGAAATGATCACAGAGAAAAGGCAGCATGTGGGAAGAGGCAAGAAGAGCATGGCATGGCCATCTACAAACCAAGAAGAGAGACTTCAGGAGAAACCAACCCTACTGGAACTTGATTTTCACTTCCAGCCTCTATAATAGTGAGAAAATACACATTTGTAGTTTATGTTACCAGTCTGTGGTACTTTGTTATGGAAAAGCCTGTATAATCTCATGAGACTTTGTAGAGGCGGATTAGGAATCTAGGGGCTGCAGGGAATGGGAATGGTGCACTGACTAATGTATATAGGGCTTCCATTTGGGGTGACAAACAGGTTTGGGGACTAGCATTGTGAATATAGTATAGGACACTGTATTGAGCACTTTAAAGTGGTTAATTCTGTGCTATGTGGATTTGACTTCCTTTTAATTATATAAAATAATCCCTATCAGGAGCATACAATGTGGAGGTCCTTGGTATTTTATTATGGAAATTTAGGTCTGGTGCAAAGGAAAAGGGCTGTTCATGTATATAAATATATGTTACCAAATGCCAAGTACATGTATGTGAGATAGGAAAACAGTTATACATAGACCAGATCAACATACCAGTGCAAACCTGTGTCCAAAGCTTATCCACTCCTTTTCTATGAGAGCCTCAAATCCTTTAATGGTCCGGTAATAACTGTCCAACATCAGCATTGCCAGAGATGTGAGCTGGGATGTTCGGTCCCAGCCATCGCTGCAGTGGATCACCACGGAAGTTTTCCCAGATTCTATTTTATCAGCAATTCGTACTGCCCCAGCAAGCAGCACCTTCAGAAAAGAAGGCAAAACAGACAAGGATTCATTAAGTGTCAACCTCTGTATAAGATAATTTTGTAAAAAAAAGTTTAGATATCATCACCTATAAACCATTAAGAATGTCATCTAGGGCTGAGGCTCTACTTCAGTGAGTCTCTAGGCTTCAGCCCTCAGACTCCAAACAAAGCAAAAAACAAAACAAATCAACAACAATCAGCTATAACATTAATTAAGAATAACTCACTAGGAAGTGTTAACATCTTTTTTTTTAAACTATGAAAACTGATCAAAGGAAATGGGATCCTTTATTGAAGGGCCACAAGGTTCTGTTAAAAACCTGACTTACTAAGTAGGTATAGAGCACACCTGTAATCCCAGTATTTGGGAGGCAAGTTCAGACTAGTCTGGGTTATGTAGTGAGTTTAAAGCCAGTCCAGGCTACACAGACTCTGTCATTCAAAAACAAAGAAACTTGGGGTTGGAAAGATGGCACAGCAGTTAAGAGTGCATACTGTTTTGCAATATTTGCTACTTGGAAATAAGTTAGGCAGCACATAAACATCTGTAAGTCCATCTTCAGGGTATCCAATACAGTCCTCTGGCTTCAATAGGAACAGATGTTCACATGTGCATATACCAATCCCCATGTATGCATATCATTAAAATAAGACCAAATCTTAAAAAAATAATTAAGGAAGGTGGTGGAATCAGGAGGATCAGAAGATCAAGAGAACTTCAGTTGAACAGCAAATCTGGAGGCTAGCCTGGGCTACTTGAGACTCTGCCTCAAAGTTAATTATTTATTAATTGTTAATTAAAACATTGTGAATTTTTGTCAGAAAAACCCTCCGCAAAGACCACAGTCCAACTGTTCCCAAGAGGAATGTTCAAAAGCTCTCATACACAGCCAAGATGCATTAATCTGTGGTGTTGAAAAACCACTTAGAAATAGAAACATTTATGACAGATATTAGATGTCTAAATCAGAAGGTAGATAAAAGATTGAACTTCTTTACCCTTATATATTCCAGCCAATGTGTCCCATCCACACTGGATAGCCACCGTGACTCATCAATGGAAGGGTACACGATCTCCTTTAATTTACGAAGTGACTCCCTCATCACATGAATATTATGGATCTCCAAAAACACAAGTTCTGCATTGGGGTAAGCACTTTCACTTTCATATCCTCCACCCTTTGCCTATAAAGAAGCAAAAGATATGCATCACTTCTTCTGAAATTAACTTTTCTATTATTTCTACTGTAATGAGACACAGACTACTAAAGAAGTAATAAGCTCCTATACCCTGTATGGTTGCCCTAGAACTGCCAGAACACAACACAGTACCATAAACTGACATCACAAACCAACAAAAATGTGTCTTCTTACTGCAGTGCACCACCACCACCACCACATCTAAGTTCTCAAGGCCAGGAAGCTGAAATACAGGTGCCAATAGGGTCAGACTCCTCCCTTAGAACCCTCTAGAAGAATGTGTTACTTTTCTCATTGCTGTGACAAAGTATCTGGCAAAAGTACTTAAGGAAAGAAAGTGGCTATAGTCTGAGAGGACACAGTCCATTATAGCAGAGAAAGAATAGTGTCAGATGTGAGAGGTAGCTGGTCACACTGATGAATGCTGCTGCTTATACTACTTTCTCCTTTTTATTCAGTCCAGGACCCCACATTCATCATAAGTCTTCCCTCCTCAGTTGAACCTCCCTGGAAACACTCTCAAAGTCATACCAAGCAGTGTGTCTTTATGACTGTAAATCCCATCTGTTGACGATCAAGAACAAGAACTGCAGAGAAGATTTGCTATTCCTTGGCTCTCCTGGTTCCAAGTGGCCCTAGGCATTCTAGGTTTATATGCTCTTTGCCTTAATCTCTACTTCCTTGTTTGCAGTTGATCTTCTCCCCTTTGTCTTTGCCTCTGCAAGTCTTATAAGAAATACCTGTTGGGCTAGCAAGATGACTTGGTAGAGAAGACACTTGTCACCAAGACTGACAACCTGAGTTTTATTGATACCATGGACCTAGGTGGTAAAAAGAGAGAACCAAATCCTGAAAAGTTGTCTGCTGGCCTGTACATATGAGCACATGCACACAATTAAATGTAATACAAAAGCATGTCTGTCATGCTGAATTAAGGTTCATCCTAATCTAATATGACTTTGGTTTAACTTGATTACATTTATAATGAATCTTTGAAAATATTTGTAAGTACGAGGAGTCAGGACTTCAACACATCACTTATTTATTTTTTTTAGGCTAATATTTTTATTTTTTTTAATTAATTTATTTATTTAAGGATGTCTGCCTCCTCCCCGCCACCGCCTCCCATTTCCCTCCCCCTCCCCCGATCAAGTCCCCCTCCCTCATCAGCTCGAAGAGCAATCAGGGTTCCCTGACCTGTGGGAAGCCCAAGGACTGCCCACCTCTATCCAGGTCTAGTAAGGTGAGCATCCAAACTGCCTAGGCTCCCCCAAAGCCAGTACATGCAGTAGGATCAAAAACCTACTGCCACATTGGAGCACCAGACAGAAATCTCAAGGTCCAAATCAGGAGCAGAAGGAGAGGGAGCACGAGCAAGGAACTCAGGACCGCAAGGGGTGCACCCACACACTGAGACAATGGGGATGTTCTATTGGGAACTCACCAAGGCCAGCTGGCCCGGGTCTGAAAAAGCATGGGATAAAACCGGACTTGCTGAACATAGCGGACAATGAGGACTACTGAGAACTCAAGAACAATAGCAATGGGTTTTTGATCCTACTGAAAACTCAAGAACACATCATTTATTGAGGACATAATTTAAGCCTTAATAATCCTGCTGTACCCATTATGGTTTTTAGATCAGTACCAACTGGCTCTTATTCAAGGTTCCTTATGCTAGTGTCATTTATCTACCAAGAAAATGGCATACTACCACAAAATTTCTGCATAATAATAAACTTTGGAGTTCTGAAACCACAAAGTTTATTTTAGCAATTTAGAAAGAGCAAATAATATATCAAAAAAGAAGATAAGGATTAACTCTTAGTGAGCTTATAAAAACCTGGTCTGTAGCTAGCTTACACTTTATAGAGGTCAGTAATTAAAGCACATTTAGATGAGAGTGCAGAGAAACTGGTGGGAATGGAAAAAGCTATAGCTGCTGCAGAAGTCAACTTGATGTTTCCTCAAAAAGTTACAGATAGAATTTCCATATCACCTAGCCACTATGAACATTTGTGTGTAAATTTTATTTAAATACCTGTTCTCAATTCTTTGGCTTATATACCCATGAATATAAGAGTGGTGTCACAATAACAAACAATTTAAATGTCCATAAACAGATAGTTAAGTAAATAGAATGTTGTCTCTCTATACAATAGAATATTATTCATTCATAAAGAGGAATGCTGTAAGATGGAATAAAATGGATTAATTTTTTAAAATTACAACCAATTGGCCTATTAGTTCAGGCTTCTTATTAACTCTTATAACTTATATCAGCCCATAATTCTCGTCTGTTTTAGCCATGTGGCTTGGTACCTTTTTCGGCAAGGCAGTCACATCTTGCTTGCTCTGTGTCTGGCTTCCTCTCTCTCTCGGTGACAATGGCATATTGAAACTTCCCTCTTCCTAGAATTCTTGTTGCCCTGCCTCTACTTCCTGCCTAACTACTGGCCAATTAGCGTTTATTTAAAATACAAATGACAGGGTACAGACCAGTGTCCTACAGCACTCCCCCCTTTTTAAAACAAGAATTCTGAATCAAATCTACTTTGCTTAGCTTTTCTACTGACCATTATCCATAACAACTTGTAACCAACATTCTAAACAAAGGCAAATATCCATAATCCAAAATGGATTAATTTTTTAAAATGAGCGAAAGAAGACAGAAAGGAGTACTTAAATGTATGATTCAATTTTTGAGGGGGAGGTTTTTGAGACAGAGTTTCTCTGTAGCTTTGGGGCCTGTCCTGGAACTAGCTCTTGTAGACCAGGCCGACCTCGAACTCACAGAGATCTGTCTGCCTCTGCCTCCTGAGTTCTGGGATTAAAGGCGTGCGCCACCACTGCCAGAAGTATCATTCTATTTTTATGAAGTGTCCAATTCAGGGGAATCTATACAGAGAAAAGCATATTCATTGATGCCAGAGGTTGGAAAAGGGGAATGGGTACAGAGTCCATTTGGGGTGATGGATTCAGATAGTAGTGCTACTTTTACAGTACTGTGACTATACTGGAAGTCACTGAAGTATATTATGTGTAACACAAAGACAAGTTCTGCAACCAACTATCCAGTATACAAATGTCTTGCCCTAGCTTAGTATTGGGCAATAATGAATAAGCTGAGACTCTGGTCTTTTAGGCTCTTCAAGTCTGGTGTGGTAGGCATGGGAGATCAGGATCAAGGGCAGCACAGGGCTGAGGGTCCTCTGCTCTAAGATAGTTCAGGAGGTAGCAGGTACCTGGACAGCCAAAAGCAAAAAAGGCACAAATCAGAGAGTACAGAAAAGAACATCTAAGACAAATGGGGCACAGATCTGGGTAAAGATGTGGCTTCCTGAAATGAAGGTAGGTTTTGCATAGAGAGTACCAAGACAGTGGTAAGAATGATGAAGTCAGAGAGCATGTAGGGACTGGATGACATGAGCGAAGAGGATCAGACAGTAGAGGAATGGGTTATGCTGGGAAGGGCCTAGGAGGGTGAGACACTCTGCAGGTAGTTAAGCACAGAGATGCAATCATTTGGCTGAAGGAAGTAGGGCGTAGATGGACATCTGATTTGAGATATTTAAGAGGAAGCACACAGTGATGACCTGAAATAGTGGGAGTAGATATGAGGAGTGATACCTATGATTCTCTGCCGGGCTGCCTGAGAGATGGTGGCATCATTTACTGGGAGTCTATTGGCAAAAGAACATATTCTATGGGGAAGATTATTTGCTTCTGAGTACAGTGAGGACCCAATGACTCTGAAAAAAACTCAGCTGGGATACAAAAGGTCTGGAAATGAGAAGAAATGTGAACTGTGAATATCAATGTAGAACATTTGTCATATGGATGGTGACAAGGGAAGACAGAAGCATGCTGCATGGTGTTCCAGGACAATGTGTAATGTAAGGACAGAAGAGTGGGTCAGAAGCCCGAGAAAGATCAGAATTTAAGGAAAACAATAAAGAGCAGGGAGAAGGGGAGAGAAGAAGAGCAGAAGGGAGAGAATACAAAGAAGAGAGAAGAGAGGAGACAAGGGAGACATTACAAAGGAGAGGGAAGAAGAGAGTGGAAAGGGTGGAAGAGGAGAGGGAAAGGGGCAGGGAAAATAGGAAGGAGTAAAGACCTTGGGCAGGCAGGAGAGGCCAGGGAAGGAACATTAAGACCCATGGAGAAAGCCCCCTCTTCTACTGAAACAGGAGGCAGGAAGGGGAGACAATTCCTGTCTGATAGAGCTTGTCCTCTATGAATAAGCAGTCAGATGTTGAAGGCTGGGCAAGAGTATGCACTTGAATAGCCATAAATGGGTTGAGATGGCTTATGTTGAGAATGGAGAGCTGGTCAGAAAACTGTAGAGGATCACGCAGCAGCACTAAGGGCCCAACTAAAACTTGAGCACACATGAATCCAGAGTGGTTCTGATCTATGTATTATGAGCCCCCTTTTTCCCCGAAAACATTGAGAAGCTCAGGGTGTGAACTTGAGAAAGGCACACAGGAGAACTGAAAGGGACTGCAAGGCAGTGATGCTTTTATTGGGCACCTACTTTTTGCAAAGTCATGAGCTAGGCAGAGAAATCAGCCCGTGGGGACCAGTAGCCAGTGAGCTGGAATCTCAAGGCTATATAGAACGTCAACACAGAGGCTGCATGTATACACTAAGAATTGGAATGAGCCTGGGAAATATAAAGTCAATTTATTGTCTACAAGCTGATTATAACAATGTACAGAAGACAGTCTCATTAATTAAACTAAGGTTATAGACATAATCTTATAACCTTATAAAAGAACACTGTATATAAATTCTATAACGGAACACTGGGATAAGTCACCTGGGGGTCTCAATACAGAAAGAAAAGGCAGTGAGAAAGGAAGTCCACTGATACCTTGGAAGGAGCAGGGTGTGAGGTTTAGAGAGTTCTGAAAAACAAAAATTTGTTGGACAGGCCTGTATCTATCAGGGTTCTTGAGAGAAGACAGTGATATGGAAAAACATTACCTATCTGCAATTTGAGCAGTGTAGGTGGGACCACTGCTGTGCCTGTTGAGAAAAAGAAGGCTTATATATACCTTAGGAAACCACTAATGTTCTTAGTTTCAGGATCTGAGAAAGAGCCAGCCTAAAGTACAGGGAATTGGCTAGCTATGTGAATATAGCTAGATTCTGTGCTGACCTTGGGGTGTGCTTCAGAAACTGGAAGAATTACCACCCAGGAGATGTGGTGAGAGAGAAAGGAAAGGACTCAAGTGCATGGAATGTACAGAACTTCATTCTTAGATAAGTCTACACAACATGGTGTCTATTGACAATGACAGCATATTGTATATGTCCACGCTGCTTAGAGCAGATTTGAAGTTTCTTCACCTTAAAAGAAAGTTTGCGAGGTTATGCATATGTTTGTTACCTTAATTTAGTGACTACAATACTTCAAAACATGCGAGCCACAAACACATACAACCTTCACCAGGTAAAAGTATTATAAATATTTGTTATTTCGAAAGTAATAAAATAATTAAAAAGAAGATAATTCTTCTGTCTTTGTGTGTCTGTCTTCTCTATATAGTGTTCCTATATTCTGAAATTTCTTGGAATTGTACAGTGGTAACAAGCAGGATTCAGAGAGGTAGACAATAAATCCTGCAGTCCTGGGAGAGAGAGGCAACTGTCTGATAAAGGATGCCTTTGTACAAAAGGCTGAAAAGTGACTCCCATTGAAGACACAATAAACTTCTTCCAACTGTGAATGCAACCTTATTTGAAAAACAAAACAGGTCCTTGAAAATGTGATTAAAGACCATAAGCTGCCAGGATAATCCTGGATTCTGCCAAGTGGGCCCTGAAGGTCACTACAATATCCTTAGAAGAAGGAGGAGGAAGAAACAAAGAAGCACACAAAGTAGGAGAAGGCCAAGTGAAGATAAGGTAGATTGCAGGGTATAGTTACAGCTCAGGAGTGCTTATTTGGCCATGAGACACTGAAGGAGGGAAGAAGTAGACTCTCTCTTCGAACCTTTAGAAGGGCAACAACTTTATGAGATTTTGGACTTGTAACAAGGCAGCCTCAGCCCCATTCTTCTCCTATCTTATTAACCAACACCATAACTTAGTCTTCAAGTCAGAGTCCTGGGTGGCAAACATGACCATAGGAGTGGTCAACTCAGTAGTAGCTTCATGTATGGAGTATTAGGGGCATACCCACCACGATGCAGAGGTATTCACAGGTACTGTTTTCTCTTATTTCTAACCCTCCCACAAGTGTTGGCACAAGAACTGGTATCTTTCATCTGTGGAGCAAACCCCAGGAGTATCCAAGTACAAGCCAAAGGTCTCATTCTGCCAAACTCTCTTAAGCGCAGTGCATCTACTCTTAAGGTTTTATGACTCCAGAGACAGCCAAGTAGAGAAGTCAAACATGGGGATTTGGTCTAACCTCAGGAGGGTTCAGGGCTGGAGACACTGCCATATACAACTCAGCACAGAGACATTGTTTAAAGTCCTGACTCAAGTAGATGACCTTGGGAGATTGTTATAGAACAAAATAGGAAATCACAAACCAAGTTCAAGTAACTTTACCATTTGAAGTTGGGAAAAGGAAGAGAAACCAATAAAGGAGAGCAAGAAGGCCTAATTGTATATTGAGAAGAACATGGGGGTTGAGATGAGACATTTATGAAACCATGAAAGCCAAGAGTGATCCATCTAAGGTCATTAATGATGACAGCAACTCGAGTGCTGCCTCAGTGACAACTGCTGTAAGATAATGCTCTTGTACCCTATAAAGATTTGTCACTAGTATTGGTTTAATAAAACAATGATTGGCCAGTAGCCAGGAAGGAAGTATAGGCGGGGCAACCAGAGTAGGAGAATTCTGGGAAGAGGAAAGACAAAGATGCAGTCACCAGCCAGATGCAGAAGAAATAAGATGAGAATGCCTCATTGAGGAAAGGTTCCAAGCCACGTGGCTAAACACAGATAAGAATTATGGGTTAATTTGAGTTAAAAGAGCTAGTTAATAATAAGCCTGAGCTATTAGGCCAAATAATTTGTAATTAAATAAGCCTCTGTGTGTTTCTTTGGGACTAAATGGCTGTGGAACCAGGTGGAACAGAAACTTCCGTCTAAAGACAATGACTCTAGAGGTAGAAGGTTGACCTTTTGGCAGCTGTAGTTAATTAATGATGGAATACATATTAGTGAAAGATAAGGAAGAAGCAGACAAGAGAAAGCTGGAAACACAAGCACACAGGTCGGATGATAATGGTGCCGCTAGCCATCATAAAACCATGTCCCATAGCATTGTTGAACAGGTATTCAAACTGTTTATGATGTTCTGCACAACTTTCTGACTATATAAAGCCAGCTCGAGTGCCATCTACATTGTAAAGTCCTAGCTAAGTTTATGGAAGGTGTAGCCATTTCACTTTCCCCTCCCAAGCAAACAAAGCTTACTTGTCCTATTTATAGCACCTCAAACTGTCTGCCTTTGTTATGTCCTCCAGCACATTGCCCCTACTGGGTGCTCATTAGATGTGTTACACAAGTGTCACATTACAAGTATGGATGAGCCAGGCGGTGGTGGCGCACGACTTTAATCCCAGAACTCAGGAGGCAGAGGCAGGCAAATCTCTGTGAGTTTGAGGCCAGCCTGGTCTACAAGAGCTAGTTCCAGGACTGGCTCCAAAGCTACAGAGAAACCCTGTCTCAAAAAACAAAACAAACAAAACAAAACAAATATGAATGAGATGGTGATGGACTGTCAGTTTTCTAATATTTTGAAATTTTACTTGAGGAGAAAGTAAAATCTTCTGACTACTGAAGGCATGTCTTCTGGTAGACTATTGGAAAACTATCCATGGGGAAGGGAAATGACTCAAATCAAAACATTTCTCTATGTGGATAATAGGTACCAGGAGCTTGATCTTCAAATTTTCATGCGCATAAATGACTCAAGCCCCTTTAGCTCATGTAGAACAAAAAGGAACCACATGCTTGCACATCTCACACATGTGAGTATTGCTTTATGTCACTTATGGAAATTTTAGAGATTTGTAGTTTCATGTAGCTGAGTCTATTCTAAATAAATATGTATATGCATAAATGTATAAAATAATATATAAAATATGAAGAGATAGGAATTGGTTAAATAATCAATAAATTTATTAGAGGGGCTTCCAAGGGGCATGTGGTTGTTTTACTAAAATACATACTGATTTATGCAGTTCTCTTTCAAGGCTTTAATTGAGTTATCAGATAAAACTGTGGAGAAGTAATGAAAACAATAAGATTTCAGCCAATGTAGGATGCTGGATACAGTCCACAGAGTATTAAAGAAGGAGTGACAATCACAGTCTACATTAAAAGACTCAAAGTTCACATAATAAGAAATTCAATGGCCTGTTCCAAAATCATGAAGACTTACAGAAAGTACATTAAAAAAAAACAAATTTTCTACAGGGCTACTGAACATGTACCTTGTTGGTATCAGCAACGCTGTTTTGTCGGGCATCAAAGATGATGAGTTTATGTGATTGTGCGTTAGCATCCATTATTGTCTGTAGGTATTTTTCATCTTCTTTGCAGCGTTTATCATTGGGACCCACCAGTGGCTGGCTGCAACGTGTAATCGTTGCCTGACTTTCTGGGTGAATCCATGATAAAACCTAATGTTTTTAAAGCAACAAATAAATCATATCTGCTGATAGAGATCATTCATAAATTAATATAATTAATTGGTAAGAAAAGTATAATCTCTCCCAAAGAGTTTTCTCATAGCTCTGAGTAGGTAAGCTAGTCATAACATTGTAGTGGCCAAAATACTTAAAATGTGTTGGTCACACTAAAAGACCAACTATATTAACTAGATACTCTATAAAAAAAAAACCCTTTCTGCCTTTGAAATTCTATCATTTTAAGTAAAATAAAAGTTAAGTCGAACTATTACTAAAATCTAGTCCCATTTCTATTTGACTGGCTAGTTTCATATTTTTTTCTAATATTAAAAAACCCTCTGTATCTCTATAATAACATAAATAGCAGCGTGAGGTCTCATATTAAAAACAAATCTATAACTCTGCCACCAGATCTCTCATTTTCCTGCAGTGGTCAAGTGACACAAGATTACTCTGATGTAAACTCTAGGCATGATTGTTTTAGTACCATGCAGCTACATCAATGCACACAGCAGGAAGAAAGAATGGATTTTCACCAGAGTGAATGGTGGAACCAAGAGGTAAACTGTAGTGCAACCGCACGGTCATTCTTGCTACTCCTCTATTATTCTTGGCTATATCTGGAGTGCAAAATTTAAGGTACCTTTGCATTTAGAAATAGGACATATACAAGAGTGAGATAGCAAATGCGTGTTTATGTAATGAGTTATTTCTTAAGAATCAAAGATACAATCGGGTTTACAAGCTAAGTTTTTACTTTCCATTTTGTATTAGATAAAATGCAGTGTCTTTATATCTAAATAGCAATGCCTATTACTTACAGGGACTCTGCCTTTTGCTCGAAAGGCTGCCACTTTTGAATGGTCATCATCTTTTACACTAGTTGGCACAACAATGATGGCAGGGTAGGTATCGCAGAATTCATAATTACTGTTTATTTTGGATATTTTCCAACTTTCATTTGGCAATCCCTGTAGGGTATTAGAGAAGGAAGAAGGGGAAATACTCACCTCTAATTTGCAAACAAACAAACAAAGTATGAATCACACCTCTTTCCTATTTTAAATGAAAATTCATTTGTAATTTTTTCAATGTTATTTAACTAATAATGCCTCCAATAAAATTTAATAGCAGTTTGGATCCTTATTCATCAGTTCTTTATGAGATATGTAATAAAAACATCTAGAAGCAGATAGCTTGGTAATAGATCACTTGCCTACTATGTGCACAATCCTGGAAGGGAGCATGGGAAAGGAAAAAGGAAAGATGGCAAGTAAGAAGACAGATAGCAAGGTAGAAAAGACATGCAGGAAAACAGCAGCAAGGCAGGCAGGCAGGCAAGATGAAAGGAAGGAGGAAGAAGAGTGAGGAAGGAAGAAGGAAGGAAGGATGGGTTCTTAAAACTCTGAGTTTCAAACCCTTGTCCACACATTCTACTAATCCCTCTGGAAAACGATGGCTAAACACCAACGAAGTCAAAGATATGTCATAGGAGGAGAGGGCACCAGGGAATCAAGAACCAACGTGGCATACTCTACCTGTCTCTTATATTCAGATACTGGATCATAAACTTTCCAGCCATTAACTGGAAACTTTTCTTTATAGTTGAATGCAAATAGCACCTGTATATAAAACCCACAAAATACATGTGAGCATTTGTGTTAGAACTCCTATTTTACTCTGCAAATTTTAAAGTAACAAATTGGAAGCTTTTCTTAATTATTACACAGAAGAGAACGAATCCAAATATTTGAATTTAGTTGTAACACAGAAAAGAGATAAAGGCAACTTCTAAAGGAATGCATGCAGGAAAGGTTTACTTTGTTGTACTTGCCTGCCCATTAGAAAGAGGAAAAGCATGCTTGTTGAGGTTTTCAAATATCCCAAGTTTTCGTTGTTCCTCCTGCTTATATGCAAGTCTCAGGTTTCTCATATCCTAGTAAACAATGAGCACCTGTTAGCAAGATACCCTGTCATATATACATAAAAATGTTTATTTACCCTCATTTTATACTATATAGTTCTCCAACTCACAGAAGACAAGTTAACAAAAATACTTCCAATGAGATTTGAAAAATTAAGGAACCTGGAATAAAGAGGATGTTAATGTGTATGTATATATATATTATGTGGGGGTGTCAACAGAATAATTAAGAATAATGCTGAAGTGTAGCTCTTCACAGTTGATGAATTCTGGCAGGGGTGGGGTGGGGAAGACTAAGTTTTCTTCAAGGGATTGGCCACTGGGAGTTTGACCATGCTCCATTGAGTAGTTGTGCAACACAAACCGAATTTGGTGTGGGTTTTTTGTAAGAGAGGAAACAAGAATGGGAGGGTGGAACTGGGAGGAATGGTATTATTGGGGTACATTGTTCAACATTCCCAAATAATCAATAAAAATATTATGTCATGTATTATGTCAAAAGAATTAAAAAAAAGAATAATGTTTATACACAAAACAAGTACCACCACACTCTGTGTACTTTCTGGCCAAAAATATGCCATGGAATGTATTGTTCAAGTTAAGCTGATGAAGGAGCCAACTACATAATTTACTACTTCATCCATGAAAAAGAAATGTTGCAGATACTTGCCCCTATGTACTCACTGAAAGTAGTCACTACTATGTGGAGACTATAGCTCTCAGCAATGTCCTTGTAGTAATATAATGTTGTTTCTTAAGATCACTTAAGAATGCTTTCCTTTGTCCCAGTGTTCTCCCTGATGGCCAAATGCCCCACCACAAGTTATCAGGAACCAGTGTATCAAGTCTAAGCTCTTAATGTGTGATTTCTTCCAATGTGAGTGTTTTAAGCATAGCCTTTCAACCTTTTAAAATCTATGTTCAAACAGTATCATTCTTCTTTAACATAAAAATAAATTTGAAAATAAATATAATGACAAAGAAAGAAATAGTATCATGGGAAGTAAAGTTATTGTGATACTTATATAACAGCAAATGAATGGCAATAACCCAAATGTCTATCAGTAGAGGTTGTATCTGAATAATGTACAAGGCAGCTAAAGACCTCCTAAAAAGAAGCTGCAGCTCTATATACACTAGTATGAAGAAATTCCAAGATTACATAGCCACAGGGAAAGAAAGGTACAGAGCCATGTATATACTATCATTGTCCTTTTCTTTTCTTTTCTTTTTTATTTTCTGACAAGGTCTCACTAGGCAACCTTGGCTGGCCTGGAGCTTGCTATGTAGAGCATGCCAGCCATGAATTCACAGAGATCTGCCTGCCTCTGCCTCCTGAGTGCGGATACTAAAGGTATATGCCACCATGTGGCTCATTGTTTCTTTTAAAGAAATGTTTCCATGCACAAGGTATCTGTGCAGTGTTATATTAGGCATTAGTAAGTATGTCTGCAGAGTGTGGTAGACTGGGAAAGAAAGACTTGATGCTTTACTATATACAGCTTTTGTACTTTTGAATTATGAATCAACTTTAAAAAATAAAACTCAGGCTAGAGATATGACTATGTTCTTCCAGATGTATCCATGTTCAATTCCCAGCACCCACATGGCAGCTCACAACCTTCTGTGACTCCATTTGCAGGGAATCTGATCTGACACCCTCTTCTGGCCTTCACAGATACCAGGCAGATATTCATGCAGTCAAAACACCTACACATATAAAACATAATAAAATAAGCCATGTGTGGTCGTACATGCCTTTAATCCAAAGCGCTCAGGAAGCTTAGGTAGGCAGAACTCTATGAGTTTGAGGCCAGTCTCTGTCTACATAGTGAGCACCAGGCCTTCCAAGGCTACATAGTGAAAACGGACTGTGAAAACAAACAAATGAACAAATAAACAAAAAACTAACAACAAAAATAAAACCCCACACCTTGTGAGGTTCTCAGGCACAAGTTGGGAGCCTGGACTTTGTAATTCCAGGCCATGAAGCATTTAAACCAGCTGTCAGTCAATGCCCATGCCAGCCATAAAAATACTTTAGTAAAACAGCCACAGGACATGGGCCAAAGTAGCATCGCTTCCTGACATGACTGTTTTTCAAGTCACACTGGCTGGGCATACACCCTGGTAACTCACTTGCTGTTTAGAAATGCTCAGAGGGAAGGAAAAGCATTTTAATCCCTGCAAGAGTATATGCAACAAGTGTGGCATGTAGATTAGTGGTAGAGTATGTGCTTAGAATGTGAGAAGCCCTGGGCTCCCCTATCCAGGAAAGGAGTGAGAAGAGGAAGGATTGAGATTTATTGACTTTGTTGTGTGTGAACAAATAGGCATGCAACAAATCTGAACATCAATATGGACATCAATTCCAAGTTTAGAAGTGGTCTTGACAATTCTGCAGGCAGGATACATCTCCTGGTACATTAAGGTAGCTTTTAGTAGACTGTGTTATAGTAATAAAGTCATCAGGCATAAACCCTACTCATTTGAGGTCTTTTTTTTAGTGGCCATCATTAAAGATTTCCCACACATTCCTATCTAACATTTTGAAGAAAGTGAAAAGAAAAAAACCGAGGATAGTTCAAGGCATAAAGCAACAACATAGCCAAGAATCTTTAATCGCTAGAGTTCTAGAACAGACTGATGGTCTTTGACTATCAACTATGTTGAAAAGTACTTCTAAAACAGGAAACTCTGAAAGGGGGTATTGGATTCTGCTTTCTGTTTGGTTTCTCTGAGATGTGACAAATGATGCCAGCACTTGTGTTGCAGGTTAATTAGAAACGTTTCAACTTTCAAAAAGGATTGTTTTGATATGTTATACAGTGGTTTGCATCCTTTGATATAAGACTTGAAGGAATCGTTGTTCTGAAAACAGTACAAATTGTTCCTATGTTCCAGAGACCATAAGGGGCATGAGTCAGAAAAAGTTCCGAGTGGACCGCCCCATGCCAGTGTTTACTTGTGTCTGCAGCCTACCTTGCACACGATCTCTATACCACAAGAATTATCCCCATGGCTCTGGGCACCAATCTTCTCAACTCTGCTGATCACTCCAAGGGGAACATCAAGGATGAAATGTGGGTCCTAGGTTTAAAAATTAAACATCTATCAAAGTCAGAAAACAGAGTTTTCATGTTTTAAGTTGCTACATAGTTCTTACATATGATTGTTTACTTTGAAATGCAGTTATCATTGCCCCAGATAAGAAGCTGACATCTGAGAGATAGTATTCCGCACGAGGTCTATACCCAGACCACAGTGACACTTCTTCAAATCTAAGCACAAATTTAACAATTTTGATTGACACCCAAAATTTCTTCAATCTCATTGTCATGTAGTATCCCTATGATGGGAAGTAAGGGGATTGTTTACTTTCATTTACTGTTCACAAGATTTGAAAACGAAAGCATGCTTAAAAATCTTACCCTTTCTACGTTTTTGAAGTACATTTTAAAATCCGTCACTGTCAGGGTCCCACTCACTGCTCCCATAAATGGGCAGATATACATGACATCTTTCACTAAAAGAAGAAAACCAAAGTAGCAATGATTCTTATTGTCTTGTATTTCAGTAACTTCCAGCATGAGCTTCCAAATTTGTATGCATGATCCAGTCTTGTAGGAATTTAAAACTTTAAGGAATTATATCAGTTATTACATAATGGCATAAACAGTCTTCTGATACAGTTAAACTGTATTACTACTTAATAAGACTTTAAGTTAAAAAAATTATAGTATGTTTATTTTGTTCTTTTTTCAGGTAGTTAATATCTTCCCTGCTTAAAAGTTGATAATGCTCAAAATATTAATTATCCTCTGAAGTCACTGGGCTCTCATTCTATAAACTGCTGCAACCTAAAACTAGTAAAAGCTTAACAGTAAAGGCTAAACTGCTTTGCAGCTGAAGAAAACTTGCACACTATGAATGAAGTAGAGAAAGACTTCTTTCATGAGCTGAGAGTATAGCTCAGTGCCTGAGGCCGTAGTATGGTTACCTGCTAGGAGGGCTTGCTTAAAATTCCTTATCAGCCAGGCATGGTAGTGCACACCTTTAATCTTAACCAGTAGTTGTAGAAGCAGGAGGATCTCTGTGAGTTTAAGCCATCCTGATCTACATAGTGAGTTCCAGAACAGACTCTATCTCAAAAACTAAATTTCTGTATCAAAGTTAATTTTCTGTTTCTTATCAATCAAATATGCACAGTATGTTTAATTCCTGTGACAGTTAAAAGGCTAACCTCTATCATAAAGATTGTGCATCTTTATGGTTTTCCCACAGTGCCAATCCACTGCATTGTTGGAGTGACCAGAACATACATAGCTACAGACATAATTCACAGCAGTAGGATGACTCAGCCAATTGTCAAAGAACTCTCATTTTTTTTTGTAATTTAGTAAGTTCTGAATGTCTTCTATTGCTGGGAGCTGGGTTTGATATAATTAGACAAAGTCCCTGTTCACAGACACCTGGGGACATGTGAGATTTGACACAGAAAATCACCATTATACTATAGCATTAAAAATGCTAACATAATGACATGGACACACAGTGATGGACTTCAATTAAGAAGCATCTTCATTCATCAGAGAAGCAGATGGGGGAGAAAAGAAAAGGGAGGGAGAAGAGTGGTGAGTTGTTAGAAGTTTGTTACTATGGATGCATCAGAGGGAGCAGTAAGGGTGGAAACTCATGAAGCTAGCCAGATAGGTTAACAGGGAAATGTACTAGTAAATGTATCTGTTGAATGTCAAAGCATCATTAGTATGTTATCCTTAAAAGAGAAAAAATAGCAGAAGCAAAACCCTGTGGGTTTATAGCATATGTACAAGTACAATGGATGCTAACAATAGCAAAGACTGGAAGGACACATGAGAGTATACACATGTATAGTCCTTACCCTACACATAAAAGTAGAAAATTTTGCAAGATGTGATAGTGATAGCACACACAGTCAATACCAGCATTTGGGAAGCAGATACAGGTGGATTTCTGTTTGTTCAAGGCCAGATTTGGTCAAAATAGAAAGTTGTAAGCCAACCACGACTACATAGTGAGACTGTCTCCAAAACAGAAGTGTAAAATGACTTGAAAATGTAAAATGTAAATCATATAAGCAACTAATAAAATAACAGAAAGAACTGCAGCAACTACACAGACAGAGGAGATAAAATGCATACTGAGAAAGTACTCAATAAATTAACAAGGACAGAGCTCAGTGGCAGGGTGCTTGCCTGACAAGCATTTAGGCTTTCAGTTCAGTCCTCAGCACTGTAACAAAGAAAAAAAAAAGAAGAGAAAGAGTATTCATTTAAACCAAAACATGACCAAAAAGGCAAAGAAGACACCAAGAACTAAATGAGACAAAAGAAAATAAATAATACGATAAATTTAAAATTAATTATTTTATAATATATTAATGACCCCAACATCACAAATTTAAGGCACAGAATGTCAGATCATGGACAAAAACAAGATTTTTAGCTGTACATGGCTCAAAAGAAACCTACTTTACATTAAATGAAGGAATAAAGAAAATATGTTACATACATACATATTTAACATAAAGAAAATGGAAATCATATTTACAGGAAAATGAATGCAAATCCAAAGTTCAATAATAAACCAGATTCAGAAACACAAATACTGCATACTTCCTATCATATGCAGATCCTAAATTTTAATGTGTGTGTGTACTCAAGTGTGTGCATGTGCTTATCTATGGATACAGACCATGAAACTAGATGGGAATATAAAAGGGTGGAAAGAGGTATTGGTGGTTGAGAGAGGCTAAAGAGGGCAAGAATGGATGCGACATAAAAGCAGAATGGGGCCTTTTGTGGGTAGGAAAGGAACCAACAGGAATGGGTGGGACTGGGGAATGTAGAACAGCATGGGGAAAAGGATCAATAACAACAAGGCATGGGACATAACCTGGATAAATCCCTGGATTTGATCTCTATTACTGTATAAAACAGGTGTTGTGGAGTTCTGTAATCCAGAACTCAGGAGGTTGAGGTAGAAGGATCAGGAGTTCAAGGCCAGCTTTATTTACATAGTGAGTTTGAGGCTGACTTGAGCTATATAAGACTCTGTCTCAGAAAAATAAATGCATATGAAAACACCATAATTAAACCCATTATTTTGTATGCTAATTTACAAAGCTAAAAAAAGATATGAATATTTTGAAATTGAAAATAGGTGTATCAATGTGAATTAAGAAAAAGCTAAAATATCTACAATAATATAAAACAATGAATTTTTTGGAGCAAAGAGTTATTACCAGGAATAAAGAAGGTAATTTTCTACTAATCACAGGGTCAATTCATAAGAAGGATATAATAATTATAAACATGTATGTACCTAGAACTTTAAAACAGAGAAAAGTGATTGATCTGCAATGAGACACAGATATCCAGAATAAAGGAGGGAACTGCAGGCTGAGTAAAGACACAGAGGATCAAATGATACCAACAAATTCAACCTAATTAGCATCTATAGTACACTCCAATAAATAACAACATAATACATGTTCTTTTCAACAGTGTATAGAACACTCAAAAGATCATATTGGGGCCATAATACAATTCTTAAGATATATTCAAAACATAAGTTATAAATATGGGTGCAACATCCCTCAGTGCAATTTTAATCTATCAAACCTTGATGCGGGAGGGTCATCTGTCTATGTGTTACTTTCATTGGTTAATAAAGAAACTGCCTTGGCTTTTTATAAGGGCAGAATTTAGACAGATGGAGTAGACCGAACAGAATGCAGAAAGCAGAGTCAGGCAGTCGCCATGGCTCTCCTCTCCGAGACAGATGTAGGTTAGACTCATCCCAGTAAGCCACAGCCTCGTGGTGCTACACAGATTTAATGGAAATGTGTAGAATGGAGCAGCGGGCTCCCACACGGCTAGCTTAGCCCCGGAAATAACAACACACAAATTGTATTCTTTTAAACACTGCCTGGCCCGTTATCTGTAGCCTCTTACTGGCTAATTCTCACATCTTGATTAACCCATTACTAATAATCTGTGTAGCACCATGAGGTAGTGGCTTACCGGGAAGGATCATAACCTGCGTTCATCTTGGAGAGGAGAGCTATATCATCTGCACAACTATGCTTTCTTTCTCCTAGCAATTAGTTCTGTTTACTACGCCTACCTAATTTTCTGTCCTATCAAAGGGCCAAGGCAGTTTCTTTATTAACCAATGAAAGTGATACATAGATGACCCTCCTCCATCAGAAATGGGTTAATCAAGATGTGAGAGTTAGCCAATATGAGGCTAGAAATAATGGGCCAGGCCGTGTTTAAATGAATACAGTGTCCATGTAATTATTTCCGGGGCTAAGCTACCCATGCAGGAGCCAGGAGGCATGAAAAGCAGGCCTGCTGACCTCATCACTACAAAACCTAACAATGCAGAGGAAGATAATACATGAAAGAAAGTAGAGTTTATCCTGGGACTGTGTTGACCAAGCATTCAGAATGAATTGATGTAATCTGCCATATTACAGGTTAAAGAAAAGTAACACTATTAATTGATACCAAAAACATGCATTTCACAAAATTCAGTTACTGACTACAACTGTTACTAAAGTAAGAGTAGAAAAAATGTCTTTGATATGATAAAGGACAATAACCACCTACAGTCAACATCATATTTAATGAAAATGTGAACATTTTCCCAACATAAGGAATAAGAACATCTACTCTCATGCCTTCTCTTTAATTTCATACTGAAGGTTTTACACAAGAGAAAGAAAGCAAAAGCATTCAGACAAGAGAGGAAGAACCAGAACACTCCTACACTGCTAGATATATACTAATACCAATTTCTTAAGTTAAATGACCCACTCTATCCCTTAGACATTTATCCAAGAGAAAGAGAGTATGTGTATAAAGGCTTTTTAAAGAATGTTCATAACAATTTTATTTATAATACAAAAACAGCAGAAACAACCCAAATAGCCACCAACACGTGAATGCATCCTTAAATGAAGCAGTATTCAGCAATAAAAAGGAATGATTGTTAACTGATATCATAATGTAGTTGAATATCAAAACAAGTATTTGAAAGAAATAAAGGAAAAAACCCTACAATTTCACTTCTGGAAAGTACTCAAAAATATAAACCACAGTTTGAGGGCATAGAGACAGGAGAAGAGATGGAAAGGGGTGACATGAGAAAACTACTGGGCTGGATATGTTCGTTACCATAAGAGTGACAATGGTTTCCCAAGCGTATGCTATGTCAAAACTCACCCTGCTCTAAACTACTACTCAATAGGGAGTATTTTACTTTACAATGACCTACTTTAATACTTTGCCTCCAGGAACATATTTTATTTAATAGTGGGGGTTAATTTACTTACCCTTTGCAAGGCACTAGAGGAATTTAAAGCACACTTACAAAGCTTAAGGATGTGCAGCTGTTCCTAACATGTACCTGTAAGATATTTCCAATAACTGGGAGAGGCACAGGGCTATGTGAGAACCTCCACCTCCCAAAGCTGCATTTCCAGAGTAAAAAAGAGACACAAAGAGGAGAGAATGAGGCTCTGGTAAGACAGCCCAACCATTCAAATGGTCCTAATATGTATGAGATGACTATATTGAAACTGAACACCCATGCTGGGAGAGAGCCATGAAGCAAATAGCCCAGCAAAGTTGACTATCCAACCCAGCAAACTGGGATGAAAAACTTATACACAGACGCCCCTCCTACATACCATCTCTTGAGATGCATGGCATTTTATCACGGGAGGTATGGTAACCCTCATGCCATTACTTTATATGCCAGGATGGCAGTACATGCTATTTTCTTCCAGTAAAATTATATTTTTGATAATCACAGAAGTCAACAAAAATTATTTAAAGTTCTCCAAATGTTACTAAGATGCTATTGCAGTCATCTACTGATCAATTAGTTTATGGTGAAATAGTCCATCAAAGCAGCAAGGCAGAAATTACACTGAGTAACTAATCAGCTCTCATTTCATGATGAACAGGTTTGCTTCTGTTCTTTTGGTAAACACTCAGCTGCCACTTAACCTGGATCCTCTATATTATTCCATCTCAGGATGATGCTAACAAGAAAGAATGGACCTCGTTCCTTAATTAATCAGTCTAGCTGATCTCCAACATAAACATCACCTATGCTTTCAAAGTACCACTTCATTTTATAAATTCCTATAACAAATGGTATACGTTAAACTTACCAATGGCCTTAATTGATTCTCCTGGAAAAAGTGGAGCTTCTTCCATCTGTGCCAGTTTATTTCCATCCCGTAAAGCCTGGCAAGAAACCAAACAGGAATAAATCTAACTTTCCATCTGTAGATTGAGGAGAATGCTGGTATTCTGGGATCTCTTGATAAGGCTACAGAAGCATGCAAAAATGTAAGCCCCCTCCCCCTTAAACATTTTAAAAGCTCAGCACTACAGGACGTCATGCTGCATATTCTAGCAAATTGTTACAACATATTTACAATTAACAGTTAGAAAGCATTAATACAGAAATGGCTTGATGGGACAGATAGATACTTAATCAGCACACAGATAGGTATTGTAAGGTGCCATCAAATTTGAAAATAAGGTCAGAAAAAAATGTTATCTTCTAAGCGTGAAAGTAACACAAATAAAAACACTAGAGGTGAGGTACTTAGCCAAAGTAGAAATGACAGAGCCTACGAAATAGTTTGGGAAACCCTGAGGCAGAATTAAAATGACCAGAGAATGGTCTCAGAATAGTGCACAACTAAGAAAAGCCCTAGGCTTTGGCACTGAGGCCCAGCTACACGCAAACATGTACATGTATGTGTGTGCATGTGTATATAAGTGTGTGTGTACATGTGAGTGTGTGTGTATGCATGTGTGAGTGTACATCAGGGAGCATAAAGAATGAGAATGCCATTGTTTGTTCACTCTAGGCTATGAGATTACATTGGCAGATGAGAGTACAAGTTGAACATCTGTAATGTGAATATTCCAAATAGGAAACGCTCCAAAATATGAAAGCTTTTGAGAGCCAATATAATGCTAAGTGGAAAATTCCACACCTGACCTTATGTGAAAGGTGGCAATCAAAACACATATACTAAAAAGTATTGTATAAGTTTTCCTTCAGTCTATGTGTGTAAGGTCTAGATGACACAAAATTTATGTTTATTTTTGGGTCTCATTCAATACTCCAAAATATGAAAAATTCCAAAATCTGAAACACTTGTCCCAAACATTTGAAATAAAGAACACTCAACCTGTTTTGCAATGTATACTGTGGGGCAGGGTGTGTTCACCACACATTTCCCAAAGCCAATTCATTTTGTTTTTGTTTTTTTATTTTCGAGACAGGGTTTCTCCGTAGCTTTTGGTTCCTGTCCTGGAACTAGCTCTTGTAGACCAGGCTGGCCTCGAACTCACAGAGATTCGCCTGCCTCTGCCTCCCGAGTGCTGGGATTAAAGGCGTGCGCCACCACTGCCCGGCTAAGACAATTCATTTTATAACTAATTTCACACTCCCCAAGGAAACTGTTAATGAGTTACTAGGTTCATTGGCTACAGTTATGCTAAAAGAAGGATGGCTGGGCAGTTCGTGCCTATATTTATACTATGAGGCTGACATTGTGATTTGGGAGCCAGCTTCTTGTAAGCTTCATTGTATGGTTCCAGATAACTCATAGGGGAGCAGAAAATGGAGTTCCTGAACTCCAAAGCTAGGACAGGATCCTAAACTTGGGGCCTATTCTAAGGTACTGCCACTCTGTGAGTTACTACCAAGGAAAACAGTCATTTTCTCCTTGGCATGTCTAAAACGATGTGAAATGAACAAGAATAAGGTGATCCAAACCACAGCAACTACAAAGCTATATTTCATAGAACATTATTTCCCAGGAGATGTAAATAGTTATTTAAAAAAAAAAAACAAACAGGGAAATGCTATGTTAGAAAAAGTGAGCTAGGCTTTAGTGTGTTAATGCACACCAGATCAGCAAGAGGGCGCTAGAGTACAACACATGCCTCATACCTCCTCAATCAGGGAGTACTTTTTCAGGAATACCTGTTAACACTTGGGAGGGCATTAACATGCATCAGAAAACAGGGAGGGCAATGATGATCAGGGATATGGTATGTACGTCTCTTCCACCCAGAGGACAGAAGATTATATGGTCCATCCCTTCCTTATCAAAAAGTGTAGTGTTAAAATCATATATACATTAGGGTTCATCGTTACAACCAAACAATGTATTAAATTTGAATTTGTAGTATAGATTAAGACATTTTTCATCAGAAAATTTCTGTAAAATTTTGATTTTATAGTGACAGAGATCAAACTTAGGATAGATACTGTATATGCTAAGCTGGTATTCTATCACTAAGTCACACCCCCATCTGAACATTACTTTTAAGACTTTCATATAAACTTGACTCTCTTTTTCCATGTAATGTCCAACTTAATCATTTTATTATACTTGTTTTGGTCCCTGCTAGCAAATCCAAGGCCTTAATCGTGCTTTACCACTGAGCTCTGCCCTCAGCCCCATTTATACATTCCTTTTTATTTACATCTGACTTGGGAATATGCCTTTTATACAACAAAGCATAAACCAATACGCATACTTTTAAACATCTGGTTTTATAAATACTTAAATACCAACAATCTTAATAGAAGTCTTAATCTGAGGCCTGCTTTAATTTACTATCTGATCTACTGACTAATTTTATGGCTTAATTACTAAGTAAGAAAGCTACTTTAATCAATGTTGGAGTTGTAAACTACAAGCATTACATTTTTAGAGCTTACTTTAATGAGCAAATATTATACTATAAAATGGAGATTCTATAACTTATATTTAAAAATAACTAAGGATAGATTATTTTGGAATCTATTTATGAAAGCAAGCTTCTCTAATCACTAGAATCTGGAGGAGATTTGGGAAGAGAAGACACCTGTTCAGCTTTAGAGCAAGCCACATCAAAATTTAAGACTTCAAGCCTGAGCTAGTCAATAAAACCCTGCCAGAATGCACAAGGCTCTCAAGATAAACAGTACAGAACAACTGGTTCTCTTCTTGTCCCATATTAATAGTCAAATATGACTGGAAACATCTGTGCATTTTTATGAGGCATGAATATGTTGGTGAACACAGTGAGATAAAACTTTCACTAAGTATGGGACATGTTTTTAAAGGATGAAAAAGCATCTATTAGAATAACACAAAAAAGGCCCCAATGCTTCATATTCTTCCATAAGAGAAAGGAATACATTCAGCTTTACACAGGAAATCAAGAGACAATAGAAGACTCATTTTTGGTGAATATAGTAGATTCCCTTTATGAAGCTGTGTTAGGAGATAGGACTCACATTTGTGCTATATTAAGCTTTTACTGCAACTATCAGGTTGCACAGGACATGATTTGACCCTTGATTTATCCAACCTATGTACAGCACAACTGAAAAATGAAATAATTTGATCTCATAATCAAATAATTTGATTTGCTATTGGTGCCTCTATTTTCAATGTTGCTCAGCTATGAGCTCATCTCAAATTTGGTGCTTTGATCTTGAATGTGTAGCTGAGATCTACAACCTCCTGACTTTATTGCTGAGGGTTCTAACCCACCTAGATGACTCCGGCCACTGTTTTTCATAATGTGACTCTAAACTTCTGGATGAACAGTTTATGTATCAGCTGCATGCCTAAAGCAGTGATTTTATAGTTGAGTCATAAAAGATGCTTCTGGAGTCAATGGAGGAGGGTTCTGGGCAGGTGATGGAGGACAAAAGGAAGGCTGATCACTTGGGGCTTGACAGGCATCCACAGCCCTGCTCTTCTACAGATTCTCCTATTCAGTTTCTATATCAGTAGCAGGAAAAGCACTACTGCTTCATGAATCTGGAGACATCTGAAAGTATGAAGGAAACAGCAAGATTCTATATTCTGATTAATAAAAACAAAATAAATATGCTCATTCCAAAAATACAAAATACCTGGTGCTGTGTTAGGCACGAACCATGTAACTTTAAACTTTAGATGTATGGGTGTTTTGCCTACATGTATACATATGTGAATCACATGGCCAGAATAGGGCACTGGATGACCTAGAACTGGAGCTATAGACGCTAGTAAACTGCCACGTGGGTGCTGGGAATTGGAAAAGCAGCCAGCACTTTTAACCTCAAGCCCAACTATGCAACTTTGAATAACAAAAGGTCTACACCCTTATAAAGAACTTGTAGCATTTGTGTTTACTCCTCTAGGTCCTTGCTAAAAGCTCTTCATACTCTTACAGTGGCAGACGTCAAGGTCATGTAACCCTATCTTGGGGAGCCAAGAAGTGTGAATAAAGCAACTTCTAGTTGACAAAATGTTGGATAAACCAATTTTTGCAAATAATGTCATAATGGAATCTACCAAGTATAGACAGGAGAACACTATTATAGTGTAAAAGCAACTGGAAAGCTTTGCTTATTGCCTAGATATCTAGTATGAAATGGCTTCTAGATGCACGGTCTGTAGCTACAAACAGATGAACATGGAGAACTTGCCACCTGATCAGCTTCAGCTTCAGAAGGGTAGCCATTGTGTTCTTCCTCTATCTCCTGCACAGCACCAGGTGCATGGACAAGAAGAAGCAGAGAAGAGAAAGAGAAACACGTGCAAACAGACAGGTGAAAGGACAGAATTTCTTTTTTAAGAGACAGTAACCATGTAAAAGTTGACACACCTTTTATGGCTTTGCAAATCACCACACTTGCCCCCTTCGAGTTAAGGGAATAACGTGTGGACCATCTATAGCATCCTCAGCCTAAAGTGTAGTGTCTATTTCTGTGTTGTGTTGGGGTAGAAAAATGAAAAGCAAACAAACATCATGGATTTCAAACAATGCACTGTCTTTATAAAACTAAGCAACACCATAGCAAATAGCAAAGAACATAACAGGCACATCATGTGCTCATAGAAAATAAAGCACACCACAGAAACCACATAAAAGGCAAAGTCAAGCCAAAATACAAAGGCAGTTCATACATAGGTATTTTAGACAGAGTAAGAATTTGTATATTCTAAAGAAGTATTATATTACCCAGGGGTAAATTTCATTGCATCATGCACATAACACATGCTCAAGATTTTACATATAAATACATACATATATACATATGTGTATTATTTTATTACTTATTAAATACTATGACATCTAATCAATGTCACATTAATATTTCTAACTACAGTATCAAAAGCATGCTTCAAGAAAACAAATGCCACATGTTTTTTTAATCTGTCCCTTTAAAGGTATGCTATTAATTTCTTCACAAAATCAATTTTCTTCTTGAAAGTTTAAAAACTTTAACTCAACAGGTGGTAGAAAGAATGTGAATGTTTAACACGACAGGATTATAATCCCTTTTAAAAGTGGTATCAAATCTCTAATAGTGAAAATATTAAAATTTAACAGTTTTACTTTATGAAACTGGTTCAAATGGCTATATTTTTTTTAATATTTTTTTATTAAGAAAAGAAGAAAAAAAACATAAACAAAAAACAAGTTTCCACCTCCTCCCAGCCTCCCATTTCCCTCCCCCTCCTCCCACCCTTCTCCCCCTCCTCCCACCCTTCTACCCCTCCCCCCACTCCTCTCCCCCTCCCTCTCCAGTCCACAGAGCAGTCCAGGTTCCCTGCCCTGTGGTAAGTCCTAGGTCCTCCCCCCTCCGTCCATATCTAGGAAGGTGAACATCCAAACTGGCTAGGCTTCCACAAAGCCAGCACATTAAGTAGGATCAAAACTCCGTGCCATTGTCCTTGGCGTCTCATCAGCCCTCATTGTTCGCCATGTTCAGAGAGTCCGGTTTTATCCCATGCTTTTTCGGTCACAGTCCAGCTGGCCTTGGTGAGCTCCCAGTAGATCAGCTCCACTGTCTCAGTGGGTGGGTGCACGCCTCGTGGTCCCGACTTCTTTGCTCATGTTCTCCGTCCTTCTGCTCCTCATTGGGACCTTGGGAGCTCAGTCCAGTGCTCCAGTGTGGGTCTCTGTCTCTGTCTCCATCCATCACCAGATGAAGGTTCTATGATGATATGCAAGATATTCTTCAGTATTGCTCTCGGATAGGGTCATTTCAGGTTCCCAATCCTCAGCTACCCAAGGAACTAACTGGGAACCTCATGTTGGGCACTTGGGAGCCCCTCTAGGGTCAAATCTCTTGCTCACCCTAAAGTGGTTCCCTTAACTAAGAATTGTGGTTCCGTGCTCCCCTATCCACCTTTCCTTTATCCCAATTCTCCTGATTCCCCAAGTCCCCCCTCCTTCCCTTCTACCTTTTCTCTCCACATCTCCCCTTACCCCCATCCCACCCCACCCCCAAGATCCTAATTTTCTCCCCGGCAATTGGGTCTACTTCCCTTAGCCAAGAGGATAACTATATGTTTTTCCTTGGGTTCACCTTCTTACTTAGCTTCTTTAGGTTCACCTATTGTAGACTCCGTGGCCCTAATTTATGGCTAGAAACCAATTATGAGCGAGTACATCCCATGTTCATCTTTTTGGGTCTGGGACACCTCACTCAGGATAGTGTTTTCTATTTCCATCCATTTGCCTGCAAAATTCGAGAAGTCATTGTTTTTTACCGCAGCGTAGTACTCTAGCGTGTATATATTCCATACTTTCTTCATCCATTCTTCCATTGAAGGGCATCTAGGTTGTTTCCAGGTTCTGGCTATTACAAATAATACTGCTATGAACATAGTTGAACAAATGCTTTTGTCATATGATAGAGCATCTCTTGGGTATATTCCCAGGAGTGGTATTGCTGGGTCCAGGGGTAAGTTGATCCCGAATTTCCTGAGAAACCGAAACACTGACTTCCACAGTGGTTGCACAAGATGGCATTCCCACCAGCAATGGATGAGGGTACCCGTTCCTCCACAGCCTCTCCAGCAAAGGTTATCCTTGGTGTTTTTGACTTTAGCCATTCTGACAGGTGTAAGATGATATCTCAAAGTTGTTTTGATTTGCATTTCCCTGATTGCTAAGGAAGTTGAGCACGACTTTAAGTGTCTTTTGGCCATTTGAACTTCCTCTGCTGAGAATTCTCTGTTCAGTTCAGTGCCCCATTTTTTAATTGGGTTAATTAGCATTTTAAAGTCTAGTTTCTTGAGTTCTTTATATATTTTGGAGATCAGACCTTTGTCTGTTGTGGGGTTGGTGAAGATCTTCTCCCAATCAGTAGGTTGCCTTTGTGTCTTATTGACTATGTCCTTTGCTTTACAGAAGCTTCTCAGTTTAAGTAGGTCCCATTTATTCAATGTTGCCCTTAATGTCTGTGCTTCTGGGGTTATACATAGGAAGCGATCTCCTGTGCCAAATGGCTATATTTTTAAGGCAACAAAAGAAGTAACAAATTTTGAAATAATTTACTACTTCACATATTTACATTTTAGTCAATAAATTTCAGTAATTACATAACACATTTTCATACTCAGAATAAATTTATGGCTACCCATCACGGCAGTGTAGATTTTAAATGCAGCCTGTTTTGTTGAAATTTCTAAGTTTTTACATACAAAGACAATGGAATCATTCTGTAATTTTAAATGTTAAAACAGAAAAATTAATGGATATTCAAAACAAATTCATACAGTATTTCAAAGTCCATGCAAGTACAAAGTCAAACACTAATATTTAACTGTATGATTCAATAAAAGAAAATGAATCTCACAAGCCAAAGAAAACAAGGTAAGATGGTAAATCAACTAGTATAGCAAGAGTTTTACTTAACTTCGTTATTTCTGTACAACTTCACTGGCTTCAATAAGATTACAAACTTCAAACTGAAGTAATTAAATCATACTACGAAAATCCAGATTGTTCCCATTTAATAAAAAATAGGTTCATTTTTTTTCATGTCTGACACTAGGAGTTAGATGCATGCAAATTACCAATCTTTGTCTTGCTTTATGAATATTCTGAAATAGAGGGAAGGAAATTCATGAGGAAAATATAAGCTACAATTCACTACATTTGTATTTTTAAAAATACCTATTTTTTTAAATCTTGCTTCAAGATTAGCACTTAAACTTTTTTTGGACTGAACATGCAAACACAGCATGATTTAAGGTCTTAGATTAGATGGACAACAAATGATCACTTTTTTGGTTGCTAAGTTCTTTAGCATGAATCACACAACAAGCATGTGTGTGTGTGTGTATGTGTGTCTGTGTGCATGCGCGTGCAAAACAATAATAATCAAAGAAAAGAGGCTATCAACTCCAAAAGAGTGGAGGTGGGGATACATGGGAGGGGTTCAAGAGATGGTAGTTGAGAAGGGATGAAGAAAGGGAAGTAACATAATTCTGTTTCAATTAAAAGCATATTTGTAAAAAGAGGCCCACATATGCCTAGACATACAGCACTAGCCATGATCATCCATTGGGTCAGAATTCATGTGGTATGAGAAAAGCCAGTACAGCACACTGGTAACAATTTTTGCATCCTGCCTTCACACACATAGGCTCTTACTGCACGTTTAAAAACTGTAGCAAACAAAGCATTTCCAGTGAACATTTAAAGCTATGACACAGCAGAACAAACTGATCAGAGTGACTCATAAGAACCAGTGCGAAGGTAAGGAACACTAAACAGACCAAGTGTTCCATAAAGCACAGACATGTATAAGTAGGAGGCCCATCTGCCAAAAGCCAAATATCCTTACCCTGGTATCAGGCCTCCTGAAAACCTGTTAGTTAAAATACAGAACAAAATCATCATGGAAATGTTCTTATTGTGAAAGATGCCATTAGATTCAATAGCCTAGTCCCTAAGAAAGCTGTTAATCCTCTTTAACATATTTATCTCCAAAATCTCATTCAATATTAAGTCAATCCTAACACATTTGTCCTGTGAGTTTCAGGGAAGTATCTAATTCGAAGAAAATTATCTCCTCACTTCCAACTGTTTTAAACACAAATCCTTTCCTGCAAGTGTTTTCACAGGCTATTGTGACAGGGTACATTTCAAAAGTAAATGTTGTTTCTGTTTAGAAAACTGAAGGCATTTTCCATGTAAAAGCAATGATATAAAAAGGGAGATAGGCTTTTAGACCAGTCCACAAAACAAGAAAACCCCAAACTGGATCCAGAACACAGTTTAGCTATATATGAACTCAGTATCTTAACAGTGAGATAATCACACATCTTAATCTGACTTAGATTTAAATTTCCAATTCCAATTAGGACTCCAAGATTAAACTCTCTGATTTAGTTACCCCACTGGAAGCAGGGGGTGCCTTCTCTGATAGACATGGCAACAAAGAAGAAGTTCTAGGGAGGAAGAAGTAGTGGCTGTGGTTGAAGCAGAGGTAAAACCATGCTTTATTTAACTGAGAGATACTGACTTCAGAATATTATTCCTGTGCCTGTGGCCTGTGAATCCTAACTAAACATGCAGCCTCTGTGTGGGAAAGCTCTAGTCAGAAGAAACAGCACACATAGACAGAACCTTAGAAAAACAAGTAGTTGTCATATTCTGGGGGAGGAGTTCAATGTTTCTGTACCTTGTTGCAAAATCTACAGTAGTTGCAAAATCAACACTAGATGTTGAATGAGAAACACATCATCAGAAAGAACAATTGCCAGGCTATTTATTAGCTTTATGGATTTACTAAATGGGAGAAGAGCATCTGAATACGAACACAGGCTACAAAAGCTATTCTTGTGTCAGCATTAACAACTTAAAAAAGAATCCAAATGGAATGACCCTGTATGGTTGGTCAATGTTGTTCCCAGAAGACTTGAGTTATTCAATGAAAATAGCAGCATAAGGCATAAAATACTGCCCTACAAGCCATTGGTCAGGGAGGTCCCAGGTCACCAAAGTACCACAGGTTATTGCTGCTGTCTTTGGATACCCATCATAACTATGTGGGAATAATCCCTCGTTGCTGAACCACCACACACTCTGGCTGCAAAACATAAAAAGTCATCTTCAAACTCTTCAGAAACTTCCTCCCTAATGTCAGAAGGTGCTGTGCAGGCTGATGTGGGGAGAAAAGATATCAAAGTTCTTACCCAGTGCTGAACCCAGTATACTAAAGTTACTAGAAAAGATGTGCTCACTGGTGCAATAGCGGTGTGACTGTGACGGAGTGACGGAATGCTTTCTGATTAGATTTGAGGCCTGCTCCACAGCAAGGAATTTCATTCCTGGTCTGGAATCCTAGGCAAAATCCCATGGCTGGTGAATTTATAGACCCTAATGTAGAACTTGCTCTTCTTTTCCTAAGTGGTCATGCTATCAAATTGCCTTCTAAGTACTTATATTTCTACCCCTAGACCTATTCTGCTCTCAACCATAGAGAAGCTTCCATTTGCAGTGAACAACAGCCAATGGAAAGATGTGGAACCTGATCAAAGTGCTGAGAAGATAGTGAATGCTTGGCCCTGAATGGGACATCTATTTCCACCATCCCCCTTTCTGCCACCAAGGCGCAGGGAGGAGGAGGAGGTGGAAAGAATGTAAGAGGTAGAGAGGGTGGGAAAGAGTGCTGTTAAATGCGGTGTTGCGGACATGATACGGCTGTTACAGTTACCTGCACATGACCTACACAAGGTAAAGCCAACTAAAATCCTGACATAGATATTACAGATGATCTCCAGGTCCCACACCATACTGACAGAGATATTAACAGTAGGGAGCTGCTGTGGGAAGGAGAATCATTCCTCCTTATTGAGGATAATACCACTGTAGGTATGTATCCTATGCTCCAGTGGATGACTCCACAACCTTGTACCTATGAGTAGCTTTACCTACACATAGTGACTTAGCAAAAAACAGAAGACATGTGATTGAGAGTACATGGGGGAGAATTGGAGAGGGAAAATAGAAACAGATGTGATTATATGTCATTTTATACATTGAAATTCTTAAAAAAAAGAAAAAAATTAATAAGAAAATCTTTGCAGTTAAAAAGGTGTTCTGAATTAACTGACAATATTCTTCAAAATGAATTAAAGCCCTGAAGCTCCTAAGCAGAGACTTTTGGGGTTAATAAGCTTAAATCTGGCTTTTGGAGGGATGGCTTTTGGAAGGATGGATTCAAATATCAAAATTTATTTAATTGCATACTTTAAATATGTAAAGTTTGACATTTCTTAACTGTTCTTCAACAAAGTTCACAGAACATAAACAAAAAGAATAAGTGGCTTCTGGTAATAAAAGCCTCAAAACTGAAAGGTTCATTCTGGACCACCCCACTTGAATAGGCCTACTTCTAATTCTAACCATTGCCTCCATCACTGTTACTGACTTTGCCTTACTTCCTGATATAGCACTTTAAAATAGTGTTCATTGGCCTCTCTTTTCAGATGAGAAAATAAACTTCTCACACTACTAGCTCCCTCCTCCCAGGCCCTGCCAGTTTAAAGTTCATTTTTAATTCTTTTGGTGTTCTCCTTCAGCAGGAGTTGTGTCGTAGAGACACTCGAGCATTTTATGTTCAAGCCACTTCTCTCAACACCTGAGACATATGAACTGGTTTTAGTTTTAGGCTAGCTGAGATAAAAACCATTCTTGACTCCATTTTTGTTTCAATAAAAAAAAAGGCACTGACTTCCTTGCTCATGTTCTCCCTCCTTCTGCTCCTCATTTGGATCTTAAGAGCTCAGTCCGGTGCTCCAATTTGGGTCTCTGTCTCTATCTCGATCCATCGCCAGATGAAGGTTCTAAGGTGATATGCAAGATATTCATCAGTATGGCTATAGGACAGGGTCAGGGTGCACCCACCCACTGTGACAGTGGAACTGATCTATTGGGAGCTCACCAAGGCCAGCGGGACTGGGACTGAAAAAGCATGGGATGAAACCGAACTTTCTGAACATGGCGGACAAGGAAGGCTGATGAGAAGCCAAGGACAATGGCACTAGGTTTCGATCCTAATACATGAACTGACTTTGTGGGAGCCTAGCCTGTTTGGATGCTCACCCTCCTGGACTTGGATAGAAGTGGGAGGACCTTGGACTTCCCACAGGGCAGGGAATCTGGACTGCTCTTCATTCTCAAGAGGGAGGGGGAATGGAGTGGGGGGAGGAGGCAATGTGTGAGAGGAGGGGGAGGGAAATGGGAAATGGGGAGGAGACGGAATTTTTTTTTCAACAACTAAAAAATAAACAAAAAAAAAAAGAAAAAAAAGGCACAGTTAAGAAAACTGGCCAAAAAATTTGAAGTCAATGAAATGATTCCTAATTTTATTCTGCTATACTTATAGACCAGAGCCTAGCTCTGTACTTGTAGAACAAAGCCTAGCTTAATTGTCATCTGAGACACTTGATCCAACAAGTGATGGGAGAAGATGCAGAGACCCACAGCCAAATATTAAGCAGAGCTTGGAGAACTCTAGTGGAGAAGGATTATAGGAGCCAGAGGGGACAAGGATACCTTGAGAACACAGCCAGCCCACAGAATCAACTATGCAGGGCTCACAAGGGGCTGACAGAGACTGAACTGACAATCAGGGAGCCTGCATGGGACTGAGCTAGGCCCTCTGCATATATGTGACAGTATATGTGAGTAGCTTGGTATTTTGTGGGACTCTTAACAGTGGGAGTCGGGCCTGTCAATGAATCTTTCACTGGCTCTGGGGACTCTTTCTCCTACTGTGTTGCCTCATCCAGCCTTAATATGAGGGTTTGTGTCTAGTCTTATTGTAACTTGTTATGCTGTATTTGGTTGATATCCATGGGAGGGCTGCCTTTTTCTAAAGGGAAACAGAAGAGGCGTGGATCTTGGGGAAAAGGAAGGTTGAGAGAGTGACTGGGAGGAGAGGAGGATGGGGAAATTGTGGTCGGGATGCAATATATGAGAGAAGGATAAATGAAAAAAGAAAAAGGAAAACTGACTAAACTTAAGGTGGCAGAGCTGCTAGTTAAACCCTGGTATTCCTGCTCAACATCTGCTTCCCTAACAGACAACTCTGCTCTTTTTTAAAAAATTAATTTATTTATTTATTAAAGATTTCTGTCTCTTCCCCGCCACCGCCTCCCATTTCCCTCCCCCTCCCCCAATTAAGTCCCCCCCCCAATTAAGTCCCCCCCCCTCAGCCCGAAAAGCAATCAGGGTTCCCTTACAACTGTGCTCTTTTAAGGGATCTCAGCATGGGGTCTGACTGATTACACAGACAGCCCACTTTGACCTCTGCAGTACACATAGGATCTCTGAACTTGATTTAGGTTTGTTGAAGAAGCCAACAGCACCCTGTCAGACACCTTTCTTCTTTCTCTATCTCCACCCATCTACTCCAGCATGCTGTAGTATTTGCACATTTCTTCTGCTGCTTGGTTAAGGACAGACAGCAAGAAATGAACACTGGAAGGAAGACTTTACAATATTTTTTATGGAAATAATGCCTACTGCAGAACAAAGTAGAGGCCGAGTCTAACAGACAGATTGCAGAACTTCTTGTCAGTGTCTTTTCTACTGGAAGAAAATAGCTGGCAGTTTGGAAATAGTGTGATAACCCGTTTTTAAGCTTACACAGTTCTTAAGCTGCTATAAGGAAATCCTCAGTAGTTAAGACAGGAGAGTGTTCAGAGGTTTGCAGGGGCTTGCCTCAAAGTCTTGGGGGTATGTTTCTCTCTGCTTCCCTTTGCTCCTCTCCTGAAATGAGCCCTTTCAGATACACACAGAAATTTCTTTCCTGCTAGAATTGGATTCTGATGTAAGCCAGAGGAGATAGCCATGCCTTAAGTCAGGAGGAGCCTAGGTGGTCTCCCAATGTATGTCTTGAGAGTTTCATTTTTACAAAATGGCATTGTATTATTTTAGTCAGCAAATTCTCTTAAGATCATCCCAGTTGAGGAGTTTATCACTATTTCTTCTTTACTGTTGACCAATATTCCAATCATCCTGACAGGTATGTAGTGGTCCCTCTGCAGGGCTTTAATTTGCAGTCCACCCCTTACCCCTATTTCAATGATGATGATGACCTTTTCATGAGTTTCTCTGTCATCTGCATGTACCTCTTTGGTGAAAGGCTTTGTGTGTTTTCTTCATTTTCACTGTTACGTTTTGAGTATTCTCTATATATTCTAGATATTAGTGTTTATCAGGTATGAGGTTTCCAAATATACTTTTTCCTGCTCTGTAGCTTGTCAGTTTGGGGGGTTACTGAGACTTCCAGCCAGATTTTGATTCATCACTTTTCCATACTTAAGGTTGTTCCTGTGTTATTTATAGATAATTTCCACATATTTTAGTTATATTCAGTGTGAAAAAGAAAAATACATTTGTTCTGCCTTTGCAGAAACAGAAGAGAAAGTCTCAACATTTTAAAAAAGTAATTTGTTTTCATAGGCTGATCATCTTTTCTCATCTATAATTATATTGTCCAAAGAGATAGTAATAGGGCTTTGTAAAAAGGCTTTTATGGGAACATATTATACCTTCTATTTTCCACATCTCTCTCCTGTACCTGACTTCCATGTAGGCATCTGAATCTGCAGTCTATGATTAATAAATAAGTCATATAGCCAGGTTTTCAGTCATGACTTTTGACAGTGGATCCTGAAAGGGCATGATCAAGCTTCCCTTTTCAAAGACTAGCACCCAGTTCTGGAAACATGAACCAAGACCTAATTCAAGCATTATAAAGTGCTCCCCATACATTGTTTTCCCCTTCCCTCCTAAGCCCTTCTGGAAATTTCTGTTGGGGATCCAGAGACTAATTACAGCACTTTTCTGGTTCAACAATAGCTGGATTTCTTCTCTAAAGAGTCTAAACTAAGAAAGCAGAGAAAAATTGTATACTGCCACCCCAATTTTCTCCTTTTTTGTCATTTAGGATATTTAAACATGAAATCTAGGAATTACTATGTGCACAAGGGTAAGGGGAGCAAAAAGAGAGCAGAGGAACAGAGGAAGTGCTGAGGATAATTTTAGAGCTAGAAAAAGCAAGATGGTACATAGTACACTAATTGGTAGAAGGCAGAGCAGAATCAAGTCCTTCTGAACAAAACATAATTGAAAAACATTCTAGAAATAAAGGCATTTAGACACTTAAAATCTGACTATGATCCTTTCAGCCTTACAGTGAAGGAAACCCCGAAGACTATACAAGGTTGCACACTGAGAGATTATACAAGGTCACAGAGCTAGCCAGAACTGTTTGTACTACTCCATAAAACTCCCTCTTTCTGGTCTAGTTTCACTTTCCAAATGATGGAAGTTATGATTGGTTGTGTCATTTCTACAAAGTCCCTGGAAATATTTCAGTATAATTTCTAACAGTACTATTGCATCTGCTCTATGAAAATTACATTGAGATCACAGTATTTTTTACACATTCAAGGGAAAAAATTTTAAACAATGGCCTTATTAATTGATTATGAATTTCTTATAAAGTATTTTGATCATATTCATAAACCCACCCCAAGATTTTTTTCTGTATGTTGGCCTGGTTAAATGAAAGCAATCGAGTTAGCAAGGATAGGATAAGCAAAAGAAAACATTTAATTACATTTCTTTTAATAATGTTAATTATTAGTTTAATCTTTGGGATGGTTTGGTTTTAAAGTAAGCATTAACTAGTAGGAAGGAGGAGGATCGAGAAGAGAGGAGAAGAAGAGAAAGGAGAAGTGCAGAGAGGAAAGGGGATAAGATGAGAGGACAGAGCAGGCCAGGGAGAAGGGGAGAGGAAAAGATGGGAAAGGAGAGATGCAGAGGGACTAAACACAGAAAGGAGGGGAGAGAAGAATGGGAGGAAAAGCTGGGGAGATGAGAATAGAAAAGCATTGAAGAGGGGAAAGGAAAGGAAAGGAAAACAAAGGGTGGAGAAGCAGGAGGAAGAAGAGAAAACAGGAGAGGAGGGGATGAGAGAAGAAAAGGGAGGCAAAAAGAGACCCGTGGTAGAGACCCTTGGCAGAGAAGTGTGATCAGGGGAAGAGAAGAAGGGATGGAGGGAGAGTGGGAAACAGAAGGAAGGGAAGGGAGAGGAGGAGAGAGGGGGGAAGACCGAAGGAGAGGAAAAGAGACAGGGGAGGGAGAGCAGAGGAAGAACGGGAATAGCATGGGAAAGAGAGGCCAGGGGATGAAGGGGAGTGAAGACAGGACAGCAGGAAAGGGAAAGGACAGAAAGAGGGGAGGAAAGGACTGAAAGAGAGGAGAGATAATGGAAGGGGAGAACAGAGAGGAGGGATGTAGAGAGAGAAGAGGGGGAAGGAGGAGGGAAGGAAAGAAATAGAGAAGGGGTAAGAAGGGAGGGTAGTAGGGAGATGAGAGTAATCAACACCAAATCTGTACGTGTTTTAAAGAAGATATAGATAACTACAAATCTTATCTACGAATGGTTGCAACTTCAATCCTCCTGAAACTGTATCTGAACCCTTAGACCCAACTCCAAGCCATGGCTCCTATGCCAGAGGGTCTCCAAAGCCCAGAATAGTTACTCTGAGTTTTAGCAGTATCATGTACAACAGTTTGTGTAGTTTAGGAATATTTTATGCTTTTATTACTTAAAATATATTTCTTTGAAGAAGGTAACACTCACAAATTATAAATTTAATGTCAACATTGTAGATTTAGCTATAAAACATGCTGTCTTACAATAATTCAAAGGCTTTGACTATGATCTGATGTAGGGACTTAAACTTCAATTTCTAAAATAAATGAAAACTTTATTAGTTTTTTTGAGACAGGGTTTTTCTGTAGTTTTGGAGGCTGTCCTGGAACTAGCTCTGGTAGACTACACTGGCTTTGAACTCACAGAGATCAGCCTGCCTCTGCCTCCCGAGTGCTGGGATAAAAACCTTATTTTTTATGAAATGCATCTATTAAACCATTCTAGCATGAGCTGATTGTGCTACACAAAATTTGTAAATAGATGGAAATTGATAAAACTTTAACTATTTCATGTTAAAGATCCAACCAACATGTACATTAGAAATATCGTCAACATTCAATCATGTTTGTTATTTATTTTAGTATTTTGAGACAATAGCCCAGGTTAGCTATTAACCACCAGTAAACTAGGTGGTTAGCTCAGACTGGCCTTGAACTAGAGTTGATCCTCCTATCTCAGCTTCCCTTGGAGTGTGCCACCATACTTGGCTGCATTCACTCTTGTGCAGAACCCACATGACACCATTAAACTATAATGACAATTTTCCAGTTAACATTTAATAGGAAAGAGAGAAAATCACCCTAGAGTATAAACACTGTCCTTTGCTGACAGGAGTCCTTCAATGGGCAGTTACAGGTAAAGTGGGGACAACAGGCTACCAGCATCTCCCAACTGTACATAAAGTGGCTTCCTGATTAGGTTCTGAAGACAAAGAGCCTCAGATGCTCCCTTGTCACCATGCATGAAAATCAGTAACTGGGGACACTATTAAGAGATATACTGCCAGTCTTCGAGTGGCAGATTATCTAATTTCTACTGCTGGCTTGGTGATGTGCACATGACAGCTCAAGAGTAAATCTCAACCACCGGTGCTGGAGTCTATTTCTGAACTTATGCTATGATCAAGCAAGGAGAGGATGCTAAAAGTCCTCAACAAGGAGCAGTTATGAAGAAGTGGAATGTTGGCTGAAGCTCGTGAACTATTTGTGAGATTTCCCATCTTCTGAGTGCTGCTCACAGATAAACTAAATATATTCCATGTATGCTCGTGAAAATTTATTCACCCATTCCTATTAGCAAAAAAACCCAAATCAAACCAAAACAAAACTCAAGCAAACATAAAGAAAATATCAATAGTTTCACTTAGTGTTTCTGTTAACAGCTTATTGAAATCAAAATATTAATTGAACAGAGATGGAACAGCTGAAATTTTTGCTTGTTAATTAATAACTATTTACTGAGTATCTATTAAGCTCCAGGACAGTGCTAGGAACCAATCTGTGCCAACAACAAACCTCTCACTCTTAACCTTAGACTATGCAGGAAATTCAGATTTCAAAATAAACAAAGGTTTCTAACTCTGAAAAATGAGGCTGCCCCATTTAAAGTTCTGTAATTATAGTTTCTATGTTAATGATGAATACTCAAATGTAATATCTAATTACAAAATCATGTTTGTGAAGTAAAGGGATTGTCCATCAAGATGTAATTCTATGCAAAATAACAAAGTAAGCAAATAATTTCTGTTTGTTTGCCTGCTGTGAGATGGGAGTCTCACTCTTGAATTTGCCCAGGCTTTGAATTCTGTCTGTAGACAATTGCCTAGCCTCAAGCTCCCCTGCAACTGTTGACATGTCACAAGCACACACAATTATGCCCACTGCACATGATAAAACAGAACTTGATTCAAAATCTTAGCACAATTTTTTCATGTCAGTTATAAAACTATACCACAAACAGGAAACATAGGTAATATTTTCCCTTAATATTTCAGACTGAACACTAAAAAACCTTTGTCCTCACCACCACAAAGGGTAATTTAATACCAAGAAGTCAAAGGTTCATGTGAACTAAAACTACAAAGCTTCTTGGGTACTTATATAGCAATAATGAATTAAACATTCAATGTTGCTTACCTTGTAATCTCTGGACACATTTTCTGATGTCACTGAACCTGAAATCTGACTAGAAATTGTAGCAGCTATAAGCTGTTTACACCATTCAACATGTGATCCTGTAGGGCTAAAAGAAATAGTGTGATTAAAAGTCTTTAACACAGGCTCCTGAAGAGAATCAATGTGTCCTGGGTACGAATAAACACATACAGGTATTATTTTTCAAAGTGTCTCATGTACAGCCCAGGCTGGCTTCAACTCACTATACAGCCAAGGATAGCCTTAAACTTCCCATCCTCCAGCCTCCTCCATCTCCTGAGACATGCAGACATGCAGACATGCCCCCACAACGTCTTTAACTATTTGGTTGATTTTCTATTTAATATGAGAATCAATATAAACAAAACAGAAAATACATCAGGTTCTAGGTTAGTTTTAGATGTACCAATCAACCTTTTCAAAAAGTTTTAATATTGTAGGTATTGGGGCTGGAGAAATTGCTCGGTGGTTAAGAGCACTGGCACCTCTTTAGAGGATCCAGGTCTGTATTCCTATTGCTCACATAACAGCTCACAAGGTCCTGTAACTCTAGTCCCAAAGCATTCAATGCCCTCTCCTGGCCTCTGTGGGCACCAGGAATGCACATAGTGCACAGACACACATGCAGACAAAACATCTATACATATCCAATAAATAATTTTAAATGAGTACAGGTATGTAGTTAAGTATGTTACTCTCTAACATATCATAGAATTCTATCAAAATTATATGATATAGTATATATAGAAAATTAACATAGTGTATATAGAAAATTAATTCCAAAGTAAAATATTTACCTTAAAACATATGATTTTCAAACAAAATTCAACCAAATTCATGTTTTTAGTTTAAAATCTAGAAAACAATGTACTTTTAGTGGGGGTAAAGCTGAGGGTAAGTTAATATAGAACAGACTAGAAAAGATATTTTGTATTAAGCAGTGATGCTACATTACATTTCTGTTAATGCTTTAACTTACAAAAGCTTCTTCCAGTTGTTATGTCAGAGCTTCATAACCAGTTGTGACAAAAAGGCAGAACAGACACTAGCTAACTTAACTAGATAAGGAAATGAATGTGGCCATCACTCCAGGGGCCAGAACAACCGAAAGTGACTGATATACTGAGCTAAAGGGGGTACCACAGATGCTGTAAAACAGAACAGGGCAAAGAAAATATAAAACTCTCTGCTGGTCAAAAATGCAGACTTACCTAGCCTCCCAGTGACCCATTTTACAGAAAAGAAAACTGAGCTTCTAGGTTTATCCATGGTCACATGACTGATATGTGGTTGGCCTGTGCTCACCTGACCTAATGACTAATAGGCAACTAGGCAGTGAAAGATGTAAAACTTGCTCTCAGGAGCTAGGCTCCTTTCCAGATCTGTCAAAACAAGAAAAAGAAACCAATGAAGAGGGCAAAAGACTCTTAGGAGCTTTACCACGAAGTTAAGTTTCATCTGGAAACCAAACCAAACCAAACCATCAGAAATTACATCCACAGTTGTGTGTGTGAAAGACAGAACATCTACTTAATTGTAGTCTCTGATTAAGGTGCCCACCCAGTCTTTGTGGTTGAAAATATATGTAAAATATGTGCTGAATAGGTAGAAATTCCAATGATACACAAGAATTTTATGATCCTAGTAGAAGTCAGAATTTTATCATAATTTCTAGGGGATAGGAGGAAACTAAGAGAGATATTATATTCTCATATTCTGTGTGTGTGTGTGTTTGTGTGTGTGTGTGTGTGTGTGTGTGTGTGTGTGTGTGCTGAAACAGGGTCTCTCTATGTAGTTATATAGTACTGGCTGTCCTGGAGCTTGCTCTGTGGACCAGGCTGACTTCAAATTCAGAAATCCCCCTGTGCTGGGATTAAATGCTAGTGTCCCCTTTATTGCCTGCTCCTTTCCTTTTTTGAGACAATCTTTTTTCTACAGTACAGGCTGGTCTGGAACTCTCTGTATTTACCAGGTTGGCCTTGTACATGCAGCAATCTTGCCTCTTGAGTGTTGTATTTAGTGGTATTCACCACCACACCAAGCTTCCTTTTTTTCCCCTTTTACCATCAGCACCCATACCTGACTGCAAATACATAAAATCAACTAGGGGAACTAGGGGAAATCAGCTGCTGACTAGATCCTGCCACACCTTTTTCTAACAAGGACACTTTTTTTTACTTTGCAGAACTGCAATCCACTGTTTCCTGGGGCTTACCCACTTCTTCCTGTCCCCACTTAGAAACGAGTTGCCCAGGCAGTCCCAGGATTCCTTTTGGATCCTTGCTGTATGGATCTATCACAGGGCTTCTAGAGGCCTATTCCCACCACTTTGAAAGAACACACAGAGATAAGACAGGTGAGATATTTTTAGAAGACACAAATACAAGAGATAGGGAATTCTAACAACACTGTTTTAAAGGTAGCCCTTGACTCCAATTGTGCCCACTCCCATCTCCCTCTCTGGAGTGGTTTTGTGAACCAAAATATCTCCTTTGGGGCTTAAAGTTGATTGGGCTGTTTTGAGAAAGGGGTGGGTTTATTGGTGTTGATGTGTTTTTACCATCAGCAACAGGAAGTGGCCTGGGTCAGAGCAGTTACACAGAGGGTATAGTGGGCCAGCCAACAGGAGGTCTGGGTTCAAGTCCTGTTTCTGTCACTAGCTAGATCTGTGACCTTTAGGAAGCCACATCCTCTCACAGGACCTCTCTTTTCAAAGAGAAGTGAAATACTCTGAAGACTACACAAGCCTCAAGGTTCAAGGAACACACAGAGCCCAACTTCCCTTTAGGGGAGTCACTCCTTAATGAAGAGTATGCACGGCTTCTTGCTGAAATATCAGAACCGAGCCCTCTTTCCTCCCTGCTTGTTACCTTGTGCAGCTGCCCTCCATGCTCAACTGCTCTTTCCCAGCTGGATATGGCAGGCATGCCATAAACTGCTTTCTTTGAAATCTGCTTCACAAGTGACACTTTTGGGCACAATGCCCACACCCCTCACAGATGCCTATACTCCTCAAGGCGTAAGACTCACCTACTTCTCTGTTAAGTGCTAAGTACCTTGAAAATCCTCCCTGCCTTATTGCCATGCTAGTTTCTTTTCCCAGAACTGCCTCTGTCCTCTGTGTCCTCTTCCTGCATTATGAACTGAAGCCCCAGAGAGATGTCTAAGACTTCTTGGTTCAGGTTTACAGCCTAGAATAGAGTTAGTGGGTTCCTTAAGAATCTCTATTTTCAACTGGGAAGAGTATGATGCAGGTTAAGAGAACCACACACATCCTGAGAAGGGATGATAGCACAACTCCTTAGGAAGGCAGCCTGCCTGTTCTCACAGGCAACAGGCCATCTCTGATCAGTTCCTTAGAAGGCGCACATTGTGCTCTCATGGCCAAAGGGCTCTCCCCACTCCATTATTTCCTCAATTCAAATACCTGTCCTCCTTCCTTCCTGTCCCCATCACTAACATCTAACATCCCCAAACTACACCAAGTACCACATGCCCACATAGCCCAAGCACAATGAGGCCGTAGTATACACCTTTCAGAAAAACACAAATTCCTGGGCCTGCCCTAAACCTTCTGAATCAAAATCCTTGGGAGTGGGACATAGTCACTTGTCGTTTCTAATAAATCCTGAATAAGGCATACTAGAGCGACATATTTCAGCTACTCCAATAATTCAGACCTACGCTGCCACCTGAATATACTTCTGTGTTTACCAATAGCCTAGCACTTATCACATACAGCTTCAGCTATCAGCCCTGGAGCCAAAGTAAAGTCACAGTGTGCTATTTTCTGAATGGACAAGAACTCATGTGCTGCTGAAAACTTTCAGATGTGTGAAGTGCTCATGGCTCCAAGGGAAGTCTCAACTGTGGCTAGATTTTAGTGAAACCTATTGTTCAGGATTCATGTAGTAAAATATACTGTAATCACACCGAGCTAGAGAAGGGAGAGAGCGCTGCTGGGTGCTCCCATTCGTGTCTTTGAAAACTCCCAAAAGTTCAGCACACTGGGATGACTCAGACAGCGTCACCTCACTGAAGCATATCACAACTGTCTGTTGCCCAAGTGTAGGTGTCACCGGGGAAACTGGATAATCCAGCCATCTCTTGTCATTACTCGACTGGGTGGTGGCCCTTTCCAGGTGGACATGGCAAATATGCCTTGAACGGACTTATTCTAAATCGACCTCAGAAGCAGGTGACTCATGTGTCCAAGAAAAAAAGAACTATGTCCTTCCAAGTGTAAAGAACTGAAAGTACACAATATTCGTGTCTCCTGAGCAGTATGGAAGCGATCCATCTCAGTTTCTCAAATCTGTGTGTCTTTACCACCATCTGCTGCAGATCGGCTGCCCATGGGTCTCACCTCCTAGTTGCCACCCCAAGCAGCGGCATCGGAACTGATCTTAAAATCACACGATTTAGGCATGACAGTGATGTTAAGAACAAGAAGCCAAGCGACATTTCTCCTGAGAGGATCCTTGGCCAGGGCCACGAACTGGAAAGGGGTTCTCAAGGAGCTAGTACATTGGCACGGGTTTGACAGCTCCAAAGCCTCCGGGAGCTGTCAGCTTGCAGCACGGAAGTGAGCAGGTGCCCTATCCCTGGCAAGTCCAAGGGCAGCAGCTGGAGACGGGGACCCAGGGAAGGCTAGAAGTGCCTGTGGGGGAGCCGCCCACCCCGTCTCGGCCCTGGGCCGCCAGGCCTCGAGCTGGGCACCGAGAGGCGGTGGCGTCCAGGGCCCTACTTACCTGTCTAGGGTCTCCATGCTGGGCTGCCGGGAGCCGGCCGAAGCGCCCCCCACAACCCGAGAGGATCTCCAGCCCGCTGCCGGCCCTGGACCCGGGCCCCCAGCGCTCTCGCAGCTCGCCGCCGCCGCGGCTGCCGCCGCCACCGGCCTGTCCATGACGCGTCAAGCCGGGCGCCTCCGGTGAACCGCAGTCCGGAGTGCAGAGTGTAGCGGCCGCCGGCCCGGCTCCGCGATGCGCCCTCTGCCGCCCTGCTCCGCCGCCGGGCCACTCGCGTCAGGAGGCCGCCGCCATTAGCTGTCACCTGGCGGCCCGGCATTACCCACAAGGCCACGCGCGCAGGGGCGGGGGGGGCGGGGGGGGGGGCGGGGGGGCGGGGTCGATGCAGAGTGGGCGGCGCGTGGCACCCAGGGCCACGCTGTCCCGCAACAGCTGCTGCCCGCCTGCCTGGCCCAGGAACCTGAGGTCTGGTAGCCCAGACCCACTCTAACTCCGCTTGAGCAATGCGGACACTACAGCCTCTGAGGTTTGAAAACTGCGTGACGTGCTTTGCTTTACAGACAAACCTGGTACACTGTGGACGTGTTGTTTTTTTTTTTTATGATTGAAGAAGTTCTACATTTGAAAAACAGACATTTTTTTTTCTCTCTCAATTTTGGATCCCAGGGAACTGTCTGGGTGGGGACATCCCGGGGTTCTTAAGTGCCACTGGTCTTGACATCTTGAAGCATAAACAGTTCCTTAGGATTTTAGCAATCCCCACGCCGTTCTTCTCTCTACCCTACTCTCCCCCACTCCACCTCCACAAATCCACCTCCCAGCCATCTGTAACCATGCTCCAAAGATGCCTTCAGAACTTCTGCCCTTGGTTTATGTTAAGTTTAACATTTAACTTCTGTTATGCAAATCATCGCTATGAAAATCAAGCCAATATCTGATAAATCAAGGACATTCAGTTCCTAAGATAGACTTAGCCCGTTCATTTGGCTTTGGATGCAACATCCAGAATTTATTCTCTATTGTTTCTGCTTGGTTTTGTTGAACCTGGGTACAGGATTAAGAGCCATTTGCCTGTGATTGTATTAGACATGGACAGGAGACCTCTGACCCAGATCCGACGTATATGGACATATAAAGGGAGTATTTGCCTCCATGATTAAAGACAGACCTGGACACAGATTAACCCATGTCTATCTTGCGTCCAAGAGGTGGTAATCTGGGGTAAAGAAAAATCTTCAGTCATAGTGGGAAATCATCTCCTGCAAATGTCTCGGTTCCAATTTTTGTTTTATTTTGTTTGTAGCACCCATTGGCCTGGAACTCACTGTGTAGACCAGGCTGGCTTCAAACATACCAGGCTGGCTTCAAACATGCTGCAATCTTCCTCCATCTGCCAAGTGCTTTAACTGCAAGCAGGCACCACTACAACCCAGACAAAATACTTAATTCCTTATTAGAGAGTGAATGGTCACATTATCTTCAAATTCCCGTGTTGGAGTCCTAATTTCTTGGTATATGATGATGGGGACTTTGCGTGCTAATTTGGTCCAGAAGGCAAGGCCCTGATCAGAATAGATTAGTGTCATTGGCATTTTCTTTGAGCCACCAACCAGCTCTCAAATAAAGACACAGAGATTTATTAATTATGGATACTTGTCCTTAGGTTAGACTTGTCCCACTACCTCTTTGAACTTATTTTAACCTGTTTCTATTCATCTACATTTTACCTCAGGGTTTTTTATCTTGTTTTTCTTTCTGTATGGCCTACTTTTCTGCTTCCTCTGAGTCTGATTGGTTGGTCCCTGGTGTTTCCCTGATGTCTCTTTTTCTTTGTTCTTCTTCCCACCCCCAGCTTAAATTCCTCCTTCTACTTACTCTCCCTGCCTGAAAGTCCAAACTATACCTCCTCCCTTGCTATTGGTCATTCAGCTTTATATTAGACCAATCAGGTGCCTTAGACAGGCAAGATAAAATAGCAACACATCTTTATATAGTTAAGGAAGTGCAACACATCTTTTCATAGTTAAACAAATTATCATCACAAAGACCACCACATGCTTAATATTGTACACCTATATGCATACATCAAGCAAACCAGAAACCCTGTTAGGGTGCCCTAGTTAGAGTTAACTGGACCCAGTCTGGAGTAGCCTGAGAAGGGAGTCTGATTTGGGGGATTTCCCCAGTCAGATTGGCCTGTGGTCATGTTTGTAGGGATTGCCATGAATTGATGTAGGAGAGAGTCCAGCCCACTGTAGGTGGCACCGTTCCCTGAGTAGGTGGGCCTGAGCTGTATAAAATGCTAGCTAATCGTGACCCTTTGAGCAAACTACCAAGCAGCATTACTTCATGAATTCTGTTGTACTTCGTTGACTTAGAGTGAGTTCCCTTTGTGGAATTCTGCATGAAATAGCAAATAGACCTGCTTTTAGGTTCTGACCTTGATTTGCCTCCATGATGGACCATACCTAGGAGTCTGAGCCAAATCAAGCTCTTTCCTCCCTGTCTTAGTTAGGGTTTCTATTGCTGAGATGAAACATCATGGCCAAAAGGCAAGTTGGGGAGAAAAGGGTTAATTTGGTTTACACTTGCACACCGGTTTATGGTTTCAGGTGATTCAGTCCATAGTCACTTGCCTCTGTTGTTTCTCCATCTAAGGTAATGTAGGACACTTTTATTGGGAGTATATGATGGAGCAAGACTGCTCATTTCATGGTGGTCAGGAAGGAAGGATGGGTGGTGAAGAGCAGAGGAAGTGGGAGGAGGAGAGGAAGGGGAGAGAGATGAACACCAACAAAATTACCCTTCAAAAGTACACCCGCTATGGTCTACTTCCTCCAACTACTCACTGCCTCTTAAAGTTCACATTACCCCCAAATGGGCTATTTAGTTATGATTCTGTGAGATTCTGTGTGATGAGGTTAGTGTATTCATGGTACAATAGGTTCCTTTGGGTTTCATGTCTCAACACTATTTCATTGGGGACATTTTTGTACAATATTTCAATCTAAATTGTCAATAATTCTCCATACAAAGAGGATAAAAAATAATTTATTCTGGAGCCAAATATAATGACCATGGTCCAGGAACACAAATTTAGATTACCCCAAATACCACATTCCAATGTAGAAGCAGTTTCATCAATTTTTCTAGTAGCAGAGCAAAGAAAGTCGGAAGGACATTAAAGTACATTGGTAGAAACATTGGGTAGGCAGGTAAAAGCTCTCAGATAGTTTTCTCAGCTTTTTGCTTGGCTGGAAAATGAGTGCTCTGTTTATACATTCCAAAGAAAAACTAGTGCTCAGTCTGTGTATCTCAAATGATTTGCTTATGGTCACAAAGGTCAAGTAGGGAGGAGGGCAACAGATGGCTATTTAGAGACCAAAAAAAAGCCAGAGATAATTTGGCTCTGGGCTTACAGCATCTCAAACTCTCCACAATCATTGACATCCTAATCAGTTAGTTAATCAGTGTTGCAGAAAGTTTGCTTAAAGATGCATTATATTTCTGGGAACTTTTGTTCACAAAAGCAGAACATTCAGTTATTCCCCCAACTCATCTCCTATTTAAGTTAAACGACTATATACTATATGACATTATTGTGGCCTGTTTTCTCTGACCTAAAATGGATTCTGTGGTGTTGACTGCTAACTGCTCATACATCCTCAAGGAGGAACACGACCTCTTGACCCTCTCCATTCTAGCAAATGGGAACTGCTTATATATGCTGAGCCTCTACCTACTAGTAACTGATAACTGCTTATATATCCACAAGGAAGGGAATGCCTCATGAACTTCCCTCCTATCAATCTTAGGGCATTAAGTCACAGCCCTCTGCTGCCAAATTAAAATTCTCACACATACAGTTGCTTTTTAATGTAATCTAGATAAACAAACATATTTTATCCACTGGTGAGCGGTGGCACACACCTTGAATTCCAGCACTTGGGAGGAAGAGAGGCAGATTTCTGAGTTCGAGGCTAGCCTGATCTAGAGAGAAATTCCAGGACAGCTAGGGATATACAGAGAAACCCAGTTGTAGTGATGAGGTGAGCAGGCCTGCTTTTTGTCCCATTCGGCTCCCGCAAGGCTAGCTTAGCCCCAGAATAATTACACGAAAACTGTATTCATTTAAACACTGCCTGGCTCATTAGCTCTAGCCTCTTATTGGCTAACCCTCACATCTTGATTAACCCATTTCTAATAATCTGTGTACCACCATGAAGAGGTGGCTTACCGGGAAGATTCTAACCACCGTCCATCTTGGGTAGGAGAAGCATGGAGGCTGCCTCATTGCCTTCTTCCCAGCATTCTGTTCTGTCTACTCCACCCACCTAATTTTCTGCCCTATTAAAAGGCCAAGGCAGTCTCTTTATTTGACCAATGAAATTAACACATAGACAAAAGACCCCCCTACATCATTTCCCCGTTTTCTGTTTAAGCAAAAAGGAAGGCTTTAACTTTAACATACATATTAAAATTACATATAACAAAACAGTTATCAAGCAAGAATTAGAGTTATAATATTTATATCGATTTTATCTTCATCATAACAATGGAAAACTATAACTAACCATTTTTTAACTCCATCAAAGACTCCAGAAGGATATAATATTACCTAAGCAAACAAGAAATAAGCAACTTTTAAACTCTAGAAATAACAGAGATGGCTCGCTGCCTGGACAGTCACCCAAAGTTCTTTTGTACCATTGGGGCATCCATCTTCAGCCTTCAGGCCCATAGTATCCAGCAGACATTTCCATGAAGCAGGAAATTTCAAAGGCAGTTCAGTCACTATCTGCTGTGTCCTGCAGAATGTCTCGCAGACTCTTATGAATCAGAAACCCCAAAAGACCATCTCACCTTTAGGCAAGTTCAGTAATCCTCTCTCTGTGGGTTCTCTGTGTCCAGTTTATGCAACAGTCCAGGCAAGAGCAGTTTCTTGCCCAAATGGCTAACCAACTCCATAAGGAGCCTCTTTGATGCCCATCTTCCTCTTGAAGTAGATTGGTGCTGCCAGGAGCAGACGTGTCTCATTGTCATGAAAAACCCTAAGTTATTAAAACATTTTAAATGCCATATTTTGTAGTCTTTGAAAGATATGAAGAATGTCTATCTAACTGAAATCTATCTCTATATATCTAGAAAATCTAACTAACATGACTACAAGCTTTACTATTATCGATGATTATCTATTAGCAACCTATATTTCCTAATTATACATTACATTTTAAAATGAACTACACAATTACAATACCTTAATCAATATCAGAAATACATATACATATAACAAAATTGACCTTAAAT